AAGTCATAACAATTCTAATATAATATGAAGTTTAAAAAAAATAAAAAATATATATATATATATATATATGTATTTATGTTACCACACGTATTCATTTAACTATTTTTTAAAAAAATAAATCGCTTCAGCGTTTCTATGAATTTCCGTTTCCACGTAACTATTTTTTATTCATGCAGCTTAGTTACTCTTTTATTGTTGTGTTTAAATTGTCATGCCAATGAAAAAACAAGTATAACGTAAACTACGCTTTGTGTTACTGTAATAGCGGACCGCTGTATAAATGTATAAGTATATTTAAGTATAATGTTTATGCGGAGACATCAAACATTTACTTTCTTGTAAAAACGAATTTAACAATAAACTGTCATCAAAATATATACAATGCTTAAAACATTAAACGCCATATGTACACGACGCTCACTAAATACATGATGTTTTATATGTCTAATTATACCATACAGTATAAAATTAGCAGCGCTAAGTTATAAAAGTATAACGTATACGATTTTACATACCGTATTTTAGAACGCCATACAACTATTTAAATGATTTCCGAAATTATGAATTGCATGTTGTATATATATTACGATAAGTACATATTCTAATTTGGCTCGTTGGCTCTTTCATATATTAAAATTTGCAATCAAGCTAGGGTTTTGCTAATTGTTTTGTATGTGGTGTGGTTTCTCCTAAAGCTATGTGGCTCAAAAAGGTCTCACATTTTTAGGATAACATGGAGTAAGACACATCACATCATCGCATATCATATAGAGGGAAGAAAGTGGTTAATAATATTCCTTAATTTTAAAAAACGACGAAACACTTTAATATATATAACAAACGGGAGTGTCATTGTTTTAGGCGTGCACTATCTCTATGTCGATTTGAAATGGACCGTCGAGAAGAAAATACAATTTGATTTTAGAAACTGCGATTTTGAGTGGCATGGACCAATCTTTGGGATAATGACACTAACCAATCTTCTAAGACTAAAATTGCAAAATTCATAATGGGGGGACAAGTTATGTTTTGGTATCGCATCGATTTCGTAGTATCTCAACTCTTCTCTCTTTTATTATATATAAACATTTTTTTTCTGCTTCAAATATTTTATGTTTCAATTTAGGGTCAATTTGTGTACTGAATAACTAGAAGTAGTTTGTATTTTAACTGTGGAAAGCACGGTGGACAAGACAAAGGAGGATTATTCATAATTAAATGAAAATACAAATAGACAAAATCAACAACGTTTCCCATGTAATTTTTTTTACATATGGATATGCTGCTAGGTCGCCATGTAAAAAAATGCTATAAAAATGTGTGTTGAATCGAAAACTTTTAATTGGAGTTTTATAAAAAAAATAATTTCGAGAATTCAATCATTTTTGCACATTAACGGAGATTCCATTTTTCCTATAAAATATGGGATAACGCGACAATAAGCATCACTCGAAACTAGAATGATTGCATCATTAGTTAATTAATTTCTACCGCACACACACAGACACACACATATACTCTATATATATAGCATGGGTACTAAAAAGTGATCCAATCAGCATGAAATATCTTACATACTTTGCGTAATTATTTCTAAATTAAAAGAATTGGTCTCATTGGTGTCAATGTCGGAAAGTAGTTAAGTAACTGGTCAGGCAGAAACATAAATCATTCATCAGATCGCACAAACTATTTTGCGTTCGACTGTCATTTTCATTTATTGGTAAAACCCATGAATATTAATCATCATATAGTGTGAATAAAATATATGCATCTTCAGTGGAGAATGGAGATACTCTATGATTCTATCAAATTGCGTGAGTTAGCCTGTATAGGTGCGGATTTGTCCCTTACTCATAATTTGTCAAGAGAGGTCTCCGTTTTAAGGATATTAATAATTTAAATATCATTCAAAATATTCAAAACAAAGTTTCATCGGAATTCTCAACTTATTTGTCTCTCTTTAACGCTGAGAGTTCATCGGAATTCAGCCGAATTCACAACATTTACATGTCCTACCCTTTCTCGATTCGGTATGGATAATAACAATATTACAGATTCATATGAAACTCAAATTCGTTTTTTTTTTTCGAGAAAGAATATTATACGTCCCATTTTAACGAGTAAAACAAAAACAAACAAACAAAAAAGGGAGAAAGAAGAGAAACGTAGGCTTTCGGAATTTGAGATGGGAACAAAAGCTGATCATACGTGTGTGGAGTCAAAGAGCAACAGCTATTATATATGTATTAACATATGAAACATATAAAAAAAACAAAAAAGCAATGCCAAAGTCTCGTTTTGCTACCTCTATCTCCACAATATCCGATCTGATCTTTGCCATTTCTTCGTCTTTATTTCCTATCAATATGTTGGGTCAATCACATCGTAAATCTATTTTACCTTGCACACTATTTAATCGAGGTGTGATGCAAACCCTACCTAAATAAAGAGTTCAAAGTAACTCTTTGATTTGGTAAACATGATGAGACGATGCTCTATGGCAACAATAAGATCAATGGATAATATTATATAAAATTGTAGATATTAAAATATTGTTTAAAGTAAGACTATTATTCTTTAAAATTATCAGAATAACACCATCTTTCGAGTTATTTAATATCTATTTCATAAAAGCTGAACAAAGAGAATTCACGCTTGATAGTTTGTTATGAAATTTAACATGCAGGTGAATGATGATAGAAATATAAAAAGACTTATAAAACCATCATGTCTACGAACAAATGTTTTAGACCGTACCAACCAATCATCAAAGATTATCATGTCTAACAGTCTAAGCTTTATAGTTTATTATAAAATGTTAATGTATTCATGTTTATTCATTAAAGACTTTGTCCATGATAAGATATATATCCGCATAGAAATAAGATATCATGCAGATATTGTGATATTGTTGTATATATATACATCAAATCTGAGTCACCGAAGTCTGAACATGTCTTCAATCTATATACACAATAATGTAGTTTGGGTAGATTTATAAACACAACTAAGCGTTTGAGTAGTTCTCTTGCAAACGTGATGTTTGTGGACGGCTGCGGTTATACCGTTTGATCAATCATGGAAACTATTATTGTACTTAAAGAAAAGTTTATACTTATACGTAAACACATGTTCCAAACAATTAGATTTATAACTTAAATGAGGTTACACTCCATATACAAGGAATTTTTCCAAAATAAAATCTCTACGTTGTTGTCAACAACAACCATCTATATAAAATTAAAAACTTAACTACGATAACTACGATTAACATAAAATACTTTTAGATTGATGAAAAGTTGTGATGATTAGTAGGATTAGTTAATAAGTTTTTACAATATTTTTGGAATAACGAATGGACACTAATAATGTACGAGGACGAAGTGAAGAAATGCGTATATACGATGAACACTAACGCAATCGATGCATTAAAAGAAAAACCATTTCATTATCTTATAATTGTTTCTAGATGAAAGAGACATTGCCCTCAAAAAAGAAACCATTTTTTGATCAAAGAAAAAGAACAACCCCTTTTTGCTTTTAAATTCGAGTGCTCTATGATTAACAGAAATGATACAAAACAATTTAACACAGGTATCTTGAGGGCATTACGCTCACTTTATCTTATTTTTTTGGGAGCAAACATTCACTTTATGTTACGTAATTAAATTCATTATAATCTATATATAATCATTAACGAAGAGATACTTTTTGGGAAAAAGTTAGAGAAGAAGGAAAAGTCATATGAAAGTGAAAGTGATTGGGAGGCACTAGAGAGTGGGTTTGGCTGTGCAAAAAGAGAGAAAGAGTTCCCCACAATTCCATGTGATATCACTCACTCTCTTACAATCGCATGCGAGATTACTACACGGACTAGCACTCAAACTCGGATTCATATACTATCGTTAAAAACAATTCGAACTTATTTGGTATTTATTTATCATAAACTACACGAACTCACTTATATAGTACGTAGGTTTGGTTTTAAAAGCAAACCGAACCGTATGGGTTGAAGAAAAGTTTACCCAAACAGATAATGTATAGATCATGGTTTGGTTAGGGGTTGGTTTGTATTTGGTTAATTTGGTTAAAATGCTCACCCCTAAGTACTACACTATAGACAAACTGAATCTTTACATCATTTAAAATTTCAAATGTTGATGGATTTGTAATTTATATACATAAATTATCACGTATAATCAATAGGTGTTTCATCATTTATGTGACTATATCAATAATGTCATGAACATCTGCAAATAGTACACACATGACACAACAAAGCTTGTCCAATTGGTAGAAGAAAAAGAACACAAATAATCTATGGATGATTTATGCACCTCAAAACTTTGGATCCGCACAATTTTATCTTGAAAACGGAAAAGCAATATGATAGACAATAAAAATGTGAAATGTGTCTACACGAAGAAGTAAGTTCATGATCGGTCTTTAAACAACTCTTTGAGCAACCCAGTATATTATTTTTCAATTTATGCCAGTGATCTATATTGTGTTGTTTCAAGATTTTTCCATCATTTGTTCATTTTGTGCACGATTTTTACTTTGACGTAGTGAATCAAAGTAATTTCAAAAAATTTATGTTTCATGCTTTTATATAACAAGGTTAAAGTTAAACTTAACCAAAGTTTATCTTTTATAAACGATAATGATAAACTGGAAAAAATATACAAGATTTAGTGTTATAAAAAAGATCGGAGTGTCGGACCGTCGGTTGAAGCATTGTCCCCATCTTCACAAGATGCAATTCCGAATATCATACAAAAAAAACAAAACAAAATAATTACGAAGATATTAGTGAACCGAAATCAAGAAACTCAATCCGGTCCACGTAAACCAAATCTGGTTTAATTCGTGGCTATAATCAGTAGACGTCACTGTCGTGTTTCTTTATAGATCTCGTACGGACCAGAGCAAAGCACCCAATAATTTATAAACCAAACAGGCCTATAAATATTGGCCCTCCCTAGTTAATACCATTTTCAACACTTACAACAAACAAAACACCTAAACATAATTAAATTAACTATTACAAGTAAACACTCAAGAACATGGAGGAGCAGAGCAAGAACAAGAACAAGATCAGCGAAGAAGAAAAACAACTTCATGGGAATCGAAGTCGACCAAAGGGAGGACTAATTACCATGCCCTTCATCTTCGGTAATGAAACCACAAACAGTCCATGTATATATATGATTATTATTTTGGTTTTTGTAACAAATATGAGACTGATTAGAGTTACTATTTTTTTAATGATAATCAGCGAACGAGATATGTGAGAAATTGGCGGTGGTTGGGTTTCACGCAAACATGATAAGCTATTTAACAACACAGCTTCACCTTCCTTTAACCAAAGCAGCCAACACTCTCACTAACTTCGCCGGAACTTCAAGTCTCACTCCTCTCCTCGGTGCCTTTGTCGCCGACTCCTTCGCCGGCCGCTTCTGGACCATCACTTTTGCTTCCATCATCTACCAAATCGTACGTTTTATATTACAATCTTTATTCCAATAAATTGTATGTTTAGAATATAACCAAAGTTTATTATTGTTCTAACGAGAAATGTTAAATAAAAAGGGGATGACACTGCTAACGATATCGGCAATAATACCGACGCTAAGGCCACCACCATGTAAAGGAGAAGAGGTTTGTGTAGAAGCAGACACAGCACAGTTGAGTATTTTGTACATAGCTCTTCTTCTTGGAGCTCTCGGGTCGGGTGGGATCCGACCCTGTGTTGTTGCTTTTGGTGCGGATCAGTTCGACGAGTCGGATCCTAAGCAAACCACCAAAACCTGGAACTACTTCAACTGGTATTTTTGTTATATATACCTTTCTTTTTCTTCACATATACACATATCAATTATTATATTTCATTCATAGATTCCTCAGGCCTTTTTTATTTGTCGATTTTGATCGTAGAGATTATAAAAAACATATAAATACATACTAGGATTACCTAATAATAATATGTTTACTACTGTGTTTTGTCTTAACCCTAAGAGACTACTACATAGCTAACATGACTTTGTAATACTACTTATTAAGTAGAAAATGCAACTATTAGCTATATATTAAGCATTTTTTATGTTTCTAGATGATGGAAACACTTTTGTTTATTATTCTTCTAGCCCAAAGCAAAGAACAAAACTTTTATAGGTCTCTTAAATAAAAAAATTAAGTAATCATCTAGATGTCTAAAAAGTCGTGTTCTGAATCATGAGCATGTGCTTAATGTTAAATTTAATGAAAATTTGTTAATGGATTTTGAATTGATGATTAGGTACTACTTTTGCATGGGAGCAGCAGTTTTAGTGGCGGTGACGGTTCTTGTGTACATCCAAGATAACGTTGGGTGGGGTCTAGGTTTGGGCATACCGACAGTGGCTATGTTCTTATCCGTTATTGCTTTTGTCGGCGGTTTCCGGCTTTACCGTCACTTGGTTCCGGCGGGTAGTCCATTTACCCGCCTGATCCAAGTGTCAGTCGCAGCATTCCGCAAAAGGAATCTGCGGATGGTTTCTGACCCAAGTCTTCTCTATTTCAACGATGAGATTGATGATCCTATCTCCTTAGGTGGTAAACTCACCCACACCAAACACATGAGGTAAATTACTGAATCCTATTGTTATTGATCACTCTTCTCTATTTTATAAGATTTTCTTCACAATTTGATTCTAAAGTATACTATAATTAAATTAGTTGAATATATAATAATTTATTTTAGGATTAAGTATTCGTCTGACTAGTGTATATCCAGATAGTCACCCCAACGAGGAATCCTATAAGAATCTCTGGATATATTATACAATTTATAACTATAAAAATGATATTTCTGTCACTACGACCTGAAGATTCAATCAAAATATAGTAACGTAAACAATTGAGTAATCGTACAACAACTTGTCCACTGGGGTGAAACGAGACAAATTAGAAGTAAAAATCACAAAATACATCCAAATTCTTACATCATTATTGTAATCGGTAATATATTGACAAAAAAAAAGGAAATTCCAAAAGCAACAAGACGTAAGCTCCTCACTTCACCAAGACAACACATCACAGTTTTGTCATTTTTATTGTTTTTGGCATATACAGTATACATATATGCAGCAATAAGCCAATAATTGGATTATTATTGGACCCATTTCGAAAATAGTAATATTCAGATAATAATTAATAGTGTAATTCTGATATGACTGAGCCTAAATCGTTAACTTCTTTGTCATTTACACCAACATTATACTAAAAATCATTGCACTTCTGATCATTAATTAACTACTTATGCTATAAACGCGAATTGTTTGACTAATAAAACTTTGCATTAATTACAGTTTCTTGGACAAAGCAGCGATTGTGACGGAGCAAGACAATTTGAAACCGGGTCAAATCCCTAACCCATGGAGGCTAAGCACAATCCACCGGGTCGAAGAGCTCAAATCGGTGATCCGAATGGGTCCAATCGGAGCCTCCGGGATCCTCCTAATCACAGCCTATGCTCAACAAGGAACCTTCTCTCTACAACAAGCCAAAACCATGAACCGTCACTTAACCAAATCATTCCAAATCCCAGCCGGTTCAATGTCCGTCTTCACCACCGTCGCGATGCTCACCACAATCGTCTTCTACGACCGCATCTTCGTCAAAATCGCCCGGAGATTCACCGGTCTCGAGAGAGGCATCACGTTCCTCCACCGCATGGGGATCGGCTTCGTCATCTCGATAATCGCGACGCTCGTCGCCGGATTCGTCGAGATCAAACGCAAACGCGTCGCGATCGAGCACGGGCTTTTGGATAAGCCTCACACGGTGGTTCCGATCTCGTTCCTGTGGCTGATTCCTCAGTACAGCCTCCACGGAATCGCCGAGGCGTTCATGTCGATCGGACATTTGGAGTTTTTCTACGATCAAGCGCCGGAGAGTATGAGGAGTACAGCGACGGCGCTTTTCTGGATGGCGATTTCGATCGGGAACTATGTGAGCACTTTGCTTGTGACTTTGGTTCATAAATTCAGTGCTAAACCGGATGGGAGCAATTGGTTACCGGATAACAATTTGAACCGGGGAAGGCTCGAGTATTTTTACTGGTTAATCACTCTGTTACAAGTTGTTAACCTCGTGTATTATCTTTGGTGCGCCAAGATTTACACGTATAAACCGGTTCAGGTGCATCATAGCAAGGAAGTGGAAAGTCCGGTTAGAGATGAATTGCAGTTATCCAATAGGGGTTTAATTGATGCATAAGCGACCTTCGGGTTTGTAATGTAAAATCTACAGGTAAGTAATGTATCTATAGATTTAATAAAAAAATATAGAAAAATGACTTTGTCCATATGGTTGTTTAATATGGGATGAAATCAATAGAAAGCTGAAAAAAACCTCACTAATTAAAAACCAAACCAATTTCAATTGGGAAATATTGAATAAGAAAACAATTGATCATAAACATCCTCTATATATTAAATAAGAAGAATTTAGAAGTCATTTTGCAGAGGTGTCGTTCCCACAATTTTTTTCAACATTTTTCTTTTAAATAATTCATTATATTCCACCTATGATTATTTCCTTATTTATATCCCTCCGCCAATTAGAATTTAATTTATTATTTACTAATTTTTTCATTCGTTTTCCTTATTTAGCTCAACTGACTTCTTTAAAAATTTATGATTTATACATGCATAATTTTCATTTCATCTACCTTATTTTCAACACAAAACAACTATATACTAATATAAATTGACAAAGCAATCGATTGATTAACAAAAATTAAATTTAAATTATTACTATCTTTATTTTCTTATTTTTATGCAAAATTTATATTCACATTCATATCATAAATCAACATTCTGAGAAGTACAAATTTTATTATTCTACATAATTACTATTATACAAATGAGGTATGTATTTATACAATTGATAATTATAATTATATTCACTCCAATATACATGATCACATATTCCCGTTTCATAAATTTCAAATCTTAGCTACAATATTGTTTACATTATTGTGTCAATATACGTGATCCCATAATCTTGGTTCATTTAATTTTAAAATTTAATAACCGTAATAATGAAGAAATCATAACTCTACCTTAAACTTTCCTCTGAATTTCTCGACACAATTAAATGATTAAGCATAAATGGAATCAATGTATGCATATTCCAAATTTATCAGTTAATGATTACATTACCTTCCTATATTATCGTAACCGTATCAATCTGAAATTATATAACCGAATTTTAAATTATTGTTTGGATAGTCTAAACAAGGCCTATATTTCCGATATATTTTAGATGCACTGTACCTACCTAAATCAAAATATTCCGTATTTCCGTATATGTAGAAGTAATTAAACAAAATAGACCCTTTATGGAAAACGAGCAATATTGCAAATTGAATATATCAAAATTGCCTAAATCTATCAAATTTCAACGTCATTTCAAATTCAAATTCATAATTGACCGTCTACAATATTTTCCCTCTTCTAAAGATTGTATCGAAGATTTACCCTAGACTCACCCCATTCATCATTTCGCTATATATAGTTACCACTGTTGATATCGAATTCATCATCCCAGCTAAGCAATATTTAGCTTACATACTCCCTCTTGCAAAGTTTGCGATGTCGACCTTCACATCCCTCACTGCCCTAAAGCCATTCAAAACTCAATGGAGGATCCGTGTCAAGATACTGAAGTCGTGGAAACAGTATTTGAATGGGATCGAGACGATGGAGATGGTCGTTGTCGATGAACTGGTATTGTTTTGTACTTTGTTTGTTCGATATTCATACTGATCCATTTTGATCATATATATATTATTTAACGTTTTGCTTATTATTATATTGTCATGCAGAATCAAACTATGCATGTTAGTATGAAGAAGCAGTTCATAAAAAAATTTGAAAATCTTCTAGAGGAAGGAACTACTAAGATCATCACTAATTTTCAAGTCACTCACAACGGTGGTAAGTTCAGGACTACTTCTCATGTTTACAAGATCCAGTTTGCTGCCACGACGTTTGTCAGACCTTCTGAAGATCTGGATGCCACAATTCTTGGGTTGAAGTTGGTGAACTTCGCTGATATTCACGAGGGCAAGTTGAATCCTGATTTTCTAATAGGTAAATGGTATATTTATATCTCGCATACATTACTAATATGAACCAAAGCATATTACATCTAATTATTGGTTTATGTTTTTATTTTGCAGATATTGTTGGACAAATTGTTAGTATTGGTGAGGTTGAGATTCTAACCGTTAACAAAAAACAGACCAAACGTCTAACAATGACACTTCGTGACACCAGGTTTTTTAATTCTCTTTGACACCTAAATATTGTTAATAAGACGTCTAATATATTTTTTGTTTTTTTAGTGATGTGCGCCTGAATTGTGTTCTCTGGGGGAATTATGCCGAAAGTTTGGAGAGTGTTGCTACACATGCAACTAATGCTATCATTTGTTTTGTGTTAAGATTTGGAAAGTTAAGATTGTATCAAGGTACGAGAAAAATGTTTTTTGTTAACAAACAAAATATCGTTTTAAAAAATATATATAACTTTCAAGACATTTCATTATTTAGGTGTATGGAGTATTGGCAATTGTTACAGTTCTTCCATTGTGATGACAGATCCTGATCTCCCTGAAATAAATTCTTTTAGAAACCGGTATATTCATATCTATAACTTTTATCAATTTTCCATTTAGTTTACTTTCATGTCACTAAAATCCATGATTTTTTTTCCTTTACAGCTTACCAAAAGATGATGTGACTTTGTCATACACACACCCTAACCAATTGACAATTGTCAATTCTGTTTCTGTAAGAGATGATTTCTTCTTACATACCCCTCGCCGGACAATAAGTGAAATACTTGGTGCATCTGAGGTATTTATTTTGCGTGATATACATATTTCTTAAACAACAAATGGCGATTGGGTTTTTAAAAGAAAGTAATGCTTCAATTATTAGGTTGAAAAATGTGTGACTATGGCTACCATCATGTCTATTGACACTGAGTTTGGATGGTACTATATGTCATGCAAAGTATGCTCTAAAAAGGTGCTTCCTCTTGATATGGATTTTTTTTGAAAGAGCAATATCCTGGTAGGCCATTTCCTAAACAGTTGTGGAAATGTGGCAAATGTAAGGATGATGTTGAAAGTGTCGTACCAGCGTAAGTCTTGGATGCAATTTGTAGAATAAAAGAATATTTGTAATTTCCATATATATTCATATTCATATGTTGTTCTATGCTAACATAGGTTTATGCTGACTTTCCGTGTTATGGACAACACTGGCGAAACAAAGTTCTTACTCTTTGATAAGCTTGCCATGGAAGTTGTAAATCAAACAGCTGCACAATTGACTGAATCTGTGGAAGAGGTAGTTATGCAGATTACTATCAACTCTATTATAGTGAATCTTACTATATATATTAGATATGCTTATATGTTTGCTAAACTGCTTGCAGATCCAAGATCCAGATGTACTCCCTCTTCCAATTAGTAACATTTGTGGGAAAACTTTTCTGTTCAAGCTATCTATTGAGAGTTCAAACATCGTTTTCAACAGTGATGTTTACAAAGTTACAAAGATTGTGACCCAAAGTGACATGGTCAAAGAATTCTCAGAAATATCCGGATTTTTGGTTTGATCCCTAAACTATTTATTCCTATTAGTATTTATTCATATTTCATTGCCTTTTGATCTTTGTTAACTTATTGTTTTATTTATAGACTACCCCTGATATCAAGTCTGAGGAAATGGGGTTTATAACTCCCGATGAACAGGTTTGCTATTTAGGAATTAGATAGCTCTCATTAATATTATATGAATGTGCATAAACATATTTGTTTAAATTTGTCATTTTAGGTTCCTAAGATGTTACTTGACATTGGCGACGATGATAATTCACCACAGTCAAAATGGAAAAGCGATGAGATAATTGACTTTGATGATCATAATGGAGAGCAGTCTACTTCTAAGAAAGCTGCTAATGGCGACATGAAGGCTTTGGCGAGTGAAGTAAAGATTTATCTGAAGCCTGTTAAGAAGGAGAAAGTTGATGACTGAAGTCTTCGTTTCTTTAACAATATGCATTCTCCTGCTTGCTTTGTTTTCTAGGATTTACTACAATATCTCATTGTTTAAGTTTCGGTTATTTTTTTCCTAGCCCGTAGGATTTGTCTTTTTCCGTTTTCAGTTTTGCGGTAGTTTGTTATTTGAAGTTTAATAAAAGCAGGAATTTTAAACTATATTATATTTTGCTACTTAATTAGTAACTGCTGAATTTTAATTTATTAGTATAAATAACAAAGTAAAATACCTGCATGTACAGAAGGTTTCGCCAAACTCAAGCCTAATATGAAAAGAAATTCTGCATGGCAATTAAAATTTACAACATTCATGCAAGATATTTGGAGTCATTAATACTTTGGCAATACATATATTTTTTAGCACTTACAAGTACAGTTGTATCCTAAAACAACTCTGTATTTAAATATAAAATTAGAAATATATTTACATTTTACAAAATTAGGAAAACGATCGTAACTACTATATTCTGTCGTATATAGATGTTAATTGGTGAATATTAACACAACCAATCATAATTAAAAGAACTTAAACTAATTCCTAAAGTTTCCATGTTTAGATAAATTCTCAATATATTTGTAATCTTAACAAATCTTTAGAATATTGTAACTATCCTATTAAGATGCATACTACTTTTAAATTATTAATATTAAATATATCCTACAGATATATCGATTCTCTACATTCTCACAAATCTGTAGAAAAATGAAAAAGAACAAAAATTCGTCTTCTGCAATGGATAAAGATCATGACATCTTAACCAAAAGACCTAAACTGGATTTCATTAACCCATGTATTAAAGTTATGGTTCATTCGCTAATAAACTCAAATTTATACTCGGGTTTGTATATTCTTAAGAAAGTACAAAAAATTACTTACGAATCCAATTTATAAATGTTCTATCTAAAAGTTCCACATATATTTTTGTATTATTTACAGAACACAATGGAGATATTCAAGTTACCCCTGCACGAGTAACATTACCAGTACCTATCTCAAATCCTGATGATTTCGAAATAACGTTGGAGATATCATTAATATTCAGAACCCCCCGACCACTTCAAGTACTCGGAAAAGGAATCAATGTAGTTTGAGTACGTATTATATTTATTTCCTATGGGCCAAGATGAAACATCATTGAACAACTTATATTGCTCAACTATTTATGATTGTTTGGTAATTAGATAATAAACATGGACTGAAACATCGATGTTTTTATTATATACAGATGCCAATGGGGAGAATGAAGTTACCCCTAAACGAAAAGCATTGCCAGTTCCAATTTCAATTCCTGGTGTTTTCCGAAATATATTAGGAGATATCAGTAATACCCGAACTGGCCCCATTGCTTCAAGTTATCCTAAAAGGAACCAACTTAGTCCAAGTACGTAGTTTATTTATATTCATTGTAATCGATTTATTCATTGACAACTGCATTATCTTTAAATTTTGTTGTTCTCCTGTAACATCAGTAACAGGAAAACAAAATTACACAGGTACACAAATTTTTTTTTTAACCCTTCTTCTTTATGTTTAGTGGTAACTTAATGAAACCTCTTTTATAACTAAATTATTTTCTTTATAATATCTAGCAAGTCCAGTCACTCCATGTTATGGCTCAAATCAATTTCTGCCAACTATACCAACAGTAAATATTTGTGATAGTCGATATTCTACATCAGGATACTCAAATATCACATATAACCAAAATCCTGATACGACCAAAAGGAAAAAAACTCAATCAAGTAAGCTTATTTTTATATATTTAGTTTAATATTTAGTTTATTTTTTTAAAAAATGTTAAATACTTATGACTACTTTGTTTCATATTCATTTTCAGGAAAATTAGATCAACCCATTGTTGGAAATCATGTTTTACCCGATAGAAACTTGAAAGATGTCACAAGAAATCTCAAATTCAACGATGGACCTTCAAGTTCAAGAAATAAAAATATAGAATTGAGTCATCCATCTAAAAGTTCTAGAACTGCACGTACGTTTATATTTCTTTCAATTAAATCTCTATTGTATCATTTAGGTTTTATATAATGAGTTTTTCATTTTTTGATTTACATCAACTAGCAAAACTAAGAGATGATCCATCAAGATACAACACATGTGAAAAGATTGAGTCTGCCCGTATCCTTAATAACTTAGTTGTTATATCCTGATTTTTTATATACTTGCTTAATTAAAGAGATTGCTCTATCACAATTGTGTCCTTCATATTATCAATTAATAGTTGTTTCGTTTTGGAACTCTGCTATGGAGAAAGCAATGCAACCATGTAATAAATCACCCAAAACTACTTCGCAATCAGGTATCATGTATTAAATATGTTCAAATCTTTGTTTATAATTATGATGTATATGACATAGAAATTATCTTTTAACTTATCTAACATTTTGATAAGTTGGTTTATGAAAATAGGCTCTGTTACTTCATCGACTTCTACTTTATCTAACAACCATGGAAAAAAATCAGTAAGGAAAAAGAAAGGTATAATCATGTATTAGTTGATAGGGTAATTGTTAAATACTTTAATTTAATTTTGGACGTATTTTAATTGTTAATATTGCTTTTATATTTGTATAGATACATCCAATGTTCCTATTCCTCAATCACAAAGTAATCCACTAAGTAACATTACCAATTCCATTTTTGAAAATCAAAGATTGTCAAGGATTAATAAGAGACAGGTTATCTTGAAAAAGAGACATGCAAACATTCAAGCTTCAGGTATATATATTCATATTTCTTTCCACAATATTATTAATCATGGTCGTGTATTGTAAGGTATTCTATTGGTTATCGTCATTATGATTAAAGTTTTCTATATTATTTACTTCCATAAACATTACTGTGTTGTCAGGATCTTCGACAATCTATGATCCAAGTGGTTTACAATCTACACTATCATTGGAAGGTGTAGAAAGGAATTATACACCTGCAAATGATCATGGCGTCCCTGAGTGTAGTACTGTTCAATCTCAATTAGATATTGGACCTGTAATTCAGCCTAATGGTAACGTAGTTGACTTTGGATGTATCAGCTTACTGTTTACTGATATATAATAGATTATAATTCGTCATGTTATAGGGTACTACGATGATGGCGACCCTATTTATCATTGTACACACTGCTCTGCCCGTATGTGGTTTAACGAGAGGATCAACAAGAAAAAAAATTGAAGGCATACATTTTCACGCTTTGTTGTATGCAAGGAAAAGTAAAGCTCCCAATGTTACAGCAACCTCCTCTTCTACTGTTATATCTTTTCACAAGTGACGATGAGATTTGTCGTCATTTCCGTGAAAATATTAGAGCATATAACATGATGTTTTCTTTTACCTCTATAGGAGGCAAAATAAATCATGATGTTTTCTTTTGTTACTGTTTTTTTTTTCACCCTTTGTTTGTAATCAACTTAGGGATTATTCCTTCCAATGCTTTGCATATGGTGACTTTGCTGTGGACATCAAAGAACGATGTAAAGGATTCACAGGTCCCTTGGCTATTTGTGTTTTAACTGACTGGACAGTTAAGAAGAATATCGGTATGTATATATTTCTATTAGATCATTTTATCAAATTTTAAGTAATTTGGACATACATGCAATTTCTTATATGATTTATGTTATCTCTTTAGATGAACTGACTATCCATGAACATGAAAACATTGGCTTCTCTCGCTTCTTACTTGCTCCACCCATCGATCAAGTTTATAAGTTCAGGAACAAGTAAGCATTCAAATATATTTCCTTTTACTTTACTAAAAATCCAACTTTCTATAATTAAGTCGTCATTCATATTTTGCAGGATTACCAAAAAAATGATGGCTGCGTCTTCAACTCAAGAAACTTGCGCAACTAAAGTCGACTAGAGATGGATCATCATCTGTTGCGTTTAACTATTTTTATTTTCTAAGTCTATGGTGTGATGTTGAGCTTTTATATTTCTGTTAAAACTTTAAACTTATCGTATGTTTTGTTATGGATCCTTTTGGATATTTGCTGTTTAATTTCTATTTATTAAGGACGTATTTTACTTATCGAATTTCTGTTTATTCTGTTATTTAGAACTTTGTGGTAGTTTAGATAATATAAAATTATGAAAGTTATCTAAATGTTTTTTAAAAAATTTGGTTAGCTAAAAACCAGGGAAATGAGATTCTAAAATAGAACCTCAGTTTTTATCTCCGATTTATTTAGTATATTCTGTAAATATACCTGATTACTCTTTCTAATAACGTTCATGTTTAATTATAATAGACATTAGTTATCTCTAGAGTATCTGAAACAGCTTTAATATACTAAAAAAAAAACATATGTCGAATAAGTTTAAGCATATTCAACTAAAAACTATGCTCAAACCAAATAAATTACGAATTAAATTAATACAACTTCAATAGTAGAATAACTACAACAAAATTCTATGAATAAATTATATAGTGTTACATCTTCGCCTCTGATAGCTTCTGCAAACAGAAACAATGATTCCCACAATTGAAAGATAAAGCTAAAACTTCGAGAAGACCATAATTCTCTATCACATCACTAGATCTTCGATGTCATCTATGCTTCACTCTGTTATTCTATTTTTTCCCTTTTTAACTTGGATATTACTCTTTCTAATGGTTGTATTACATAAATAATATACCAAAATATAATATTAATTCCCGTCGAATATATTAGTTCTGTCTTTCTTTTCATCATACACTTCAATATATTTTGGTCATTTTTCTTATAATAATTAGCGCAATATATATATATATATATATTTATGAATGAAATTAGAAATCGGTTAAATTCATTCATTACTGTATATTACAAAAAGGGAAACTATTAAAAACAAAAAAAAATACAAAACAAATCAATAAATAGTTAGTCACATATATCAAGTCCATTTATCATATATCAATATGGTACTAACATAAATAAACACTTAAAATAAATTCTGTTTCAAATACAACAAAATGCGCAATTAATTGATTTGTCATTCAATATCCTGTACACATACATTATAGTAGTTTATGATTTCGGTATAAAAGATAACATCCTGGGTAATATCCTAGTATACAGTATATAGGTTTGATTAAAAACTGAACCATACTATATTTGGTTTTACGTTGACTATTATTTAAAAAAAAAAAACTAAACTAAACGACTTGAAAGACCATAAAACACCTAAACCGGTTCGAACCAAGTTGAAAAGTTGTTTGGGCCTTATTGGGCTTAATTGACAGTGAAACAAGCAACGTGGAGAAAAAGCAACGTGTTGCGAAAAGTCACGTTCCAAAACGTATCGCAGAGTCAATTGTTTCTCATCTTCCAGAACACGTCTTTGATTGTCCACGCAAGTTTTAACTTATGTGACCCATCATGATCAAGAGAGAATTTTCAAAGTCTCTGCAATCGTGGCGGCGAAGCTATATAAGAGAAAGAGAGGAGGAGAAGAGAAAAAGCAATGGAGCAAGACATGATCGAGAACAACACAAGAGTTAACACGCCTTTGTCGGTTATCACGGAGGCTTTTGAGGATCTCGCAGATTTTCTAAAACCGCGGCGGAATAAACGGTGCGACGAAAACGACGACGAATCGATTGATGGATTAAGGCTCGATGCGTTTTGCAGTGCGTGTACTCACGTCTCTGTTCTCTTCGGTTGCCTCGGATTTGCCTTCAAATTCGCCGAAATGGAATACGTCTCCAAGGTTCGAAACCATAATCTCAATCCAAATTCTGGTGATAATCGTTTTCGATTTTCAAATCCGAATCGAATTTTGTTATAGATGAGACTTAAAAGTAAGATCTAACTGAAATGGACCAATTAACTTATTGCTGGTTATATTGTTAGTCTCTTGAGTTGAAACACTAATCTCAATTAACATTTCCTCGAATTTTTTTTGATAATCGTTTTGATTTTCAAATTTGGGTTCAATTTTGTTTGGAATTTCACTAATTAATCTCAATTGAATTTGGATTAGAAGCACAAATTTAACAAATGTGTTGTGAATCAGGTTAGGGATTTGGTGGAGGCATCAAAAACTTTTGAGACGTTACAGAACATTTTGGATCTTGATGTAGAGAATGAAACGGTTAAAACGCCTGGAAGCAATTCGCGAAATCTCCGACGTGTTAGACTAGGCTTAGAGCTAATCCGAGCCATCTTCGAACAGTTTTTATTGACGGACGAGTATTATTCTTTGAAAGACGCTGCAACGAAAGCTTACACACAAGTATGTGCACCGTTTCATACATGGGCGGTTAGAACCGCTGTTTACGCCGGAATGTATACGCTTCCGACAAGGGAACAACTTCTGTTACGTCTTAACGAAACAGGTGTGTGTTTTATACTATATCTTTGGTCGGATTTTGATTGTTGTGTTATGTTCTTGATTCTTTATAACGTACTTATTGTTTATGTTTTGATGTGGTTTTTGAAGATCAATCTGTGGAGAAGAACATGAGGAGGTACATGGAAGTGTCTCGACCGATCATAGATTATATTGACAAGCTTTACATTGATAGGAACATTAAATTGAATTGGTAGCAATTTTTCTAAACAAATAAAAGGTTAGTTTAAATTTGGAGCTTTGTCTTGAGGCCCAATGATTGTTCCCTGGATGAGATTTCTTTCTTGAAACAGATTTTGGGTGGAATAACATTACTGAATGACATATGTTTTGGTACAAAAAAATATATTATACTGTTTATTGTTATGATCTACGTATGAATGAGTAAATTTGTGCTTGTGGTCTTGTAGTATTTAAAGATTCTGGTGATCATCAAGGTGTTTTGTCTTCATTACTTCATAGGCAATCACGAGAATTTCGATTTTAGGTTAGTTTTATTTGTAAACCTTAAAATAAAATTTTATAAAGATTCATTGTGAAATAATTAGGTGTAGTCTTTGGTGTAGTTTTTGGTTCGTCAAAATAAAGAGTAAAAAATTGAATGAATGAATAACTAGCTAAACCGTCCTGTTTATCATTGAAGATGTTCTCCTCGTGAGAATTGAGAATCTGATTCTTATATTATCTGTGGAATCCGAACTTAATAAAAGCAGCATCGTCCGCCTCTTGATTGCTTTGAGATTGCGGTCATGACTAAGAATCTAGTAGCATGTCGAAAATTGAAACATATCCACAACAAAATTAAAAATTTATTGTCTTATATAAATGACCTATCCAAATGAAAGTCCTAAATGTACAGGAGATCTATCTAAATTAAAATTTTTCTTGCTGAGATTGTTTTCCTAAACGATGAAATTATACATAATTTATACTATATGGAACCGAAGATTATTAAAGTCAATGTATAGAAGATATACACTATAGTATACATAGAATCGACGATTTTTTGGTAGGTTGGTATAATTGTTGATTATTCTTATAATTATTTGAAATTAAATAAATAATTTTACTAACAAAAGGAAAAAAATATCTGTGGTTGAATGTTCTTCGGAATTCTCATTAATTCGATGAAAGTCAACGAGATAAAAGAATCTCTACAAAGTTTCCTTATACTTTCCCGTTATGTTATTTCCGTATTTGTAATTTTTGTATTCTATCAAAGATCTAAATTACTAAGAAAATAAATGTAAACAGATACTGAATAAAATCTTTAAAAAATTAAAAAGACGTGATAGCCAGCTGTCAAATAGACAGCAGAGCGAGTCTTCTCTTACAAAAAAGAAAAAAAAATCCGGAAATCACGCGCTCCATCGCTATTACACAACTTGTCTTTTGTCCTTTTCCGTTATAAAAATTCTCAACGGGGCCTCCTCCTTATCGTGACGGAGGAAAGAGAAAGCGATTTAAAAAAGAAAAAAAAACCCTCTTTAATGGCACTCTTCGTAATTTCCACTAATACCAGTAGACAACATCGTAATTAACTACATTCGCTCTACGTGGAGCCAATCACCACCCTCAATCTTATCCCCAAATTGAAACCCTAGCTTAATCTCTCCCCGGTTTTTTTATATTATTCAAATTCCGCCTTCTTCTTCTTCTCTCTTCTCTGATTTTTTTTTCTTCACGCGGAGAGAGAGAGAGAGACAGCGAAGAGGAGAGGATTACAAATTAGGGTATAGATTGGGAAGATTTTGTTCGCCGTGGAGATATGGCGTGGTCATCGGAAACGCCGTCGTATTGCGGCTGGAATGAGCTGCATGTGAAGAACGCGAAAGGAAAGATGGAGGTTCATTATTATCTCGAGAGGAGAGACGGATGTGCAGATCTCGCTGTTGTTGGGAGGTTGAGAAACTCCAAACGCATGTCCTTTAGATACGCCTTGAAAAAGAATCGCTCCGTTTTGAAGAAGCTTAACTCTATTGAAGACGTCGCGGATTGGCTCAATTCCATCGTTTCCGGTAAATTTTTTCAATCTCTTCATCGATTTTTTTTTCTCCTTCTCTGTGCCCTTTTGCTTGGTCTTTATTGGGTGTGTCCTGTTTTCTTCTTTTGATTTGGGAAACGTGATAATGATCAGATCTGGATTCGTATGAGCTCGAAGGGGGTTTTTTTATTGCCTTCGCATCGATTTCTGAGATTGCTGAAGAATTTGAATTTTTTCTAATCGTAATTTGGAGAGTTTGATACGATTTCGGAGCCCTCGCTAAGTTGTTAAGAGGATGAAATTGATTTTTTTTTTGGGGTTCTATTCTCTGCGAGTCAATCCTAGGTGTGACTAAAGGCTTGGGCTTTGAATTGATGAAGATAATGTAAATTGGCTTTCAAGGTTTTGTTTTGAGCTCATGTAATCGTCTGCGAGGAGCTTATCACAAGACTTGTATAGGGTTATTGAGGTGCTTATTTGTTTATTCGCGGGATGTTTTAGTGGTCACCCATTCAACTGTGAAATTTTTATTGGAAATGTTGTTACATTGTGTTAGAGCGCTTACCCTCCTTCCGTTGCGCCTTTTGCAGCTAAATCTATTAATGACTTAGTTTTGCTGCAGACAGATCCGCTTTCCTCCTTTTGGTACTGAGCATGTCTGCACGAATTGATATTTTTCAAGTTTTGTTCAATTTTGTACCTAGAGATTAACATTTGTTGAAATATTGCTGATCCTTTTGGTTCTGTTTTTCTTCTATTTCATAGGTGCGATACCTCATGCTGCAGATGTACCAGCTACTTCTATGAATGAACAATCTGTTGGAAGATTGAATATTGGCACATTTATGGTACTGGTCTAATCAACGCCAATAGCTTGTTTTCCTTCATGTATAGAAGGGTTTTCTTGTTAGAATATGATATATTAACGGGTTTCTCTTTTGTTTCTTTTCAGAATGGTCAATTTCAGAAGCCAATTCATCAGGCCATAAATTTTTCCTGGCTGGGTTCTTCTTGGACTTGCAGGAAACGGCGTAAGCATTATCCATCTTTTTACCGGAATGGTGTCAGAGTCTCGGTGAGTTTATTTTAAAGTTCTCATTGAGGTTCGATTGGTTTGATTTGCTGTATGTAATCATATTCTGTTACTTTTCCGTGCTAAAAACTGACCTTTTTTTGTTACACAAACTCATTGCAGGTTAACGATTTTGTGTATGTTTTAGCGGAGCAAAATAAGAGACTTGTTGCATACTTGGAAGACCTTTATGAGGATTCCAAAGGAAACAAAATGGTTGTGGTACGATGGTTTCACAAAACTGATGAGGTTGGTATTGTTTTGCCCGACGATGTTAATGACAGAGAGATTTTCTTTTCTCTTTGTCTTCAAGATATCAAAATTGAGTGCATAGATGGATTGGCTACAGTCCTCAGTCCTCAGCATTATGAGAAATTTCTCAAGGTGCCAATGCATGTTCAGCTAGTAGCCTTCTTCTGCCAGAAACTATATGGAGATGATGTCATAAAGCCGTATGACATTACACAGTTAGAAGGTTACTGGAGGCAAGAAATGCTTAGATACTTGAATGTATCGAATTTAAAGGCAGATGAAGGTGCTCAGGCGCCTGGTACCGAACCAGGATTAGGAGATTCTCCGGTTGGTTGTGGTGGAATTAGATCTAGGAAACGGCGTCGTTCCGCAGATGACGTCAAAAGTGACTGCAAAGCTAGCCCAACTTCTGTTGACTTGGGGGCTTCCGATGGTTCTTCCCATCACATTAAAAAGGGCTCACTTGTTGAAGTTCTTTCCCAAGATAGTGGCATCAGAGGTTGTTGGTTTAGGGCATTGATAATAAAGAAACACAAGGACAAGGTTAAGGTCCAGTACCAAGACATTAAGGATGCAGATGATGAATCTAAAAAGCTAGAGGTACTCACTTGGAAACCCACTTTTGGTTTTGGTTTATTCTGTCCAATGTGTTAACATGCTTCACTCTTCTTTGTTGCAGGAGTGGATTTTGGCATCTCGGGTGGCTGGTAGTGATCATCTCGGATTTAGAATCCCAGGACGGAAAATAGTACGCCCATATCCAAAGCCCAGCAAAGAAAAAGATGAATGTGCTATCGGTGTTGGTATGCCTGTGGATGTGTGGTGGTGTGATGGATGGTGGGAAGGGATCGTGGCGCAGAAAGTTTCAGAAGATAAATTTGAAGTTTACCTGCCAGGTGAGTTAAGACCTCTGATGGAAGTATGACAGCAGATTTGTTTAAGATATCTATCTTGTTGCAGGACTAACAGTTATTGTTTTGGTGGTTTTCTCTCAGGTGAAATGAAAACGTCTGTCTTTCATCGTGGTGACCTTAGACAATCTTTGGAATGGTCGGCAGATGAGTGGGTACACATAAAATCAAGCTCTGATCTCGTGAGTTCTGTCCTATCTTTGATGAAGAAGAAAGAGGTTGAGGTGAAACATGATGAGAAGCTATCCGAAATTGGTGTTGATGATGGTGTTTTGTCACCAAAGGGTGAAGCTAAACTCAACATCTCTCTTCCAGTAGCTACGACCAGTAAGGCATCTACTAAGCGACCAGTTCCAGATCTTCTAAAGGACGTCTTAGTCTCTGAATTAAAGTGGAAAGCATCGAAGAAGCGGAATCGAACTGTCAGTTTCTGTCCACACGTTCCTAGCAAGACTGATGATGGCCTCTCACGAGGAGGAGCCTTGGATTGTGAGAAGTGCAGTTCCATGGGAGATTCTCTCTTTAGCTCTACGGTTTCTGTCCGAAGGAAGCGTAAACGAATTGTCAGTTGGTGTCCACACGATCCTAGTTTGGCTGATGGTTTCTCAAGTGAAAGATCCTTGGATTGTGAGAACGGCAAGTTCATGGGAGATTCTCCATTTGGCACTTCGGTTGGGCAGCCTTTGACTGGCCTATTAATGTCAAGATGATCTTTGGCTTGGGGATTGGAGTGTGTTTTTCGTCTTGTGAGGTACATATTACCTGATGGGCATCTGCTCAATGCGATTTTGGGTTTTAGATAATTGTGACTCGCAAGATTTGTTTTGGGATTATAGAATTAGCCCCTAATGGCATCCAAATTCGTTTGTGTATGTATGTGTAACAGTAGTCATAGAGCTTTTAATACAGGCAACAAGTTTTGGATGCAGTAGAGAGTAGGTAATAGCATTACCTTACTAGGGGTTTTAGTCATTAATCAGTGGTTTTTTTTTATATAGGACTTCAGTTATCTTCTTCGTTTTTCTTTAGCATAGAGATAAAATTTGTTTTCTTTCTGGTGTGGTGGGATCTTTCTTTTCTTTTCATGTAACCTATGTATCAGCAAAAGTAAAACTATATCTTTTTTACCTTGAATTCACCTTCAATGTCCATATAATGTATACTGTATATTCTTTTCTTACCTGTGTTGAATGGTATTCCCTGATGTGAGGCTTGCTATTAATGACTACTGAATAATTTGATACTCGAGACCTTTCTTTGAAGTTTGAAGCATTGGTTTGTTAAGTTAATTTGATTTTCTTCGAAGTTGCAGGACACATGATTATCTCTATGGTACCGTAAGTTAATTCTGTCCTTGTCTATGTCCCCATATGGTTTTTTGTTTTGTGCAGCCTCCAAACGGGACCAACAAATGAAATGGATCCTCTTTGGTTGCAATTTGTAACTTTTAGCTGGGAACAATTGATGTTTTTGGTTTTTGAAATCTGGGACCATTAAGGGAATCGAACAAGTTTTGTGATTATAGAGTATTACAGTCTGTGCAAGACTGTAAGAGCTCTTGTTATAACTTATAAATAATATACTCTGATGAAATAGCTCAGTGACTTATCTTAAACACCTTTTTTAACTTTACCTAACATCCCTTTTTGTGCTATCTATGATTGGCTTACTAAAGTGGGCTAAGTTAAAAAATAGGTGAAGAGCTAATAAATTTGTTGAGACTCAGAACTCAGAAGCAATCCTCCACTCGAATGATTTTGGTGGGGCTGCATTTTGGTCAGTGAAGCATCTTTTTCAAACTATGCAGAGGAAAAAAAAGGTCTTGACTTTCTCACTTAGAAAGATGGACATTAAGTCAAGGATCCAAAGCATAGTAATCTGTCTGTCTTGTGTGTTAACATGTCTTTAATAGACTTGATTTTCTCCATAGAGTGAAGCAAAAGAAAAGATGGGCTTCCTCTGTCACCCACTTAAGAAGATTTGCTAACCTCATCCTTCTCCGATAGCGACCCTCTTCGTTTCCCACTCTTGGTTTGGTGGTTTCTGTAAGATTCTTGTTTCCTGTTTTATTTAATCTTGCTTGTACATCGAGACACTGTTGTATCATGGCTTCTCCGTCTGAAATCGTCGAGCAAGAGCTTGGAGCATCACCAAGAATCAAGCTTTCGATAACAAGTGAAAGCAGTCTCGCTTCTGTCGCATCGTTGTCCATGCCTCTTGTTCGTATAGCTACTCTTTGAACACTTTTGTCTTAAAGAATGATTCAACTCGTGGGGGTTTACTTCTCCTAATGATCTTGTCCGTTATCAGATTCAGGAGATTGTTCTATCAGCAGACATCAGATGTAGTGACTGCCAAGAGAAAATCGCCGACATAATGTCAAGGATGATCGGTGAGTAATCACTAGTTTTAAATTCTTGAGATGAGACACTTTTTGTTCTTCTCTCAAAACAGATTGTTTCTTGTTTTTTTGTCTCATTCTTTTGGAAGCAGAAACTTATTCAATATTGGTGAGTGTGTTGGAGAAGGAAGTGACGCTGACGTGTACATATTCCGGTGACCGGAGAGTCTCTAAGTCTTACGGAGAAGCTCTTCTCTGCAAAATCTCCACCATCAAGCGTATGATATTCCCTTCTTCAAGAAAAACAACAGCTCAATAGTATTTGCTTGATTCTGCTTTTATCATATATTATTATATGATCTTTTATGTGGAATGTAATGAATATTGTTTAAATATGATTATTAAAGAAAAGAAAAAAAGCTCTCAATAGCAAAATCTCATTAGACAATGGAGGAAAAAAAAAAGTGAATTCTTGAATTTGCAGAAAACAAGAAAATTGAGATTATTGGGAAGTTAAATTGCCGCCACTTTGTTGCCAGAGATTGATGATGTCAGTGGCTTGATTAAGGAGAATGATCATCTTCTTCTGAGAGATCCATGGCTTAGCTTCAAGAGTAGACTTAAGCTCTTCCCAAGCATCTTTTCTTGGCCAGAAGAAATAAGGGCTAAGTGGGATTGTTCCATGTCCAGGGACATGCTGGTCCAATCCTAATCCTATGTTCTTCTCCATCCACACAAACTTGAGAACCACTCTTGCCTTATCCTCTTGTGGATTCACCACCTAAACACAACAGCAAGAAATGATTTGTGGGTTTGTTTGAAACAGAACAGAGAAGAAGAGAAAGAAGAAGAAGAGTATGTCGAGTCGTTATTTACCTGTTTTGGTTCTGGAGTGTCGGAGACATCAATTTCGGAGGCTGGTTCAGCAGTGAGCGTCTCTGGAGCTGCAAGAGCCACGATTCTCCGGTTAAGAGAGATGGGTTTGGTTGTTTTGTTATGGAACGATGGAGGAGAAGTGATGGAGAGTTTTGGATGTTGAGAGATGAAAGAAGAGCAGAGGGAAGCAGATGAGAGAGATGAGTGGAGTGCCATTGATGACATCATTTTGTTCTTCTTTGTTTCTCAGAGAGAAATAAAAGATTTCATGAGAAATGGATAAGGAAGATATGGTCGCAGTGGAGAGCTCCAAAGTAGTTGACCATTGCTATTTTATATGGGCTTTGTTGACTTGGCCCATTATTGAATGGGTTGATCTGACAGAAATCTATTACAAGGCCACAGACGCAGCAAAAGATAAATATTAGGAATTTTATTAGAAAATTCAAGTCTCTCATTTCAGAAATCAAACTAAAACATATATATATATATATATATATATTGATCATATTAAGTCGCACTATAAAGGTAATAGTCAAATCATATTTACTTCAAATCAGAAATTTGACAACTACTGTATGTAATTATATGCTACTAAAACACATCAATTTAATTATACACATAAAAACAAAATTACGATACAAAACGAATAAAAAATTGCCGTTGTACATATAATAAATATTTTATTGAAAATTGTCATCTACAGCTGTCTAGAACCGTATAAAATTGTATAACCCCCTTTATATTTTGCTTAGATTGGTCTAAAATCGCTTATATTCACTTGATAACAAAACGTCTAATTCTAACATATAAGTAGTGGTCAGGTAGACAGGTACTATGGGTGACTAGCACATAAAGACAGCTTGAACTTCGTGTTTAGAACATTGCAGTTGTGAGTGGAAGCGGATAATATAGATTGAATGGTTTAATGCTTAATTATTGATGTTTGCATGGGCATTAATGTTATGGTTATGGTAAAGGTATGGACATGGTTAATAGATGATGTTTGTGGTTATATAATATGGTCCCTATGGATAATACTGATGTTGTGTGATGGTGAATGTAATCAATGATTCATGTCGTTTCTCATGTGTTTAAGCCAGTAAGCGGGCATTGCGTGAAATGCTTGACCGTATAGGAGTTACGAACTAATCTTAGTTATGTAGTGAATGGAAAAACTATGTCAAACTTAGTGGTGCAGTAAGGCATTTGCGCATTCACGGTCATGGCAATGCATGGTTGCATCCTTTCAGAGATACAGGTTCTTTATTATAACTATTTCATCACATTAACACTATTTCTTATACTGATTAACAGTGAATCTTATTTACAAACTCGAAAGAAAGAAACTTGAATAATTAAAAGAGTAAACTTTAGGAAAAACAGGGGGAAACAGTGGAAAAGTGTAATGTTTAGCAAAAACAGGGGAAAACAGGGGAAAAGAGTATACTTTGGAATGTAATTGTTTGGTGTTTGATTGAATTATATGGTAAATTAGTGGATATGTGTAATATGGCAAGCAACTCCAGAGAAAGGGAACAGAGAGATGTGGCCAAGCATGTCCTTCATAGGTTGTTGTGTGGTGAATGAGATAGAATTTAGATCGAGTATACGAAAGCGCGAGTTCTTTGTCTCTGGCTACGTTTGCTTCTCTTCAGGTTTGAGTGTGTGATCAGAGATGCTATTTCGGAACTATTTGAAAACTAAATTATTAGAACAAAGATAAATTTTATTATTATGTTTCTTTATTTTGTTTAATGTATTTTTTAGTTAGTTAATTTTTATTGTTATAATAACACGGTATAGTAAAGTAATTATACTTTGTATTTCAAATAAAGTAATAAATTAATTTTTTGGTCGTATTGTTTTGCAAAAACATGCACTTTTCTTTTTTAAATAAACAATTATACTAGGTATTTCAAGTATTTTTTGTTAATTAATTGTGCTAAAACCAAACATATATAAGCTACATGTTTTGCTTATTAAGTTATTATTAGTCTCATGCAATTTTAAGTTAGTTTTTAACTTTGATCGTGGAAGCAAAAATGACATTTTGACGGTTAATCCATAAAACAAAAAAAACAACATAAAACGAGACGTCCCTTGCTTCCATTCAGTTTATGACGGTTAATCCATAAAGAGGTGCCAAAACGTTACACAATTCATTATATATACTAATACAAGAAACGAAACAATAAAAAATATTCGTAAGAAGATAATCAGATAAACACCGTTTCTTCAACAGATCAAACCATGAACCCTACCTCCAACGACCCACCACAAGGACTTAGCCATGGTAAAGCCACGGGTTGGTCGACGGATCTATGCGAATGTTGGAGGGACATAAACTCATGCTGCTTGACTTGTTGGTGTCCATGTGTCGCCTTTGGACGCATCGCAGAGGTCGTAGACAGAGGATCAACATCGTGTGGTGTGAGCGGAGCGATGTACATGATCATACTGATGTTTACTGGATTTGGAGGAAGCAGTCTCTACTCTTGCTTTTACAGAACCAAACTCAGAGCACAGTACAATCTCAAGGAGAGACCTTGTTGCGATTGTTGCGTCCACTTTTGCTGCGAGCCATGCGCTCTTTGTCAAGAGTATAGGCAACTTCAACACAACCGTGCGTTGGACTTGTCCATTGGGTGGCATGGGAACATGGAACGAAAGGCACGAGTGGCTGCGTCTGCGTCTGCGTCTGGGGTTCCTCCAACGCTTCAACCGCCAATGTCTAGATAGATATAGATTCGTTTATCTTTCTTTTTTTTTTTTGTACGACAATTAGTTACTAGAATTAAACTATTCATATCTATTATAGTTGTTTGGATCCCGTGACGTAATTTGTATTCGTTCGTAATTGTTACTCATATGGTGTGTGGAATTTTTTTAGCGGATCAATTAATATTCTCTGCGTTTGTGTCCTAAGCTTCCTCATTATTCTGTTTTACAGAATCTCTCAAAATGACAAATGGAGCCAATATGGGACCTTTTTCTTTTCTCTAAAGTTCGTATTACAAAATTTTAAAAATAGAGACACAAAATAATTCAATGAATTTCCAAAAAAAAATCTAATTACTTCAATAAAATTGTGTGTAAGTGTATTGAGAATCCTCTCCAACGATCAATTAATTTAAAAGGTATGATTGCTGCCATCAGAATGGGATACAATTGAGTTTTATGTTCTCAACCAATAATCGGGCATCGTATAAATTATAGTTTGACACTTTCCTATGTTAGATTGTGTAGTGTGGGTATATGGAGCAGACCAGAAGTAAAGTGTACACTATAATTATGTTTTTAACGATAGGTGCGATTAAATTCTTATGGAAGACCAATACCTAACTCGAGTCGTCAAATTAATGTACAATTTCTTTTGTTAACGGTCAAATTATTCTATTGAAAAAAACCAAGTGGTATCTCCGGTCCTAGACATTAACTTCAGTATCTACGAAGAGAATCATTCCCAATTTTATATAACTAGCTACCACAATAAATAACGAAGAGAGTAGTAGTAGCCCACATAATTTAGTTTAGTTCCAATTATTGATAGTATTTTGATCAAAAAAGTAAAGTTGGAAGTATTTTCAACTTACCCGTCTCCATCACACTCCATTACATACATCCTCCTCCTATATAAGAAATCTCCCAAACATATCAATCTCTAAACAAAAAAGCTCTCTTCGTGTCACGAAACTGCGCAAATCGCACTTAAAAAATCAGAAAAAAATGGGAGCCACCACATTGACCCATGAGACCACCATTAACCCTAATAACACCAACATTGATCATGGACCGGTCGTAGACGAGCTGGATGGCCTTATTAGAGTATACACAGACGGCCACGTGGAACGACCACAATTCGAGCCGTGTGTGGGTCCCTCACTACCCCTCGAGCTCGGTGTGGCTTGCTCTGATGTTCACATAGACAAGTTAACCAACGTATGGGCACGTCTCTATGTCCCTATGCTGACCAAGACTTCGGTTTCTAAACTTCCTTTGCTTGTCTACTTCCACGGTGGAGGTTTCTGCATCGGCTCGGCTTCTTGGTCGTGTTACCACCAGTTCTTGGCCAGACTATCGGCTAGCTCACGGTGCTTGGTCATGTCAGTAAATTACCGTTTAGCCCCTGAGAACCCTCTTCCAGCAGCTTACGAAGATGGAGTCAATGCAGTTCTTTGGCTCAACAAAACAAGAAACGATAACTTGTGGTCCAAGCTATGTGACTTCGGAAAGATATTCTTGGCCGGAGACAGCGCCGGAGGAAACATTGCGAACCATGTCGCTGCAAGATTAGCAGCCTCAGACGATCTCATAAAGCCATTGAAGATAGAAGGAACGATCTTGATCCAGCCTTTCTTTGGCGGGGAGGCGCGTACGGAGAGCGAGAGGCGCGTGGAGAACAACATGAAGAGCTCGGTGCTGACACTTGAGGGGTCGGACGCGTGGTGGAGGCTGGCTTTGCCACGTGGCGCAAACAGAGAGCATCCGTATTGTAAACCGGTGAAGACGATGATCAAGATGGTGAGGACGCTGGTGTGCGTGGCGGAGATGGATGTGCTGATGGATAGAGAGATGGAGATGTGCGATGGTAATGAGGAAGTGATCAAGCGCGTGGTGTACAAAGGAGTTGGTCATGCGTTTCAGATTCTTGGTAAGTCTCAGCTTGCTCACACCATGACTCTTCAGATGTTGTGCCACATCGACGCTTTCATCCACCACTATCATCCCTTTAATTAGTTCTCTATTTGTATAAACTTTGTTTGTTTGTTTGTTTGTTTATGTTAGCTCTAAAATTGTTGTATCTTAAATACTAAAATGTTTTTTTTGTGTGTTATAGTTTCAGTCTGGATCTCTCGGTTATTAAGAAAATTAGTTTGATTAAAGTTTCATACTTTCATACATCAACTATGTATATCATTTTACCAAAAAAAAAAAAAAAAAAAAAAAAAAAAAAAAAACTATGTATATCATCAGTTTATGATTCGTTTACAAAAAAGTTGATTCTTAGTGTGAATGATAAAACCTGAATTTGTTTTGAATCTAATTGTTTAATAGACCAGCGTGCATGTTGTTGGATTGATGAATCTGGACAAACACTTTTTTTTATGATAAGTTTTGGTAAGGAGAAAACATTAATTGAGTTGACGCAAAAATTTGAGACAAAAGTTGTAAATGTGGAACTACTAGTAACTAAAATAATGTCTTAAAAATGAATGAGACAAATGTAGTGGCGGACAAATTGTAGACAAAAGGCTAGTTCGTGGTTCATTTTGAAGGCAGCCTCATTTTTTTCTTCTTTCTCCCTTTTTACTGCTATATATTTTTTGTCTAATACAAATCAGCATTATTATCATCCATGACTTTTGGAAAACCGGTATTGTCAATTTCTAGCTAAGACAAAAGCGTTGACATTACAAAGTTTTTTTTTTCTTGAAATAATGCAAAATCCAAAGGTAGGTTGAGTGTATATATCTATATATTCTCTTTTCTGATGGTGGAACAAGCTCATCGCGAGGAATTTTAAGTTTTGTCGGAAATACATGTTGTTTTTGTTTTATTTTTCTTCTGAAAAAAACAGGTTTTTTTGAAAACTTCTAAAAAATGACGTCCGAATTTTTTCTTTCGTTGGTCGGAAATTTCATTGGTAATATAGTACGTTACACATGTCACCGTGAGACAACCACATTAAAGAGTTTATTAACCGTCTAAAATTTCTGAAATCCTAGAATTTACTTTTCCCGTTTGTAAATAAACTATATCCCAATTCATTTGAAACCCCAATATCTCATCACCTTGAGGAATGGGGGTTGGTTTTCATGAACCGAAAAATTGTTTCTGCCAAATAAACATCAAATGTCTTGATAAAATACTATTCTTCGCATGTTCACCTTTTACTAACTTGTCCCCAATTTCTCCGCACATCCCAAAAATTCCTTTCCCTCTAAAATCTTTTAAGCAAAAAAAGTGGACTGACATGTACTAATACTTTACCTTTAAAATATTTTACTAGCACTTTTAACCTTTAAACTAAAACTTTTAACAGAAAAAATTCTCAAAATAAATTTTTGATATGCGCTCAAAATTTTTTAACGGAATAGTAAACTATGTGTGTTCTAGCTTTAAATTGTTTCTCTTAAAAGTTTTAAATTGAGGGTTTAAAGTGCTAATGAAATACTTTGGAGGTTTTTTTTTTTTTTTTTTTTTCACTACCCAACTATTACATCACTATTGGTCCGTTAAGGGAATGGTCCGAAAACCCCCCGCAACTGACTCGTTATGAATGATTTGGAAAAAGATAAAGCCTTTTGCTCGAGCTCCTTTCGCTAGACTATCCGCACGGACATTTGAACTCCTGGGGATATGAGAGAAAGTGAAGTCCAAAACGCTTTCTCGTAATGTCCGGAAGATTTCCAATTCTGAAAAGAAAGATGGCCAGTCTGATGGAGATTCTACCATGCTTACCAAATCCAAGTAGTCGGTCTGAAAGTGGACGGATATGATCTGTCTATCTCTCGCGCAAGACATTGCCCATAGGAGGCTCTCCAATTCGGCGTGAAGGGCCGAAAGGCTTCTCCGACAGCCCTGAAGGCCAAAGATCTCTTCACTCCTATTCTTCCTCAGACTCCACCCGAGCCCACTCACCAGGCCGTTTTCTGTCCAAGATGCATCGACCTAGCAGATCGGGAACCTCTGGGCATCAGGTAGAGATGACGGAGTTAGAGGAATGGGAGTAATCTCGTCTATTGCGTCCTCGTCTACTTCTGGTTTGTTTGCAATCCTCCAGCTTTCTGCTTCAATATTTGCGTGGATTAAGGTATCTAGCGGGGAAATTTCTTTCCCGTTAAAGATCTTGTCGTTCCTGGCTTTCCAAATATACCATAGGATCCAAGGATAAATATCCTTTTGTGGATCTGTCATGCCTAGCTCTTTTGTTTTCCAAAAGAGGAAGCTCATATTTTGGTAAATAGAGGTACTCGGGAAGAGGCTCGGAAGGGACGGAAAGTCCGATAACGCCCAGACTTGTAAAGCCGGGGGACATAAAAATAGAAGATGGTTGATAGATTCTTCAGGGTTCCCGCAGCGGGGGCACCGCCTATCCGTTCCCAAATGCCTTCGGGTCAGGATTTGGCAAGTAGCAATGCATCCTGATAAAGCTTGCCACATGAGATGTTTCATTTTTCCAGGTGTTCGTACTTTCCAAACATAACTTTGAAGGGCTGTAATACTTGGTTCTCCCACTATATCTGTATTTTGAGCAAGCTTCGCTCTTCTAATCAAATCATAACCCGATTTAACCGAATATATCCCTGATTTAGTGTGGTTCCATGCATATCCGTCTAGGGTACGGTTTCTAGTAGGTCTCAACCCAAGGATAAGCGAGACATCCTCAGGTTGGAAGCAGACTCTTAGGAGAGGTTCATCCCATTGTTTCGTATCTTGATTGATAAGATGATATACCAGCATTCCTGGATCTTGAAAGCCGATTTGGGGGGCTGCTCTTGGAGCTCGTGCTCTAGCATCGGGGATCCAAGGCTCACTCCAGACTCTAGTGTTGAGTCCCGACCCGATTGTTTTCTTGAGTCCTAATTTGAGGTACGGTTTGGCAGCCAACATACTCCTCCATCCATAAGATGGTGAGTAGACTTTTCGGTCCTCTAATGGATCAGATTGTCGAAAGTATCTTCCTCTTAGCACTCGAGCCAGAAGAGAGTTTGGATACTGAATGAGTCTCCATAGCTGCTTGGCTAGTAGGGCTAGGTTAAAATCGTTAAGATCCCTAAATCCAAGGCCTCCCATATCGTGGGGAATGCAAATCTTATCCCATGCAATCCAATGTATTCCACTGTTATTTTGTTTCGAGCTCCACCAAAAATTGGCAATGGCGCTACGGAGTTTGTCTATTATCCCTTGTGGAAGAAGAAAGCAAGACATGACGTATGTCGGAACGGCTTGAGCCACTAATTTGATCTGAATCTCTTTTCCGCCTTTGGAAAGAAGTCTTGCAGACCAATTATTGACCCGGAAACTTAGGCGATCATGGACAAAAGAGAAGACTTTCTTCTTTGATCTGCAGATTTGCTCTGGGAGGCCTAGATACATGCCCATGCCACCTTCTGTCGAGATGCCAATGGTATTTTTAATAGCTCGTTTTTGGTTCAGATCCACTTTATTTCCGAACATGATGGATGATTTTCCGAGGTTTAGTTGTTGTCCTGATGCCGCTCCATAAGTGTTTAATATTCTGAGAATCTCTGATCCTTGTTGTATGTCCGCTTTACAGAAAAACAGGCTATCATCAGCAAATAGTAGGTGGGACACTGGAGGGCTTGCTTGGGCCACCTTCAGCCCAGAAATCCATTCTTCTTCCTCAGCACCTTTTAGGAGAGAAATCAGGCCTTCTGTGCACAATGTAAAGAGGAACGGGGAGAGAGGATCTCCTTGTCTTAATCCCCTTGATGGTTTAATGTGTCCTTTAGGTTCTCCATTAATAAGAACCTGGTATGAAACCGAGGAGATGCAATACATAAGTAACTCAACCCATCTCGCTGAGAAGCCTAACTTAATCAGGAGGGCTTCGATGAAACTCCATTCAACCTGATCATAAGCTTTGCTCATGTCTGTCTTTATGGCCATAAAGTTTTCTCTACAGGTGGTGTTGGTCCGGAGTGCATGAAAGTTTTCTTGGGCTAACAAGATATTATCAGTAATAAGTCGTCTAGCCATGAAGGCCGATTGTGTTTCTGAGATGATGTTAGGTAGTGTCTTTTTTAGCCGCTTGCACATAAGTTTTGATATGATCTTGTAACTCACATTACAAAGACTGATTGGCCGAAATTCTGCCATACTTTGGAGGTTTAAAGTGTTAGTAGATGCTATTTTGAAGGTTTTTTTATGAGATTTTTCCCAATCCTTTAATAACTTAGGGGAGGGGCATAAACCCTAATACTACATAGAAAGCTTCGCAGTCGTCGTTATAGCATTATCAACTGTTGACTTCAATGGAGAATATGGAAACATCGACATTTGGAGAATCGAAAAGTTCAATCCGGCATGGAAACCGAGTGGTATGCTCGAAGTCAGCTCATTCTCCAGACTCTTTCCTTTATACAGAGAGAAGTGTCTTCAGGAGTCTTGGCCCACAGTTGAATCCGCTCTCAAGGAATACGGCGTCGCCTGCATAGAAGCATAAAACAAATTAGGGTTTGTTTTGTTGATCGATTTTAGGGTTTTCGTTTGATTCTTTTTGGACTTGGATGATTGCAATGGTAGGTGGAAGGTTCTATGACTGTTTCAACAACGAAGAAGACAAGAGATCCATACATAATTGTTAAAGCTAGGGATTTGCTTTGGCTTCTGTCGAGAAGTGTCCCTGCTCCTGAGGTATCTCTTTTTGTACGTACGATTATAAGTTGTGGCTTCTGTTTTAAGGAACCTTTTTTGTTTTATCGATCTGTAAATTTGCGAGTATTTGGAAATTATGCTTATTCATGGATTTTCTTCACTTTACAGGCAATTAAGATTCTGAAAGATGACATGCTATATGATATCATCAATATCCGAAATATGGTTTTAAAAAAGGTATATTCAATCACCTATTTATGAGACAGACCTAATTAAGATGGATTGTTTCAAATTCTAATAAAATACTTAATGACTTGCTGTGAAATTATTGCTAATTAAGTTTAATTTCGACATGAATCTGACAAACATTAATTGTCAATGCTAATAAGTCCTAATCTAGAAACGATATATCGTTTGCAGGAAATATTTGTTAAAAGAAGGAAGCGGATCTTGGTCCTAATTCTTGTACCTTGTAGGTGTGTGTCTGGTTCTAAGTAGTCATATGTTTAATGGAAATGTTTAGAGATACACTTAGTGATTGATTAAATTGTGTAACACTATTTTATTCATATGCTCCACACTTGTTTTGTGTTATGCTTTGGAGGACTAACGACTTTGTTGCTTGCAGACGCTGGAAATGCTAACCAACTGTTACATTCTAGTTCAGGTAATTAATCTTGTGTTTCTTTTGCAAATGTCACATGACACTAAGAACTCTGCTAAGAGCCTTGCGATGGAGTTTTGTGCCAAAGCTAAGTCATCTCTCATTTCCGATCTAGTTTCTAAAATCATTCTTGATCTAGATATGATTGTTTGTACGCAATATCCTGTTTTTATCCCTCCATTTCCCTAAACTTTAAAGCTGTTTTGATTTGTTTTATCCCTTTGTTATTGTCAAATCTTATGTTTCCTTGTATTTTTGGAATTTCTAGGGGGCGGTAGAAGAAATTGTAAAGAGCGTAGGACAAACATAATATAAATTTCAGAATCTTTCCAGGTAAAAACCATTCGTTATGTTTTAAAAGCTTAAATTGTGTTTAAAATTATATATAAAGCAAGTAAAAATCTCTATAAGCATATAGAAATTCCAGAATAGTTGTAATACAAATTCTTAAAACCTTATCATAAGCAATATCCATTGCATAGATCCATAATCCAAAAATGTAGTAGTAGACTTGAAAATTCATGCTTACCCTATAGTACTTAACCTCACAAATTCTTAAATCCTTATAATAAGCAATATCCATTGCATAGATCCATAATCCGAAAATGTAATAGTAGACTTGAAAATCCATCCTCACCCAACTTGGAAATTACGTAAATGAACAAAATGGTTTTTGTGCCCTCACAACATGTCTGTGTAGTTCCCATTTTGATCTTTGTATTATTAGATTTTGGAATAATAATCACAGACAATCTTTGAAAATAATAAAGTTGTTTTTAGAAGAATTCATAGAAAATTAAAGTCTTAATCTTTTCAGAAATGATTTTTATGTAGAATATTTGGCATCAGATCATCAAAATTTAAAATCTATAATCTGAAGTACTGGGTTTTGTCATGTTTCATTTAGAAATTATTTTAGAAGATGTTAGTCACACACAAAATTTGCACAAGATCGAGATCAATTCTGAAAAAGAAAAATGTTGGCGTGGTCGTTCCCTATGATACGAAGATGGGTTTAGCTAGTTAAATTGCAATTTATATGTAACTAGTTAAATTCTAAGTGATATTATCAGTTAATTTTATTAAAACTGAAAATTAGGTTCGCTTAATATACAAAAAAAATGATTGTCTTGTTGCTCTCACAGAATCAGAGGCAAGTCACTTTTTCTTCTTGTATAAAAGAGTATAGAATATTTGTTTGACTAATGTGTTAAATGTTCTTCTCTGTTGGAGGGTCACCAATACAAACAGTGTGGGAGCTGGTGGAGTTGTGGGTGGATCCACACGACACTCAATATGATAAGACTGATCATGTAGCAGATTTAAGCTCATCACCATTTAGTATTGTCTCATAGAGCATAGTTTAGCTGTCCAAGAGCAACCTCATGTAATTTCCACCAAATTCAAAGTCAATCTCAGCATCTCGTTGATGCAGATTTTGTTGAAATGTCTTTGGTGTTGACAAGTGAGGGTCTTAGAGGTTGATAGTTTTTTGGTATCACCCTTTTCTTATATAAAAGTTTATCTGAGAGAAATATAGCTTCGAGTGATTTAAACCTAAATCAACATGTAAAGAGTTGTGTGACACTCTCTCTCCTCTCTGTAACCTCAAGAGGTAGAGAGTTTTGTTTTTACTGCACATGTAGACGGTTGATTATGGTTGTCATAGATTGTACAAAATCACATTCACCAAAGGCTTGAAACCATTGGGAATCTGGTGATTCAAACATATAGAAGGTTATCGAAAAGAAATAGAGCTTCCATATATCAATGATCCAAACCTAAATCAACCTTTAGAAAGCTGTGCCACACTCTCTCTGCCCAGCGCAATCTCAAGAGGTAGAGGTTTAGATTTTTACTGCACAACATGTAGATGGTTGCTTCTGGTGGTCTTGCACATGTGAAATTGCACACCCCAAAGATTAATTATTTTTTTAGAATAATTGATGGGAAATCAAAGTCTAAACTTTGAAATGATTTTGACATAGAATGTTTGGCATCGGGGTTATCAAAAAATTAATCTATCACGGAAAATATTAGATTTTATCATAGAAAATGTTAATCACACAAAAAAAATTTGCAATAATTTGTGGACAATTTACTTTGGCCAATATTCCAGTCGCTTTTCTTCTAGAGACATTTGATATTCTAACAAACTTTTTTTCAACTAAATACTTCTATTATATAAAGTACAGATAAGGTGGATAATCTATGGATAATCTTTCTATCCATCCAACAACGCTTTTCTATTTTTGTATGATTACAACAACTTGTTTCATATTACATTATAAAGCATTACTACATTTAGATAAAAAAATCGTTATTGATCTATTTGATATTATCGTCTATAAGTTTCCACCAACAAAAATTTGACGCTTATCTTCTCTCTCTTGTGTTGAAGCTTTTTGGTGCGTATGTCCAGCTCCAATCGCAAAAAAAAAGTATTTATCTAATTAATTTTTTGCGTTAGTTTCCTAATATTTTTTCACCAGCAAAAGAAAAAAGAAACAGAGTTCTTTTTTCAATTCTTTAGAAAACTTATCGAACCCATTCATCTCACAAACAACATTAGAGAAAAAATATCAAAGTGATTATTAATTGTTGTGATTTTTGATTTTGGGTTTATTGTTGTTAATTACTAAAATCTGAAAATTGGAAAATGTACGGTGATGGGCCGGTGTTCAAGGCGGAGGGAGCGTCTTTCCGGGATCAACCGTACGCCGGACAACTTCCTCAGGGACTATGGACCACCGGTCTCTGCGATTGTCACGAAGATGGCCACATTTGTACGTTCCCTTCTTCATCATCATTTATCTTGATTTAAATCTTGATCTTATTTGTTTGATCTTTCTTATTCTTGGCTTCTTGAAACAAAAAAGGTGTTCAGACAGCTATAATGCCATGTGTCTCCTACGCTCAAAACACCGAGATCGTAAACAGAGGAGCCATACGTAAGAAACACGTAACTACACATCTATATAACATAGATTTTTTTTGTATAAAAATTCTTAAAAAAAAAAAAAACTTGGGATTTGTTTGGGATTGCAGCTTGTATGAACGCAGGTTTGATTCATCTAGCGTTAGGATTTGTGGGTTGTTGCTGGCTTTACGCGTTCCCAAGCCGGTCTAGGCTTAGGGAACATTTCGCATTGCCTGAAGAACCATGTCGTGACTTTTGGGTCCATCTCTTTTGCACACCTTGTGCTATCTGCCAAGAGTCTAGAGAGCTCAAGAACCGTGGCGCAGATCCTTCTATCGGTTTGTAAAATCTAATGGCTTTAGCACACCACAAAGGATTTAACTTTTCTAAAAGATATCACAAAAACATTGTATTCTTGGTGATTTTTCAGGTTGGCTTATGAATGTAGAGAAATGGAGCCGAGAGAAAGTAACTCCTCCTATAGTTGTACCAGGCATGATCCGCTGAGAGTTTCATCAACGCTTTGTGTCTATTATGTATTGTAACTTTTCTTTAGATCTTGCTAGCTTCTGGTTTCTCAGTTTAGCTTAGGGAATAAGTTATATGAAAACGATGATTGATACTGAATATGTTTTTATAACAGATGATCTAAAAGGCTAAAGAGGAGAGAGCTATGGTCTAATACTCTAATTAGTTATAAAATATGTGAATGTGAAAATCTAAGACCAGAACTATGCTTTCATTTGGGTCATTGACAGGGCTTAGTTAGTCCCTAGGTCGGGCTAACCATAGAGAGCTAAGTGCTCTTAGCCTAGAAATATAGTCGTGGATGACCAAAAAGGCACGAGCAGCTTGTCTTGTGGTGAGAATTCTGTGAAGCTGTTGCAGAGTTTGTTGCCTCAACAGATCTGCCTGCAAAAAAAAAAAAAAGATATAGCCTTTCAGGGTTTTGATTTGGTAAAGATACAACCTTTGCAACAAGTCTTGTTTTCTTTTACCTGGCGAAGGAAGTTTTCGAGAGTGCCAAGCTTCCCCATGGCCATTGCCATATGACCCATATAGTCTGCAACGTTTGCAGAACTATTTGGACCCATTGAAGCAGAGGAAAGCGTCTCGAGAAGCGACTGTTGCAGAGCTTCCATGCCTTGTGACAATGCATCCTCTGCTTGCTGAGACGACTGTTGTAAGTTGCAGATGCCTATCAACTGCTGATCCGTCAATGGATCCACATGGTTTCCCAATATCTAAATACACATAAACATCGATGATGAAAAGAAGTATCAAAAACCAAATGATTATGAAAGTGATCTGAATCTTTTACCTTGAGTAGCTCAGATGATCTGAATCCACCTAACCACATGAAAAATCTCTCGGCGGGTGTCTTCCACATGCCTGAGAGCATGTGGAAGACGTCGACTTTAGTGCCAATTCCCTTCAGTCTGAATATTTCATCGTAGTGACTCATCACGGCATCAACTAGCACGCGTAGCTCGTTGTCACCTAACTGCGAGTTGACACCGGCTCTTAAGTCGTTTATCAGCCTTTGATGTTCCTCCATCCAACGTGCATATTCCAACTCAAATGAAAAGGCACCTGCAACACATCAGAAACCAACTTCATTCTTAGTAAAGATCACTTCAATATTACCAAAAACATTCAAGAAGTGTTGTGTGGGATGCTGAAAGTCTTTACCATTCCCAGCAGACAATTGAGTTTGATCCCTTGAAACTCCGCTTTCAACCGAACATCCCTACGTACAAGAGAAACCCATCAATACAAATTAGTAAAACTTGAAGCTTTCTTCTTCCACAGTGCATTTTAAGAAGAATAGTGTTAAAACAGTCACTTCTAGACCTGTTGGCGAGCTCTTTTGAGCTCTTCCTCTAGCTGTGCTAGCCTGATTCGGCTGTTCTCAAGCTGCTGAACATATGCCTATTCAGAGACAATGGAATTCAAAGATGAACTAAATTACAAGTGGAAGATATAAACAAAACAAAAATAAATGTGGTGCAATGAATTAGCTACTATACTTTTTTCCTCAATCGACTTTTCCTAGCAGCCTCCCGGTTCTGAGCAAGTCTTCGAAGTGTCTGCCAAGAATTTGAATGTCAAAGTTTATTCACCCTTAAACCTACAAACCAGAAGATCCAAGACTCAAGAGGTTCAATCTACGCTTTGTTCACTGGATCTCACCTTGGATTTATCTGAACAATTTGTAGCCAAAAGCATCCCTTGATGCACTCCATTTAACTAAACAGCACAAGAAGAAAACAAAAAGAAGCTGATATTAAACATAAACCCTCAAGTTCTCCAACCATAACAAACTCTATATGCAGAAATGGAACTGAAAACAAAACTGAAGTAGTTTGCATTAAAAGCCATGGTGCCAGTAAAATTCAATATTATACCATACAAAAAGCATAAAAACTTTAGAAGTCATTGCATTTTTTTCTAAGCAATGGGACAGAGAATTCAAATTCCATCAATAAAACGCAAGAAACTTACAAGCAATCCCGATTTTCTAAGCCATGGGCCATTGAAACTGACATCATAGGCATAAACAAGGTAGAAACTTTACATAAAACTTGTAAATTTGTCTTTTTTATAGGATCATTCACACTTAACAGACAAAGGGCAGTAAGTTCAACAACCTATCATCCATGGTGAGACAGACAAGCCCTCATTGAAATGGACGAGAGAGAGAGAAAGAGAGACATAATCTGAGTAAACTATATTGATCGAATTCCTAGGTGACCCATACAATGTGAAATTATAAACCAAAAGAGACAAAACAAAACACCAAGTTAAGATAACAAACAGAAAATGAAACAGAATCTTTTTATTTTTATTTTGTTGTGACAGTGAATGATTAACGAAGAAGACAAAGGAACAAAACCTGAGTCTTGTCATCAGTATCAATATCTGTGGAAGTGTCAGTATGTTGACTGTTATCAGCCATGGCTGAAACCGAATCGCCCCACTTCTCTAAACTGCTGTTTACTTCTCCTCCTACTCCTCTTGTCCCTCTCTGGTACACTAACTGCCCTGTGTCCAAACACCCATCTTCTCCTTCAAGTCTCTCCCTCAAGCCACAGTCCATGACCTTAAAAACAAAGTAGACATTTTTAAAGAAGATGATTCACAAAAAAGGCAATACTAGTTTTTTATTCTAAAAAATTTGGGAGAATATAGTTTACAGAGAGATGGGTTTGGTGAAAAAAGGAATCAACTTTTACCGTATCAAACGTCGTGTAGTGTAAGTTGGCGGAAGCAATAGTGACATCTGCAGAAATCAGGAAGATGGAACCTACTCAGATTTTTGATTCCTTCAACGAAGCTTAAGCATTTCGTAGTTGTACTTTTATATGCAAAGATAAAAAGAAAAAGGAAGAAAGTAGCTGACTTGGACTTAAATCAATAGCTTCGTCATGGTGAACAAAACCATTGTTGGGTTGATGAAACTCTTCAAGACAACTATCTCCTCTGTTTCTTCGTTGCAAACAGAGAAACAGAAATATTGGTTTTTTATTTCTTTCAAGCTTTGAGGAGAAGATAGAGAAGAGAGTTTGAGATGTATACCTGAAGAAGAAAGAGGCTTGGGAGTAGAAATCAGGGTTGAAAGGAACCGTCTTGAAGCTGCTCTGCATTGTTACGACACCAAAAAGAAAAGTCAAGAAAAAGGAAGAAAAAAGCACTGAGCTTTCTTGTGCAGATGGGGTTTAAGAGGAAGTAAGAAGAAAGAGTGAGTTAAAAGGGAAGAGGAAAATTCATTAAAGGTTGAAAAGATGGCGAATCAGTACGGCTGGGAGGATTCATCATTAATAAATACGAATAATATTTTACAAATACAGAGAGAGAGATAGAGAATCAGAGAAAGGATTTGAGATTTTATTATTTTTTAAAAAGTGTAAATAAATTGCGTCTGAGAGGGTGGGATTTTAGTTTCCCAATACCCAACACACACAACCACGTACCCATTTTTCTCCTTATTTTAAAAAGAAAATCAATTATTATCACTATATTTTTATGGGGTTTTTAAGATTTTCATTAAGCAAAAGTAAAAATGTTACCTTGCATAAAATTACAACGTTTTTATGGAACAGGTAGTGAATCAATTACCTTAATTGAGAATCAAGTTATTGGAACTATTTCAATAACTTTGTTTTAGGAAACAGTTACATATATATAACCAATAATCTGGAATTTTAGACAACTTTTAAAAATTCATGATTAATTAACATGAGATTTGTTAAGATGATAATCGATGGATAATTGGTATCATGGCTTTGATATGAGTCATTACAGTATACTGAGTTAACTTAAAAAGTAAAGAAAAATATTATTTACACGCAGAAAATGTAAATGGAGTGGCGAAACTAGAGAGTAAAGAAACAAGCAAAAATGTGAAAGACTTTATAAAATTTATTTACAGTAAAACAACCAAGCAAGGCCAATCCACCAATCAGTAGAAAACGAGCTAATCCACTTAACTGGTGTAAAGAACGTTAAAAAGTTTTTGGAAAGAGAGATAATTAAGACTAATAAATACGCAAAAAAATGTGTAGATTAGAAACTCACAATAGAAGCAATAGTTTATAGTTTTAATAATCCCACAGGTCAAATTATATTGATAGTACGCACAGTAATATAATTTGTATTGGTGAAAGAAACTATATTAATCTTAAAAGTGGTTAGTTTGATAGTTAGAAATGTGAGGGACAGCAGTATTTGAATATGTCGAGTTTGTAATTATTAGCGCGATTTTACCTTATACTACTTTTAGGAGTTTAAATTACAAAACATTTTTAGTGATAAAATCTCGAAAATAAATAAAATACTTTACGAATATAATGTGTATATTTGTATATGTATATGTGATGCAGAGCCTGGATGTTTCAGATACAGAGCGTCATTTCCATCTTGTTAGTGTCTGCCAAAGTTGAAAATAGCCTCTCGACACTGCACTCCGAGTTTTTTTTTCCTCCCCCATGCATAAACGTTAAACATTATTTTGTTTTATCTAATTAATTCGATAAAACATAGTTGCTCATGATTTCTACGAATATTTAAATAGAATAAAAGTTGTAATCATTAATCAATGGAGGAGTTAGACGATATAGTTGGACTACAAAAATCTACACATGAATCATGATGTATTGTTGAAAATGCGTTTTCTCCCTTCTCTCCTCTCTCATGTAAAATTTCAAAACAGGTGAAGTTTAGCTAGAGCTAAGCCTAGGCTAAGCTGTTATATCTCAATGATTTTCTTCTTTTTATCATTTAAATGAGTATCTCTTTATTTAATTAAGTTAAATAAAAACATATAGTATTAATGAAAACTAATTGCCATAAGGCAGACAACAGTCTCTGGCTAGCTTCTGCTTTGAAGCTGATGTGATGTTGATGGAAAGCGAATTAAAAAAATCTTCCATTTTAAATTTCTTTATAAATCATACACAATGAAATGAATAAATTCTAATAGTATTCTTCTTTAATGATAAAAATAATATAGCAGAGATATTAACTTGAATTCAGTGGACCGATGAAGGAAGGCATTAAAAAGAAAAGCTTTGCTTGAAAGAAACATCTTCCTCTTATAAATGTTGAAAACTATTATGAGCTTTTTACATTTTATAGATCACAGATTAAGTATAACATTTATTACGGTCTCCTCTTCTAAAACCAGCAAGCTCTTGTTTCTCTTGGAGACTCCATTGACTTTTCTTATACCAAATATTCACTCTCTAACTCTTATTTATTTGGTATAAACCGGAAATTGCATGTACCTATTTTTTATCCACCCTACAGAAAACGTACCAACTTTAAAATGGTTTGGACCAGAGAGTACATTGGCAGAGTCAATGACGTTTGGCCTCTGTTTAGTCTTGTGGGTTATTTCTTGTTTTTACTCGTCAGAATCCGATCTTGTCTCTTTCTTCTTCATTTTCTTTGAAAATTTGGGACAAGTGATAATCGCAAGAACTTTTCTCTGTTTGGAAATGACCCCATTTCTCTGTATCCTATGTACCATTTTTATTTTTTGACCAAAAAAAAAAATGTACCATTTTTATTTATTTCTGATTTCACTTTGCTTTCTACCTTCTTTTTTTCTTTCATAAATTATTGTTAGTAGCCTTTATAGTTTTCCGAAGATAAATACAGTACCTTGGATTATTACATGTGACCAAAACAAATCATCCACAACTTACTATTGATGATTTGACAAGTAGAAAAAAGACTAATGTTGTTACACAGTTAATCACTTAGTTTTTTTTTGGGTTTTAACAGTTAATCACTTAATGGTGGAGCATATATAGAGACTAGAGCTCAGTCTCGGTTTTGGTCCTAGAGCTTTGGATTCAAAAAAGTGCAAGTGGACTTACAGGGACGATTCCCATCAACATTGTAAGATTATTAGATCATAGCATGCTTGTACTCAAGGAAAAAAAAACAAACAAGTCTTTCAACTATATGAAACAAGAAATGAAGGCAGATTTAACATTTAAACCAAAAATAAATAAAATAAGGCAGCCTAAAAGAAAATACAAATCTTGGTATTGGAACAATGTTCATGGAGAGTTTTCAATAGTACCTGATAAAGTAGCTTTAAAAGGATGGATTAGTGACTGCTTAACTACGAGTCTCCAATAAAATCTCTAAAATAAATAATCTGGTCTTATTTTATGTTCAGGTTTGGCTCAAAAAAGTTGGAACCTTATTTAAAAGAACCTACGGCTTTAAAAAGTAAAGAAAATTTATAGGATAGTCCACGTGCTCAAGCACTACGGTCACAACCATATATCGGACTTGATTTGTGGAACTTGTGTTTTTCCTATGCGTTGTTGTTTCAAACCAACTTGTTCGGCCGATAATTGCGATTCCAAGTCTCGTTTAAGGACTCAGGTTTGGCTAACGCTCACGAGAATTTTATCATAAGTAAAAAGACATTTGTGTTTGGTACAATAAAGGTTAGGGACAGTTACATCAACTTTTAGGCATTGAACATACGTTTAGCATTTGGAATCACTTAATGAGATCTAAATTTCTTGATCACTCATACCCCCCAAAAGAAAGAATAGTCATTTTTCCAACCAAATTCCAAAGAAAGGCAAAGACAGTTTAAATTACGGTAGTTGGAATTTGGAAATATACACTTTGATTTGGGTTAATTTCCCAATTAACATGAGAAACAACGAATACTATTATTGTATTCCTCTTTGTGACGTAAAGCTCGCAATGAAACAACAAATAACACACACTCTATTAACTCCACTTGGGTTTCAGCGGGTCCTATGTTGCAAGATTCTTCGAATCGTATTCGTCCACGTGGATAGATCTCGCTACTGAAAGAATCTGACGCTAAAGCTTAGTCGCGTGTACTCCACACTCCCATCAAAGCAAATCCCGAGAGAGCAAACAACCAACAGGTCCAACAATAGAACAACCAAAAAAAAACATTCACCTTCTCCTGCGCGACTTTCGTCTTCTCACTCAGCTCCCGCCGGAATCAGCAGATCTCGCCGCCGTAGGGTTTTCCGATTTTACTCGGAAGCTATGGGCTCGCTTGTGCAGGTACGCAGCTAAACCTCTTCTCTAAAAATTCAAACTTTTTTTTTTTGGGAATCGTTGTCGAAGCTAATCCGGGTTTTCTAATTGATGGGTTTTTTTTTTCCAGGGTTTTACTAAATCACTCGCCATGACTTTCCTCTCCGAGATTGGAGACAAAACGTTCTTCGCTGCAGCTGTAAGCTCTCTCTCTACTCATCTTCTTCGCAATGTTTGAACTTTTAAGTCTTTTCTGGGAAAAGTCAATGACTTTAATGGCGAGTAATCTAGATGAATTTCGGAGGATTTGAAACGAAGCTCAGATCTGTTGACTTGTTTCAAACAAGAACAATTGTTTAAAGTTTTATTGGTAGATGAAAGTTTGTTACTGGTTTGCTTAATTCGTAATTTAACAGTCCACATGAGCTTCCTGAGTAGCTGTTTATCTCCATTAGTGTTGAAAGGCTGAAGCTTTTCTGTTGTAATACTCTGTGGCTAATTGTAAAACGTTACTTTGTAACCAGATTTTGGCGATGCGTTATCCTAGGAGACTTGTATTGGCTGGTTGTCTATCAGCCTTGATTGTAAGTTTCTTCTCTATGTCTTTACTTTGGAGACTATTCAGTCCAGAGAACTCTTCATGATTTCGAAAGTTTAAAGCTCATGTCTTGTTATTGTACTTAGGTCATGACTATTCTATCTGCTACCATCGGTTGGGCTGCTCCAAATCTGGTTAGATGTTGTTTAGTGCCTGTGGTATAGCCTTTACCATGAAAATTAGCTACTATATTTGCTGATTCGAACAACACTTGCAGATGTCTCGTTATTGGACCCATCATATAACAACAGTGTTGTTCTTTGTCTTCGGGCTATTGTCTTTGTGGGACGGTTTTAAGGAAGGAGGGTAAGAATATTTTATGGTATGAGTATTTGTTTTCAACAGATTTAGCTGTCGTTGTGAGAACGCTTTTGTCATCCAAATCTGTTTTGTATACAGGGCTTCTGAAGAATTGGCAGAAGTCGAAGCAGAACTGGTTGGTTTTTCTTCTTGTATACTAATTTTCATGTTTAAAGACAATGCTTTTTTGGTTGACACTTGTTCGATATATTAGGATTCTGATCTGAAGAACACTGATCGAACGAAAAAAGACACCAGTAAGGTATGGAATTTAATCTTAATCTCAAGAGATTCACGAGTGTTTGAGGGTAGATCAATAGCTAAAGTTTTTTTTTCCAACTATTTTTGTATGTTGAAGATTGAAGATGAACAAAAAAAGCAGAAAAGACCGTTCCTCACTGCTTTCTTCTCTCCCATTTTTCTCAAGGTAATGTACAATGTTCCGCAAAAATTTATCTTAAAAAGAAGTGGACCTTTTGCAAATTTGCTTCACATTTCCCTCTCTTCTGCAGGCGTTTTCGATCAACTTCTTTGGTGAATGGGGTGACAAGAGTCAGGTAGATTCCCTTCTGCAACATGTTGCTTAGTTTGGTTCCACTTTAGCTAGTGATTCACATACTCACTTTAAGTTACTCTATTTCTAGCTTGCGACTATTGGTTTGGCTGCAGATGAAAATCCACTTGGTGTGGTCCTTGGCGGAATTTTGTAAGTCTTCACATAATGCTTTGTATCAAACTGATAGCACTGTTCCTATTGCTGACTAATCTCTCTGCTTGCACAGGGCACAAACATTGTGCACCACAGCCGCTGTGATTGGTGGCAAGAGCTTGGCATCTCAAATATCCGAACGAATTGTAATATTTTCAGATATCCCTCTCTTCATTGAAACAATGGTCAAAGCAGGTTTGTGTAAGATTTTTGATCAAATGGGTCTTACGTTGTTTGCAGGTGGCTCTTTCCGGTGGAATGCTTTTCATTATTTTCGGCATCCAATCGTTCATTTCCCCGGTTGATGCTTGACACTCGATAAAGTATTTACTCGATTGCTACTAAAATCATTTAGGCAATAGCATTAATATATAATACTCACTGAGTTTTCCCTGAAACTGCAGGTTTCTTGGGTTTCAATGCTTTTTGGTGAGCGGGAGCCAGAAAACATCAATCCCTTACAGTTGCTTAGTTATTTACATTAATGATTACAGAATCAGAAAGATTCATCTGTAACACCATCTAACTTCAATAAAAAGTTTTGTTATTTGCATTCTGAAAAAGATCGACTCAACAAAAGACCTATAAAAGGCAAGGTTCATTGCATATAGTAACAGTCTTGTACCAAATTTCTGATATTTATATACATCGAAGGGCATATTTTTTTTTTTTACTAAATAGAGAGTCCTGGAAGATGGAAAATCTATACGAATTTAAAATTAGTCTCAGCAGCCTCCACCATCAGGTTCAACGGAACTGAGAAGACCGTTGCCGCGCAGCTGCATACAGTGTTGCTCTGCATCGGCCTGAGCACAGACGATCACAACAGCCAAACCGTTGATGTGGGCTTCTTGCATGATGTTAACTGCGTTGTCTACAGTCATGCCTGGTATTACCTTCATCAACACCTGAACCACGTATTCTCTCTTGTTGAAGTTATCGTTGTGTAGTATCACTCTGTATGGTGGAGCCATCTTCTTTGATTTCCTGAACCAGAGCAAAGTAGAAACACAATAAGCATTAATTCTTTTGGACTGTTTAGCCTATTTGTTGATCAAAACTATGTATAATTGTGTCTATAGCAATAGATCACGCAGATTACAGAACATTCTTGGAGAATATTTCCCAAAAGAGTGAAAGGCCAATCGTATTAGAGGAATAACACATGGTAAGAGTGAATTTGGCATTTTAGATTGTAGGCATACCTCAAATCAAACTCGGATTCACGACCAGGAGTTGTTTTCTCTATAATTGGTTTGTCCAACACACCACCTCCTTTACCCATTGCGGACGTAGACATGGCCATGAGAAGGCCACGATTCAGACATGGTCCTTTTGAGATAGAATGTTTGTCCCCTGTACATATCAAGTAAGAGATCGAGAGATCCGATGTTATCACAAGACTACCATTGAAAACTTAATTGGCAGGAGATGCAATACATGAGATCATAGACATAAAGAACGGATAAAACGATGACTGAACAAACAAAAGGCCGTAATGTCGAAGTTAATGCATAGTGCAATCAGGAACCACATTTTGCAGCATTGATCTAAATAAAACTCATTCCATGGGTTTCTCAAGATTCAAGCGTTTTGCTGCAATTATGAACTTACACCATAGAGCTAATAGTCTAGAGCTTGCAAGAATCCAGGAAATTCAAGCAAATAGGCCAAACCAAGCCACAGAGAGAAAAAGGGTCTAAATTCTTTTAGAAAGGGCATATTCAGAAGCATCAACGTATTTTTGGTTAATCTTTAGAACCTAATCATCAGATTCCCTTCAATGAACCTTAGTTATCCGTAGGATCAGAGGAAGCTCATAAACATCAAGAACCCTGTAGTTTTGTTATCTTAGGACACTAAAATTCAATTGAATTAGCTAAGAACAGGAGAGTTTCAGAAGCTAATTTTTAATTACAGGATGAGATAAATATATCACCCCGACAAAACATTGTCTAAAAAACCAATTTTTTACCCGCAAATCAACATCGACCCAGAAAACATGTATCGGCATAAGCAATTATACAGAGAGAACTCGAGGATTTATTGCTAATCGAAGCTTGAAACTTTCAATCAACAAAGAAAACACTCGGATGATGAAAACAAAAAGGATGTTGATAAGGAGTCAGAGATAGATAGAGAAGAAGAAGAAGAAAGAAAACCTGATTTAGAATTGAAGAGAGTGCTTGGTGCGAGAGCTAATCTCCCACATATGGCAGTCTCCATGTCTCTCGTTGGAGTGGATGCTTCTCACTTCTCAAAGTCCCCCAAACACACAAATAATCAGGGCCGAACAATTATAATCAGAAATTTCAGAATATTGGTGGTTACGGAATTTCAACGTTGCTTGTGTCATAAAACGCTGCGTTTCATAATAAAACCTTTCCCTAAACCGTTCCGGTTTACCAAACTAAAAATCCAATTTATAAGTTATTTCCGGTGGTAATGTCCGGTTTTGTGGCTCTAGGACGGATACGTTGAAGCCTGACACTTGTAAAATTGGCTTCATACAAAATTTAAGACGTTTGTGGAATCTTCTGTCTTATTTGTGGTTTGAAAGTTGTAAGATTATATTATATATTCAGTGCAAGCCTGATGATTAGTTAATTGCCTGCTCAAAGCCTTGATGATCATTTTCATCTCAAGACCCTTCATATAAGTTGTTGCAACTCCAAAATTCAGAACCTTTGCTCTGGATCCACTATTCAGGTATGTAACTGATTTGTTTCAGTCTTCATGATCCCTATAACTTCAGGATAGTTCTTCCTTTTTGGATTATAATCTGGTGTTGTGTTCATATTCGCCTCATAGGATGTATTGGAATCGACGTCATTATTCTATGAGGCGACATATTTATTACCACTATAGTTAAATGTTATATTATAGTAAAATTTTAGCATTTAACTTTATAAAAACAGTGAACTATTATGCATTTATGCATCTCATCCTTGTGCATGGGCATTCCTTGATTCAACGTTTTCTCTATCCACAAAAAAAACAAAAAAACAAAACAAAACAAAAACAAAAATTTGCTCCATCTGGATCCATGGTGATAAAGTCGATTGATTTCATTGTTTGATTGTGACGAAGGAGCTTTTGTGAAGAGAGCTCCTGAATGTGTAAGTGTTGGGATTAGAGATGTTGCTACCATCATCAAACACAGAAGACTATTAAAAAGACTAGTAATGGGTACAGGTACATGAGGATACATAGATGTAAAACAGTATTATTATGAGCTAATATTAGATGTCTATATGTCCCACATCTACAAAGTGAGGACCAAACATGTGTAATTGCTTCCTCTGTCCATTAAACTGAGACAACAAACTTCTATGCGTGGATATTACATGTTTTTTTTAAAACAGATTTATTCTTGGACAAAAAACATGTTGAGAACTGAATCTGATCTTTGCCGATCAACCTAACTAATTAAAAGCAAGTTTTGATAGTTTTTATTTACAAGAGGCAGTTAATCTGTCATTATAATTTGGCTTCAGATGGTTTCATCATAAGGAGTTAGACCCACTTAAAAAGGGAAATGGTCGAATAATCTTGATGCATATAGAGAATAGAAAATACTCTTTTGTATATTTTGTTTGATAATTGTATTAATTTATGGCAAAGATTGTTACCATACTAGTTCATCGTTTTCAAATTTGAAACCTGAATCGAACCATCTATGAATCATTTGCTTGTAAAAGGAAAATCGTAGCAATTAATGAAAAAGAAAAGTAAATCTAAAAAGATAACAACGAAAACCAAACAGACATAAATAAGACAATAAATGACAAAAGCAAATCTGGTTGCATCAAATGGAAAAATACTGGAGAAGATTTTGTCACGTGGGCACGCGCGAGAAGAAGCGCGTGAACATCGGTAAGTGGAAAGTGGCTCTTCGGGAGAATCAAAGGTCGGAGATAAAAAAAAAGAGAGACTAATCAAATTATTACGCGGCGTGGGCAAATGTGAATCTCACGCTTCCTTAAGATTCTTTCTTTTTTCCAAATTTTCTTGTTTTTCTCTTGATTCCTTTTTTTTTCCAACTCTCCAAAAGAATATTCCTTCACTGAATTAGCTCATTCTCCATTTCAAATTCCTTTTCGACTTCCCTCACTTTCTAATCGCACTAAATTACAACAAATTAACGTAATTCACTGAATAGTTTAGACCATTCAAAATCTGGAATATTTAAGCATTAGCAAAGAATATCTATAAGTATAGTTTATTTGTATTAATAATGTAAAATCACAATAAAAATTAATAAATATTGATTTTATGCGTGTTTTAGACAATACAGTATGATATTATATAACTTAGTTTTTTTTATTTATTTTATAAAATAATATAATATTTGTTTAAAATATTCATTAAAATCATTACTTAAAACAATTTACAAAATTAATTTTCTTATTTACAATTTTCCCATAGTATAACTAATTACAAATAAATTTACATTCTCAACTTGTAAACGTGTGGGTGAAGATATGTTTTGGTAATAAGGTAACGATCAGTGCTAAACAAATTGCTAGACGTAGGCGGGCGTGTTGTATTCTTCGAAGGCTTCTGCCCACAGCTCTAGACTTCGGCTAGCGTATAGACCAAAAATGAGTGATTAATCAGTAATTTGGTAATTATAATTTTATTAATTATATTATATTTAATTTTAAAATTATTTATATAAGTTTTTCCTTAAAATTTTATAAATTTTTAGATTAATTTTGATAAAATATAGATACATTTCATGTAAGTATTATTAAACTTTTAGACCGGTTTTTAAATTAATATTTAGGTTTTAATTTATTAAAACAAAAAATGTTTAGTTACTAGAAAAATATTAAAAGTTTTGGACCGACTTATTGAGCTGACTTTTAGACAAATACGATAGGTTTTTAAAAAAAAATTAAACCAATTTTCTTTAATAAATTATCAATTTTTAAAAAATCGAATTTAGGCAGAAATCGGTTGACCGCCTATGAACAAATTGGACGGTTACTCTCTGCCTAGAGGGCCGATTTTTTTAACATGGGTAATTACATTTAAAAAATCTGGATTTTGTTGCCTATTAATGAGAAAAAGCTGGAGTGTGAATCTTAATTTGGGAGAGACATTAACATTGTTGAGTCGTCGTTCTTATCCGAAAACGCTTAAAGAGATTGAGAATAGTGACGTCAGTTTTTCCAGCCCAATCCAGATGCGACCAAAACCGAATCTGATCCCTCGAATATTCACACAACACCCAAAACCCCACACATCCTCATATTTACCTTTTTACCCTTCTCTTTCGTTTTGTCTTAAAACAAAAAAAAATGATCATTTTATTCCACAAAATTAAAACTCTCAGATTCGTTTAGGTACGCGACGCCCCGACCTCGAACCCTTCTCAACCATTTCTCTCTCTCTTCAAAAATTTTCTCCATGTTTATTCCCTTCTCTGATTCCATTTAGATCCAATATTCTTTCTCCATTGGACTCTATAGATCTGTATATTGCCTTCTTTACTTTGAAACACCATAGCCAAAACAAAAAATGATGGTTCACAAGATGGAGACTGATCACGCCCAGAAAATGCAAAGATGTCATGAGTATGTTGAAGCTCTTGAAGAAGAACAGAAGAAAATCCTAGTCTTTCAACGCGAGCTTCCTTTATGTTTAGAGCTCGTTACTAAAAGTAATTAAAAAAAAAACAATAAAAATCTCATTTTTACGCTCGAATCACTTCATTTTCAAATGGGTTTTGATTTTTTTGGTAAATTTTGTAGCGATCGAGGCGTATCGTAAGGAGTTATCCGGTACATCATCGGAGCAGATTCACGGCCAATCAGACTGTTCGGAGCAGACGACGAGCTTTTGCGGTGGACCAGTCTTGGAGGAGTTTATTCCAATCAAGAAGAGTTCGTTGAGCCAGGAAGAAGAAGACGGCGAACATGAATCTCTAGAGCCTGAGATTAATAACGTCGACAAGAAGAAATCTGATTGGCTTAGATCTGTTCAGCTATGGAACAATCCGTCACCGGATCTAAACCCGATAGAGGTATCAGATTCGGAGCGTGTGGTGGCTAAGAAGGCGAAAGTGGTTGAGGTGAAACCAAACAACGGCGGCGCGTTTCAGCCGTTTCGTAAGGAGAAAAAACGCGTTTTTTTGGAGACTCAGCCGCCGCAACCGGCGGTTAAAGCGGCGACGACGACGAGTTCCACGACGGAAACAACCGGCGGAGGTAAAAGTGATTCGGTTAAAGCGAGGGAGGAGCAGATGAAGCAGGACCAATCGCAGTCGCAAACGCATAGAAAACAACGGCGATGCTGGTCGCCGGAGTTACACCGGCGGTTTCTTCACGCGCTTCAGCAGCTCGGAGGATCGCATGGTAAGCTTGTCTCTTTTCTGATTGGCTCATTAGTAGTAATTCATAATTAGATTGATAAAAGGAATGATTTTTAATTATGGGTTTTTGTTTCTATACCAAAATTTTGCAGTTGCTACACCAAAACAGATTAGAGATCATATGAAAGTCGATGGGTTAACAAACGACGAAGTTAAAAGCCATTTACAGGTTCACTAATCATCTTTATATTACTAATTAGTAAGTAAATGGAATGTATTTGTTAATGTTTCGATACTATTTGTGGAATTTTCAGAAATATAGACTTCATACAAGAAGGCCAGCAACGTCTGTGACGGCGCAGAGTAACGGAAACTCGCAACAACCACAATTCGTGGTGGTCGGAGGAATATGGGTTCCGTCGCCACAGGATTATCCTCCACCGTCAGATGTATATGCTCCGGTGGCGGAGGTGCAACCACCACCACTACCACTACCACCGCAATCTCCTAAGCTTTCGGTGGAGAGAAGTAGCGGCCGTTGCAACTCGCCGGCGGCATCTTCCTCTACTAATACAACCACGACTTCTTCTGCTTCTCCTGTGTCATAGTAGTCAAATCTTGTGATTTGATTTTGTAGATTTAATGAAATGTAAGATTGTAAACCAAAAATGTTCTTTTCATAGCTTGGAAAATTTTGAATAAAATATAGACGAATGCTATATAGTATATACACGGGATAAGTGAAAGAGTCTTTTTGTTTTGTATCTTTGAATATTTGTTACTCCCTTGTTTCTTGGTGTCGAGTTTTGAAAGTAAAAATTTAATTATCATATTTGAAAATGATACATGAATAATTAACAATGTGGAAGTTTAGTTGTTAATTTGCTGTCAATTCATTATTCGTCTTTATTCTCTCTTAAAAAATGTTGTTCTCACTTCATCATCACTTGTGTATTTGAATCAAGTTTGTGTCATATTAGAGAACCTGCACAGCTAGAAACATTTTAATTTGTAAGAAAGATCATAATGTATCGTAAGGTTATTCATTCTGTTGTTGTTGAAAAAAATAGTTAATACATTCATTATTTGAATGGCAAAATGAATGGCAATTTAGTGCAAATGCAATTCCACATCTGAATACAACTATGAACTACTGCAAACGGTTAAAATAAAAACTTACAAAGTTAATCAAGGTTTTGTTAGATGAACGAGAATCACGTTCATGATAACGATGTTAACTATTTTTTTGTGTGACAATTATATACGCTTAACCCTTGTTACCAAAAAAGAAAAGAAAGAAAGACAATTGGTATATACGCTTTATTTATGGTAACGTTTGATTAAAGAAAGGCACGTTAAACGTGGCAGGCCATGATTCCAGTTATTAATTGACCAAACCAACCCACCATTCACATATATCAAATATCAAATATCAAATATCAAATCTATATTTTGCATGGTAATCTATAAAGTCTTCATTCAAATAACCCTTACGGCCTTTAGCCTTACGTGGCCGCCTGTGAATCTTAGTACTAACCAAAATCAAATCAATATTATGTTATATCCTTTTCCCTTCACAATGTTACGATAACAGCTCGAACCGAGGTTTCTTTATATGTATAAGTTCCGGCTAAGCTTTCTTTAACTTAAAAACTATAAAATCCAAATACAATCAATACTATATTCTCTGTGTGAAAAGTCCACGAGTTCTTAGGTTGACTTCATCTAACATTTTATATTTTTGGTCAACTTCCTTCGTTCTTATGTCGTTTTTTTCTTTCGTGACATGCATTCCTTCTTATGTTTTTTTTTTTCGTTCTTATGTTGATTAAACGTTTAGAATCACACATATTTGTACACTTCTCTATTTCCCCCCCCCCCCCCACCGCGCTGTTTTGTAATTTATTCTTTCCCAATTTTGTTAGTCTCTCCTTCCTCCATTCGAAGAAAGATTCCGTTCGAATATACTTTTTTTGTGGTGATGTGATTTCACACTAATATTATGTTTATTTTTGGTAACTAAAGAAAGAAAGACCTAGACAGTGAGCCATATAATTATGAGGTAATTAAGGGATTCGAATAATCCTAAATATGTTGTATTAACATGTGACTCTTCGCTTCGTCTTAAGGCCAGGTTGCCCTCCTTTTTCCACCAATGCATTCAACTACCACCCAAAACCTTATGTTTTTTTTTTTTTTGTTCAATATAGAGATCACCAAAATAGATATAACAATGGGATCAACAGATATCGGGATTATATATGCCAATCTCTCAACGATATTCTCGACGTAATGGCGAAGAAAGGATCGGATTGGCTGTTCCTGTCTGATGATTGATTCCAAGCCGTGAGATTCGAACTCGTCATGATAAATTAGCTGATGAGAGTCTCTCAAGCCTAAGTTTTTGCTAATTGGTTTTGCAAACTGATATATACAACTGAGGGGCAAGAAAAGAGAACCAAAATAGTTTTTCTTTGGGACGAAAAAGAAAGAAATATCTAAGCCAAATCATCAACCTTAAATCAACAAAAGAACTGGTTCGAAAAATTAAAATTATCATCTAAAATTTAGTAGATGTTAATCCTATGTAATGCATTAGTTATATAGATTTCTTTAAGTGCATCACGATAAGTAACCTCGTGCTTCTGATTTGAGCAACGATGCTCCCATCACCGCATAAGCTTCAATGCCATTTAGACCTTTTCAGGTTATGAACTCGAAAAAATGGAGTATTAATGTTGGTGATTGTAGTAAAGATGACTGTGGTAGATGCTGAGTTACTGTCGCGAAACATTCTAATTTCTACTCTAGCTTCTTTTGATTGCTCAGTTCTTAAATATATTTTTCAACAGTTATGTTTTTACCTTTAACATAAATAAACAGTTATGGTTACCACTCAAAAATCTGATGGTAAAGAAAATTATCATTGTCCCAATCAAATACGAAATTTTCTTTAAGAATATTTTAACTGTAAACCAAGTAGTGGTAGATTAGTGATTCTCACTTATGGAGGAGTTGCTCTTTTGATTTAGGCCAAAGATTGATTCTCTACAAACGCAAAATTATCTAACCATTCTTATTTGAACAATTGAATATGCTGCACACTTTTAGATCCACTTAAAAATTTGATAAATAAGTTAGTCAACGATATTATTTATCCGGAGAAATTAGTCAGGTGGTGGCCTGGATTACATTTTGTTATCATATTTTTAGTTGTACATATTAAAAGCTTATATTCTTTTATTAAAAAAGTATTTTACCATATGAACTATATGTTTAATAAACAATTAACATGGTCTAGAGTTAGTTTGAGATGGTCCTCACAGACATGCCCTTAAGCTGAATAATTTTGGCACTCTTTTTTTGTTTTTTTTCGACAATTTTGGCACTCTAAGAGCAACTCGGGGGGTTCTTTGGAGTTTTTAATGAATATTTCTTTGATTTGTGAATAGTGTAGACTCACTTAATTTTTTCCCTTCCCAATCCTGAACCTCTTAAGCTGATGAACCCCTTGACGAAGACGAAGGTAAAACCAAAAAAATCCTTAAAACAGAAACACAAAAAAACACCAAAATCAATTGAAAACAAAAAAATCAGGAGAAGAAACAGAGAAAACGATGAGAAAGCATAGAAAAAAAAAATCAATCGAAGAAGAAAGAGAGGAACCTCATCATTATTATATATATACCCAAGAGAAAAGAGAAATCTGTGTCGAACCCGAAAAGCTATGACCAATAATCTGTGTAGAAAGAGAGATAGAGAAAGGAAGGAGAAGAGAAATGAAGGCTCTGCATTTACAGTGAGGAAGAAGAAGGGGAACAGAATGAGAAATAGTGGATCAAATAAAAAACAGACACGTGGCTGATGAACCCCTCAACGAGCCGCTTCTTCGGACCCTTCAGCAAAGGGCAATTCATCAAATAATAGGCCTTTTTATTCAATTTTAACCCAAAAATCTGATGAACCCCTTCGAAAAACCTCATTTTACCCTGCGTTGGAGGTGGTCTAAGACCATCTTCAATGGTTAGCACCCCTAAGAGATGCTTAACCATTTTTATATAATTTTTTTGGATACTTTTTTGCTTAAGCACCCTTCTAAGTTTTTTTTTAAGTTTTCATCTTCCTATGGTAAATGCTTAAAGTGCAAAAAAAAAAAAATTTACAGATACATAGTCTCTCTGTAATTTCTGAAATCTCCTTCACTAATACAGCTTTTCTGCTTCCATTCTCTGTAACCAGATGAATCGCTGACCTTTTTCTTCCTCTATGATCCCCATCATTGTTGGCTTTAGCCAAATCTCCTTCGTGATTTGAAGAACAAACAGGCAAATCCAAGACTTGTTTGGTTTCATCGCCTTCTTCGTCAAGAAACTCTTCTGCTTCTCCTCCTTGGCCGCCTTCTTCTTCTTCTTCACTCAGCAATCCATATCTCTGCAGCTTCATGGGTCACTGAAAATGGACGGTGACGTCCAATCAAAGCAGGATGACCTACACAAAAATATCAATAGCCACACAAAGTAAGCAAGAGTTTTGGGAGATGCCTAAGTCATACTTAAGTCAAACTCACCTCACATTGGTGCAGATATGTATTCAAATGTCTATGGTTATGCAATCATACATATACAAGTGCGGTACATGTCTGTACTAAACAAGCGTCGCTAATGGTTCACCAAAGCGTAAGAAAATGAACATAAAACAATGAATTAATGTCCGGTTTCTCAGTCAAGCATATAAAACATGGAACCAATTTCTGAAATCTCCTTCACTACCAAAACTATAAACCATCTTTGTCAACCGAACCATACACTCAAAGCAGATGAAGAACATTACCTCATCATCAGAGGCAGAACCAAATCATTGGAATAACAAATTCCTGGTGATTCCGCCTGAGAAGAAACCAATCCATTCATCAGTCCTAAATCAATTCTGCAACAAATATAAAATCCCCAATCAAATTTGGTTCTGAAATTTGATTTTCCAACTAACCAACACGAATAACCCTGATCAATCCCAGACTATCAATTTCGTTTCTGATATGTTAGTCTCCATCTAAACCCAATTCATCTAACAAAATCAGAACAAGTGACCCAAAATTGCAAACAATACCTGTTTTTCTTCCACCATCTCCCTCTATCTCAGAAAATCGCAGAGCACTCTCCCATCGAAGCAAGGAAGCGATTCGTGTAAGCATGCATGAAGAAGTAGCTGGGTAATCTCACAATCGGGAGTAGGATGGAAGGAGAAAAAAACCAGTTGGAAAAATTTTTTTGGTGAAGAAGAAAGAGAGATGATAAAACCTGCGTGAAAAAAAAAGAAAAAAAAAATAAAAATGGTTGACCAATGAGAAACGACCACGCCGTCGGTGTTTAAGGTTGCTTAAAATGCTAATAGAAGCACCGATGCCGAGCTAATTCCCCTATTAAACATTTATTTTTAATCCATTTTTTTGTTAAGCACCCTCTAAACATCGACCATTGGAGGTGCTCTAATTTGGTAAGTATTGTATATATGACAAAACTCACCAGAAGATCTTCAACTTGTCTTGGGCTGCTCATGGGCTCACCATCGAGGTCCGTTTTTTTAATTTGTTAAAAAAATGATTTAAATTTAAATCCCCATAGGATTTGCTTAATTTTTTTTAATCTTTTAAATTTCGTGATTTCTTCCAGAAGAAAAAAGAATAGGAAACCCAAAAAATTGTATCGCAAATCGGAAATCGGAATTGGAAGGGAGAAGGGATCTATCGTCGTCATGGCATCGTCAAGCGACCCCTCCAAAACTGTGATGGAGAGGAAGAAGAAAGGAGCACCGATCAAATTCTTGGTGCCTCTCATATACGCGCCTGTTCTTCCTCTGATTCGTCTCTCTCTGAGGCATAAGCCAGTTCTCAGGGACCGTCTCTTCGGTCTTGTCCTCGCCGGTGCTTTCGCTCATGGCTTCTATCTCGTGTATCCTCTAATTTTATTGCCTCTGCATTAAACCAATTCTGTTGCTTTGTTTGGTTTTTTCTTCTGTGATCTGAATCCTAGTTGTTGATTGTTAATTTGGAACTCTTAGCTTCTTAATTAGTGAAATTGTTCTATTAGCTGCTTGTCTTTTCCAGTTTCATCACTCATTTTTAAGGTTTGGTAAGGAAAATGTATGTTAGGTTGTAGCCTTTTAGGGTTCAGTTCTTTTTTAGTAGAGAGTGTAAATTAACATTGTAGAAGTTTTTGCTCTTGATACTTTGTAGAGGTTTTTATGGCGATTTCACTTAGGGTTAAGATATGTATAAGCAATAGGGATTAAGGCAGTGAATCTTGATTTTAATCGTCTCATCACTTGAAGTTTTGTATGGTTATGTGCTTAGGAAAGTATCCAATTTTCCTGCATCATGTCCTTTAGTGAATTTTGTACAACGTATCTGTGTCTTATACATGTTATTTCTAGAAGTTAAACTATATAACATCTCTATACGGAATTGAGGAACTCAAGAAAGTTAAACATGTAGCCCTAATTCAGGTATTTAGAGATTCAAAATAAGACGTGTGTGGCGTAGATATACTTAGTGATGGTTTTGCAGTGATCATGCTTATGGTACATCAGAGTAAAATGGAATAGTTTAGTATGTTTTCTCTCTTTGGCCATGATCTGATTGATGAGTACGTAAATAACCTGATGGTCGTGAGAGGGTCGATTAAAAGACAAGAGATGTGCTTGAGTTTAACTAGTTGAGAACAGTTGGCTTCCTAATGTTTAGCATCAGTTAACATAAGCAGAGTGTATTATTTGGATTTAGAAAGTAGCTATATGCATTTGCTATTGTTGATATAATCTCTTCCAAGTGTTTTTTTTTTTTTTTTTCTCTTTGGTTTGAATGTTCCTTAAAGATAAAATCATAGAACGGACATATATGATGCAGAGAGCAAATGAAAAACTTGGAGTTGCAGTCATTCATCAAGATTCTCGTTATTTCTCAGATGTCTTTCATATAAATAAAATTTGCTTTTGGGGTTTGGTTGTTTTAAACCTCTGATATAAATTTTGTTTCTATCTTCTGAACCTGAAGTTGGATTTGCCTTTTGAATCCATTTAGTCATCCTTTTGTTCACCAATTACAATGTATCAGCTTTTACATTTTGAATTTCCAAAAACAAATCTTACGATTCCAAATATTAATTTTTAAAATAGATGGTATATATTCAATCTACTAAATAGTATACTTTATTTTTGTATATTTATTTTTATATATCAAACTTAAGTTTTACAAAGAAGATAAATTTAATTTTTATAGTTTGCGATTCAGTTATTAATAAACAGTTTATTTTGATTTATTTATACCATTTATTATTAATATTTAAAAATATGATAAAATTCATCAGTCAACAATAAATTAAATTTCTATTTGATGAATGTAAAAATTCTGCGTGATATAACTATAGGTATATTTATATATACCAATAAAATTTATGAACTAAAATTTGAAATTAATTATTAAAATATTATTTAAAATATTATAATCCTGCGTATATATTACACGGGTTAATTTCTAGTTATAATTTATAATTGTATCTTTTCCTCTCCAAGATCCTCACTTAGCTCTCACACCACATGCACCAGTTAAAAAAAGAAAACTAAAACCTTATGTGACTCGGGACTCTTCTTTTACTATTAGGACTTGTTCACAATTTGGTAATGATGGAGAAATGTCACATGGTGGTGACTGGTGAGATCGATCAGATGCGAGAGGTGTGTGTAAAGTTTATGCGTTGAGGCAACAGCTTTATGAACTGACTTCAATAAAAATGTTCAATTTTATAGGCCTGGCATGAAATTGACCTTAACATGGGATTTTCCCTATATAATAATAGACACAAAAGGCAAAGTGGGAAGAACAGTGGAAAACTGAAAAGGAGGATATAGGCTGAAGGAATCACCAGGGACAAGATGTGTAGGAAATGGTGGCGCTGCGGATTGATCTACACAGTGCTCAGCCTTCTTCTTCTTGATCCATGTCTCATTATCACACATCTCTGCTCATTACCAATTTACCATGTATGTATTCAGTATTCCTATACAGCTTTGTGTTAGCGCAGGGTCTTGGAGGTTGTGGCTTGGTATTGTCCATCCCTAACATATAAAAGGTTACTGGAAAGAAATAGAGCTTCCATATAACGTTGAACCAAACCTAAATCAACTTCTAGAAAGCTGTGCTGCATTCTCTCTGCTCACTGCAATCTCAAGAGGAAGAGGCTTATGTTTTTTACTGCTTATGGTTGTCTTGGCTTGTGCGATAATTTCATACACCAAAGACTTGAAACCGCAGGTTTAGGTGGAATGATTATAAATGCATATTCAAGTTTTGCTTATTGGGTAGCAGATTTGTACAGCAATATCCAAGACTCTACAGGTCCAATAAGCAGCCAACCTTTAAACTGATTACCGCATTTGTGAAAAATTATTCTTCCTGGATAATCGAGATCCCATGCCCACATTTTCCCATATGAATCTTTTATTGTCATAATCCATGGCTTGGCCGAGATCTCACTTGGCAACATGTCTTTTGTATACCAATTCTTGCAAACAGATTTCACGCGAATCAGTTCCATGATACAAAATTTCTATTACATATATCATTGCACAAATCTGGCCACAGTTAACCTGTATTTGCCCTCGTCAAGGTCCTAGACCATTTCACATAATACCAAAGAAGTAATAGTGTATCAGAGTTAATTATGAGAAATCATGACATTTATTAATTTTTTGCTTTGAAAAGAGCAGCGCTAATAGTAATTATGTTGTTTTTCTATCAAGGTTTTAGTAACTTCCTTTGTATTTGGCTGAAAGTTTGTAGGTGCAAACATTTTACAAATCTTGTGAAGGAATGTTATCTCTAAGTCCATTTATTCTAAGATGAAAAAAAGGTGTGACTATGTTGTATATAATTTATCTGTGAAAAAAAATTTATGAAAAAAAGAAAAAGTTTTAAAAACCTAGTCTTTCTCCTTAGTCTTCTAGTTCTTCTTCTTAACAATAAAGTCATTCATCCTCTTCTTCCTAGCTGTAGAGCCAGGTGGATGTGACAAAACAAAGCTCCTCCAACCCCACCTATGGTGTGCAGCTTCAGAATTCTCAGCTGGATCTGCATTTTCTAGTGTGCTTTCTTCGTAAATCACTATAGTTCTTCGAGCAAGTGATAACAACTTCAGAGAATACTACTCGATCTAACATATCAGTAATTATTGGGTCTAATATGTAACAAATGTTACTGTTTTCACACAGGTGTTTTATTTCCTTCCTTTAACATACTGGAAAAAGTTGCAAGGCAAATTTTTGATATTATTATATGATGTGTGATTTATATAATTACTGGCAAGTGCTTCCATTCAATTTTCATTATTGTGGGTTAACTCAACACGCTAATCAACCTGAAATATTCCACATTTTTCTACCCAAAATATTGGGACGCTTGATTTCTACCATGATTGACCAATTCTATTTCTACTGTCCAAATTGATTTGTAGTCTTTTTTTGTGTGTGTGTAAGATTTAGCATAAAGACTCCAGTGAAAGATATATGTTCAGTCATCGCAATCTTGGAAGTTCGAAGAATGAGATCTTAGACACTCTTTCTAGTTTATAAATGTAAAATGTGTACCCTTTAGTATTTTAATTTTATTGCGTGACTTCTAAGATTGTCAAATTGTATATCTGTAAATCTGTAGACGTCATGTGCTATAAACGAAAGAGCTACTAATGTATTATAAATAATACGAAACTTTGTCCTTTAAAATGCAATATAAGATGTCAAAAGGAAAATACAACTTAATAATATATATGCAACCGAAAGTTTTTAAATTAATTTATGAAGCCGTCAAGTCAAACTACAACTTGAGAGAAAAGTCAATTTGAGCTATGTAACAGAAAATATTATATATGTAAGATATGTAATACTAGAACAACATTTCGATATACAACGTTTTAGGCAGATAGCTATCGGTCAATAGCAAAAAAAATACAACTTCAATTAAAAATCGATTACTTATTTATTTTTGTAATACACTGTGAATTGATTTATATAATTTATGTTTACTAGTTTACTTCACGTCAAGTTAAAAAAGTCAGAAGACATGTGAGAATTGATATACTAGAAAAACAATTTAAGTTGATTATTTCTTATTATCATCGATCTACTGATGACATAGCGCGTTATTTATACACATATGAAAAAAAAAAAAAAGACGCGTACAAAGGTTGAATAAAACAAAACAAGCTTAAATTAAAAAGCATAACAAATTTGAAAAAAAAAAAATATCCTTCTGGTGAATTTTGGTAAGTAGCTTATTTGATTGCAATCACTTTTTTTTTTTTTTGACATCGATTGCAATCACTTATGCAAAGAAATATATTTCTTTCCTTAAAACAAAAAAAATATTTAAAACTTCAATTACTTTGACCGTTGATTTTGACGTAGCACCGAAGGACGCTGGGAAAAAAAAATTTCAGAGTTTTGTTGTTTTTGTCGTTGTTTTGAAGCACTGAAGAAAAATTGATTCAAGAATTGTAAGTTTGAAACAAAGTTAACAAGAGAGAAAGAAAGGAGGGAAAGAAGACAAAGCTACTTGTGTTGGTCTTTAATGGCTGTAGACAGTAAAGCCGGTCACTTTTAATATCTTTATAACGAAGATTCTTCAGTTATGGTTTTGAAGTGATAGCTCTTACAGATCTGAGGTTATTACACATTCTCCATCGAATTGGGGGTAATCTCAGTGATCTGGTTTTGCGTGAGTGATCTGGAATTTGGTGATTGGAAAGCAAATTTTAGTGACCTGGGTTTTCTCTAACACGTCGTCGTCGTCGTCTTCTCTCTGCTTTGTCTTGAAGCCTATGTTTTTGAGTAATTTAGGGTTTAATCAAAGAATAGCTGTTTGATCTCGAAAGTTGCTGCTTCTTCACGTTAAGTGTTTTTTTTTTGTTGGTAAAGTTTGGTGGTGGTTTCAGGAGACTGTCATACTCAAAAAGTCTGGGAATTTTAGGTTTCTGATTCCTAATTTTGCTTAGTGATCGATCATCTCTGCTCGTTTCTCGAGAAAAGTTTCAAATTTTGATGAGAAGGTAAGAGCTTTGTGGTGGACCCAGAAGCGTGTCGGTGATAAGAAGTTAGATTTTGTGGTGGGTCGGAGTTTTTAGATGGCGACATCACCGGCACAGCCTCCGATTTCAAATCCTCCACCGTCTCCACCGGTGACTTCACCGCCACTGAACAATTCTCCTCCGAGTAACAATGCCACTTCACCACCGTCTCCGTCTCCTCCTCCGGCCACACCACCACCAGTAACATCGCCGCCACCAAATAGAGCTCCTCCTCCTACTCCGATTACGACCTCACCACCACCACCACCAATTGGTTCACCTCCTCTGCCAAAACCACCTGAGATCTCTCCTCCACCGCCACAACCAGTGATCCGTTCACCTCCTCCTTCAGTTTCACCGCCACCTTCACCACCATTGTTGCAGCCACCACAAGCCTCTCCTCCACCACCATTACCTTCTTCTCCTCCACCTCCTTCATCTGTTCCTCCTCCACGGACTTCTCCTTCACCACCAATCTCACAACGCTCTCCTCCACCGCCTTCAGAGCGTCCCACTCTATCTCCTCCTCCACCTTCTCCGCCTTCAGAGCGTCCTATTCAGTCTCCTCCTCTACCTTCTCCACCTTCAGAGCGTCCCATTCAGTCTCCTCCTCTACCTTCTCCACCTTCAGAGCGTCCCATTCAGTCTCCTCCTCCTCCTTCTCCGCCTTCAGAGCGTCCCACTCAGTCTCCTCCTCCTCCTACGCCGCCTTCAGAGCGTCCCATTCAGTCTCCTCCTCCACCAACAGAGGATACTAGTCCACCACCTTCAGATTCTTCTCCTCCTCCTCCTCCTCCTCAACCTTCTCCTCCCCAAATACTAGTCCCAGGATCTAACAATTCACCTCAAAACAACCCTACTCCTAGTGCTCCTGATCGTTCAGATCCTACTAATAGTAGTGGCATTGGTACTGGAGCTGTTTTCGGAATCAGTCTCGCAGTGGCGCTTGTGGTGTTCAGTCTAATTGGACTCTTTGTCTGGTGCGTAAGAAGACGAGAAAAACGTCTTTCAGCTGTTAGTGGTGGCAATATTACACCATCACCAATGAGCTCCTCCTCTCCAAGATCAGGTTAGTTATGATCTTGAAATACTTGGCTTATGTATAAACTGTTTCTTGTGTGTGCGTTTCTTGATTTTTTTTTTTCATTTTCGATAATGCTTATGTCCAGATTCAGCTTTTTTTAGGACGCAGTCATCTGCACCTGTTGTACTGGGAAAGCGTTCAGGAAGCAATCAACAAACGTATTTCTCACAGTCACAATCTGGCGGCTTAGGCAACTCGAAAGCACTGTTCTCATACGAGGAGCTTGTCAAGGCAACAAATGGGTTTTCGCAAGAAAATCTTTTGGGTGAAGGTGGATTTGGTTCTGTGTATAAAGGTGTGTTACCGGATGGGAGAGTAGTTGCTGTGAAACAGCTCAAGATTGGTGGAGGACAAGGTGATCGAGAGTTCAAATCCGAGGTCGAAACTCTTAGCAGGATTCATCACCGTCATTTGGTTTCCATCGTGGGACATTGCATCTCTGGTGACCGTAGATTGCTCATTTATGATTATGTCTCTAACAACGACCTTTACTTCCACCTTCATTGTAAGTAAAGTAACATGTTCCGAGATTATAACACACACCACTGGTACTGACACTATCTACTACATGTTCTAAATAGCATCCAAAGAAGTTCTTGACTGGGCAACACGTGTTAGAATCGCTGCTGGGGCGGCTCGTGGACTAGCTTATCTCCATGAAGATTGTAAGTTGTTGCTTAGCCCCCACTAGTTTTACCTTTTTCAATCATATCTTCTTGCTTTTGATGGTAACTTCCATATCGTTCTCCTCCATTTTCCAACATCTACCACACTTGTTGAGCTCTTTGATGTTTTTCTTTAGGTCCCTGTGGACCACATTATGTTATTCTTACTATATTTTTCTGTTGTCAGGTCATCCACGGATCATTCACAGGGACATAAAGTCGTCTAACATTCTTTTAGAAGACAACTTTGACGCTCGGGTACACATTAGTCTCTGCTATTTCTTGATTTTCAATGTTTCAGCAACATTCGTGACTTTTAAGCAGTAATTGATCCCTCATCTTTGTAGGTTTCTGACTTTGGTCTCGCAAGATTAGCTCTTGATTGTAACACTCATATCACCACACGGGTCATTGGAACATTTGGGTAGGTTCTTTGCCTTTCTTGATTAAAGAGAACATATTTTGGCATCTCACTGATATTTTTCTTCATTCATATACTTTCAGCTACATGGCTCCTGAATATGCAGCAAGTGGAAAATTAACAGAGAAATCAGATGTATACTCTTTTGGAGTTGTTCTGCTCGAGTTGATCACTGGACGTAAACCGGTGGATTCATCCCAACCGCTAGGAGACGAGAGCCTTGTTGAATGGGTAGGAAACCTCACTTAACTTCCTCATCAAACCCCTCATGTCGTTTGAACCTTTGCATTGTATGTTTTTCTCAGGCCCGGCCTCTTGTAAGTCATGCCATCGAAACCGAAGAATTCGATTGTTTAGCAGATCCCAAGCTCGGAGGAAAGTATGTAGATTCTGAAATGTTTAGAATGATTGAAGCAGCTGGAGCCTGCGTGCGCCATTCAGCTGCCAAGAGACCTAGAATGGGACAAGTAGATGCATTTTCTTTTCTTCTCTCCTTGACAAGAGTTTGCTTTGCCTTTGCTTAAAAAAAACTTGAAGGAATCTTGATTGTTGCAGATTGTGAGAGCTTTTGAAAGTGTAACCGAGGAAGACCTCACCAACGGGATGAGACTAGGAGAAAGCGAGGTCTTTGACTCAGCTCAACAGTCAGCTGAGATCAGATTGTTCAGAAGAATGGCATTTGGTAGCCAAAATTACAGTACAGATTTTTTCACACATAGTAGTTACAGTAGCAGAGACGGAAACGTGTAAATATATCATACACAGATTGTTTTTTTTGCTTTCTCTCTCGCCATTAGAGGCAAGAATACAGCCCAGTTTTGCCTGAAAACTGCAAATCCTGTTTCATGTTTCCACACTGTAATTACATCTCAAAGCAGAACCCTTCTTGAGCTCCCAAAGCAGTATGAATCTTCCTCTGGTTTTGTTTTCTCTTTTTTTCTGTTCATTTTTTTTTTTTTTGTTTCCATGTGGTGAAACTAAAGAGACTACAAAATACAAATTGCAGAAACAGAGGATTTCAGAGGAGCATGTGGTTGAACAAGAAGATGGGGAAAAAATGAATATCTTTAGTCTTTACGTTCTTGAACAAGAGAGGTTTCGTTTCTTACATGAAATTACTTTTGTATGTATATCTTTCGTGCTTATAGCATCAAGTTTGCACATTCTGTGACGTTACATCCTCGTCATATTGTCTCATTCTTATACTTATGATAAATCAACAAGGATCTTTCTTTGTCTCTCATTGTGTGTGTTACTATACCTCAATTTCCACAAGCAAAAGACTAATTTATCCTTATGAATCACCGTGGAAGAGAGTAGAATCAAAGGAAACTAAAGATTGTAGTTGCTTCAACGTCCAAAATTCCTAAACAATGCTTTTAAAAATCCCATGTGATTCTATGTTAGAACAAACAAATACTTAGCAAACACATGGGTGTTGCTTTGCCTTGCATAGTTGATACTTGATACCTTTGACACAATCCTATGTAACCTCTTAAGCTCTGTTTCTCTCCATCTCCTTCTTCTATATCTTTTGTTTTTTTACCTTAACAGTTTGTATGCATCAAGAGTTATGGAACAAGATTGTGGTGCTTTTGCAGCAGATTGTGTTATCCTCTGTTGCTGCTGCGAGTGCTTTTTGCTACAAGTTTTTATCTTCGTCTTCTACAAGACGCCTCGTAAACTTGCTCAGAAGATGAAGAAATTTGTGATCAGGAGGCTGCGAGGAAAGAAGAGAAGAGACGCGAAAACCATCCTACCCACAAAGGAGGAGGATTGTAGAGAGGAGGAGGAGCATTTGTCCGGTGATGGGTCGAGATTTAGTTGCATGGAGGATACAGAGGAGATGTTGCAAGAACTTTCCATGAAGGGAGAGTTTGTGTTTGGGAGTTTCTGGCGACAAGGAGACCCTACAAACGATTTCGATTTCGGAAACTCACAATATGAAATAGCTAAAGACAGTGATCATTCCTTATCATTGCTCATCTCACAAGATGTCTTATTGGATTCAAGAATCCAAATAATGAAGCCTTAGGAGGACCGGAACTAAAGGGGTATACAACTTCCCTATGCACTCTCCATTTCTCTAAGAATTACAGTAAAAACTAAAGAACTAGTACCAATCTTGAAAGAGCAAAAGAAGAGAAAAGGCGAGATGACAGCCACTAGCAACAACTGTGTGGCATTGCATACTCTCTTTACTGGAACTCTGATGTATAATCTTCAGCTGTTCCCTAATGCGTTTCAGTGACATAATCAGATGTTTCTTAACCAGGCAAGGCCCAAAGAATCAGAGAATGTACAACAACTGTTAAACAGCCTTCCTCCAGTCTGGATTCATATATTTACGTCCTGCGAGTCAGCTGAAAATGCAGATTAACGAGAGAAGACAATCCAATCGATACTAGGTGATCTCATTGTCATGATTCAGGCTCAGATCTCCTCACTGATCTCTTTTTAGCTTCTAATCTTGCGGTGAACCCAACTGTTGTAGGCCTGATAGATCTTTGCCTCACCATATCACAGTACTCAGGGTCGTTACACTGACCTTCATACCTTAGCCACTGTATCATCCCATGGTACATTGGGAAAAAACTCATCTGAATTGCAGAGTAGATGAAGTATGGCATCAATGTGGAAACAACCACAAAGAGAGTAATGACCCAGTAAGAAAGTGATGGCGCAAGAGCTTCAACAAATACTTTATATTCCTCGGTTGATATTCTTGCTGGAAGTTCTCCATACACCGCCATGAAAATGTACCAAACGACGATGGAGCCCCAAATGACGATGTGCTGGATCAGTGTGAAGTAGCTGATAGCCAATGCCATCTGCAAATTCACAACCCAGACAATGCATGTGTACATTGTCCCGCCTAAGATCTCTCTTCCCACTGTCTTTCCATCGTGGTTGAAAGCTTGAGATTGGAGAGAGCTTTTGCACAGATAAAAAATGATTACTGCACTGTAGAATCCATTGAACATCCAGCCAAGTATCCTGCGCCAGCTGAACAGAACATTCTGAACACCTTCTTGGTATAACAGCGGAAACTGCGAGAAAACCAAGACGAGAGGAAGGATTTAGCACAAATTGTTTGAGAGGTGAGAAGATGAAGCTGTTGTGTAATGCAATGGAGAAAAAATTTACCTTGAGACAATACCGTGCAGACACATCTTGGTCGAAGACACCGAGAGCAATAACTGGCAGGGACGAGAAGAAGACGTTGTAAAGAGACAGGAACCAGTCATTGTAGGCAGGTGTCGATGAAAATGTTGTGTATGCTTCATATAAGAAGAGAGTGAAACCAAATGTAATGTTCTTGTAGAAGAAGTAGCAAATCTGTGAATAAAAGAAAACTAGTCAGGCCAAAAGTATTGATTATGTTAAGAGACTCATGGCATAAAGGGTTTGTCTCAATCTGAAGATATATAAGAATGATATTTTACCATTGTTGAGATCCGTCTGTAACACCAGTGTCCATGGACTAGTAACAAACGTTCCAGATATCTGAACTGAGCAATCGCAATGTCGCTGGACATTACAGCCTGAACAATGATCAGGATTAGGCCACAAAAGAAAAACACACACAGCAACAAAAGTAGTAAATGATATGCTATATAGCTCTAAATCGAACCTGCATTCCTTCCACGCCGCTAATCCCCACACCTATATCTGCTTCCTGAAGCATTCCAACATCATTCGCGCCATCACCAATAGCTAACGTCGTTTTACCATTTCCAGATTTTACTAGTCTTGTCACCTATATAGCGTTGCAGTTCTTGAGCAAATCTTGAAAGGAGCAAAAGTATACAACGTAGAAACACTAACCAGAGCTTTCTGTTTTGGTGATGAACGGCAACAAATGACAGAGGCGCAACCAACGGCTAGCTCTAAAAATATGTGCTTTATATCATCATCCAACGCGTAAGCAAGTGATTTTCCATCAATGATTAGAGCAAAAGCATCAGAGTTTCCACCAGAATAGTTTAGCTGAGACTTTCCATTAATTATCTGCAACAGGACATTTTCCTTTGATGCCTGCAAGATAAAATCAAACCACATTGATTCATTCATTTATATAATCTTCCACGGAATACAAATGTCTTGGTTGTATTTTACCTTTGCAATGGCGTTTTTTTCTCCGGTTTTTTCCAGTGAATGGATTTCAGGAGTCTCCAAGTTGATTATGATCTGCTTCATGTCTTGTCTGAGCAAACTACAAGCGAAGCTGACAAAGAAATACGTACAAAGGGTTCAGAGAGTGGACAGAATGAAGAAAAACTGTATGCAGGAACTCGAGAGTAGATATTCTTAAGGTGTTACCCAGAAAATGATACCCAATATTGATAGCAGTCTCCATTTTGTCACCAGTCAAAACCCAAATCTTTATTCCTGCTTGAGCAAGCTTGTCAATGCAATCAGGGACCTGAAAGAAATCAAGGATGAACTATATTCAGTTCACCAACTAAATAATTCGTTATGTAAATTTCATTAGCGGCTTGCTTACTCCATTTTGGAGTTTATCTTCAACAGCAGTAGCTCCAAGAAGAATCAGGTCTTTCTCAACTTTCTCCGTTACTTCCTCTATCAGCGATTCTCGATCAACACTAACCGAACTCTTGGCTTCACTGATTCTCTCATTAAAAACTTTGTATTCATTCTCATCGAGTTCACGATATGCAAGTATCAAAGTTCTCAGTCCTGCATCAGCATACTCGTTCACATGGTCCCTTGTTTCCTCTTCAAACTCTCTACCATTCTTGGAAAGTCTTTCAAACATAACACTGGACAAAGAAACAAGATTTTGTACAATAAGTTCAAAAGGAAGATACTGCCCTATTTTGAAAAGGTTTTCTCTAAAGATATATGTCACTTACTTATCTGCTCCTTTACAAAGTAATAAGAGTTTCCCATCTTCATCCTGCACTATAACTGACATTCTCTTCCTCGTGCTGTTGAACTCAAGAACGTTCAGGACTTTGTACAACCTGCAACACAAAGCCATTTCACTCAAGTAAGTTTCGAAACAGAAACTTTTTTATAGCATAAAAGAAAAGAAGAGGAGAAGGACCAACCTTTCAACTCGTTTGCCAGTCACCAGATCAAGCTCTCTTACCGATATGGTAGTTTGAGTTCTGTTAAAAAATTCAAACCCAAGCTCCCTCGCTGCAATAACAAATGCTGCTTCATCAGGCGACTCAGCCTCGTAAGAGATCTTTTCTGTGTCTTCATCCACTTCAGGTATCACTGTATGGCAAACAGCAAGCAATCTGAAAAACTTCTGAATGACATCAGCATGAGTTTCGGTGACCCAGTTCCCATTCATTATCCTTTCATCTCTAAAGTTGAATCCTTTCACCGTCGGCTCTTCAGCAACTGCCTCCTTACTGTATTCCACATCATTCTCACTGCTCTGAAACACCAAAGTAGAACCTTTTCTTCTTCCCATAGCCATCTCCACCTCTGTAACACCACGGCCATAAGCTGTCCCTGCAACAGAACACTTGATGAACTCCATGGAGTTACAAGTCAACGTTCCCGTCTTGTCCGAAAGGATTGTATCAACTTGCCCAAGCTCTTCATTCAGGTTAGAGGTACGTGCACGAGCTGGCTTGTCAGCTTCTTCATAATACATGTGGATATCCTGATTGATGAAGATGCTCTGAAGGACTTTAACAATCTCTATTGAGACATATAAAGATATAGGAATGAAATAGCTGTACAGCATAACCGCCGTTAGAAAGTGATAAATGGCAGCCACAGGAGCTCTTTTGGGGTCAAAGAAGATGCTGGAGCTATCTGGTCTCAAATACCATCTTTTCATCACACCATCCTTGAAATCATCTCTTGTTGTAACTCCAAAAAGAACCGAACCAATAAACGCCATCGCAACAACCATGAAGAACATGAGGTAGATAATCTTATCCATCTTCTTTTCAATCATGCTTCTCTTAGATGGAGGATCCGTTGAATTCTGAATCACCTTTGTGTCATGACCCGTGAAGATAACCGCGCCATAGATGAAATCCGTGTTCCTGAGCTTCGAGTCTCTCAGGAGAAGCTGTTGAGGTGAGAGAGGGTATTTGGCTCCTTTAAGCTCCATGGTTCCAACAAAGGAATACAAGTTAGCGTTTGGATCCTCGCACTTGACAAAAGCCTCGAATCCCTTGAAGTCAAACTCTTCACGCAAGGACGTAGTTACTTCCAGGCCTTGTTTGACTTTCAGATTGGTCTCACCGTCGAGGTTCATTGTCTCTACATAGCAAATAGCATCTTCATAGCTAGAAGAGAGCAAAACAAGATCTGCCGGGAAAAACTCGTTCTTCTCTACCTTCACTATATCTCCAATGCTAAGTGTCTTCCACTCCTTGGAATCGAAATTCCCATCGCCTCTATGCACTTTCACTTTCCTATTATTCACCTCAATATCCTAAAAAAACCACATTTTTCATTTCGGATTTCAGACAAATGAAGCTTAACTTTAACCTTAAACTCTCAGATTCAGAACAAGATCACAACACAAGAATCATACAAGATCATCTAATCCAGGTCTAGAAAGAATCAAAAAGGTACCTGCTTTTTGCGGCGCCAATCTTCAACGGCTTCTTTAACCATAGTAGCACCAATAACGAAGAAGAGAGGAACAATGGCGCTCGCAGCAGTGTAAGGAGCAAGAGGAGTGAAAGACAAGATCCCAGTGACCAAGAAGTAGAAATTAGCAACTCTCCTGAATTGCTCAAAGAGTGATTTGGGCAAGAAAGTGGCGAGAGTGTACTTGGTGGTCCTCACGTAGTTGTCTGAGTAGTTTCTCGAATCAGCTTCAGGTGAATCCGGTTCGTTGATGAACACGACCCGAGAGAAACCGGGTCCTCCGATTTGTGAATGGTCTTGCTTGAAACATGCTTCTGCGCATGTTAGTGTGTATAGCTTGCTTAGCTGTATTCTCCTTCTTCGTCTTTTTGTTGTTCCAGTTCCTGTCATTGAAGTGAGATCTGGGAGAGCCAAAGTTTGAATCTTTTACTGAAACAAATTGCAGATTCTTTCACCTGAAAAATTAAAAAACAATTCAGACACGCAAAACGAGTAAGAAAGGCCAAATTTTTGTTGGTTGGGTGTTGAGAGAATAAGATTTTAACAAAAAAAAAATTTGGTTTGTTGAAACTGTGTGACTCAACTGATTTTTTTCAACACCCGCGAGAACATTTTTAAAAGAAACTGAGAAAATAAAAAAAGTTTCGATTTTGTTTTTCAAAAAAGTGGGAAAAAAGGAAAAGAAAAAAAGACAATACCGATTTTGGCAGGACCTCAAACCAACCGAACAGAAAAGCAGAGAAGACCGTGACGGGTTATAGTATCTGACCTCGTTTTCTGCGAATCCGGTTTATTTTTCTCGGGAAAAATGATATTTTTTTCTCGGGAAAAGATCAGGGGAAAATAGACGAGAAATCGAGTGACTGAGAGCTGAAAGTTTTGTGAATCTTCAAAGATCAAGAAGAGGGTACTTACCAAAGCTGTGATCTCTGAGAAAGTCGAGATTTTTTTGAAAAAGATATTCATAAGACAAGAAATTGGAAAATTTTACAGCTATGAGAGCTTGAGTGGAGATCTCATAATTTTCTGACTTTTTCGATTTCTCTGGTTTTTTTATAGCCAATTTTCTCTTCCCATCCAAACAAATTGGGAAGACGAAGACGAGGAAGAAGAAAACACAGAGAAAGTGCCAAGATTCGGACAAGTCATGGTTTCCTCTAGAAAATTATATGTTTTGATGGAATAAACAGCAAATCAAAATGCTGATAATTTTTCGGAAAAGCAAAAAAAAATTCAACAGATGGAGAGAGAGAGAGAGCATGAAGACAAAGTCTCTTTTATTTTCCGAGAAAATGGGAATCTGGTGATCATCAAAGGTGAAAAAACCTTTCGCTCTGTGTGAAGAACACAAAAGCTGAACTGTGGAGGAAAAAAAAAAAAAAAGACAAGGAGTATATGGCAGATTCAAATCTAGGAAAATTTTAGTGTCAGATTTTCAGAAAAGAAAAAAAAAACTGTGAGAATTTTGGTTACAGAGGAAGAAAGAAGAATCGATTGGAGGAACATTAGATGCGCCGTCATGGCGGAGAAGGTGACCGAACACAAAATGCGGGTCAAACACTTAAATCAGATGCATCAATGCATGAATTCTCTTATTTAATTTCTACTACTACTATATAAGTAAGTATCTTCTTTGAATTACTTACTGGAGTATTTAATATTAATAATTGCACCCTTGTTTTCAAACTCTTGCAACAAAGGATTTGATTATTAGTTGAGGTAACCATAAATAGAAGTATTAACAATACACGTTTCAATTAGAGAAATTAGGTGAAATAATCTCTTTTGAAACATAGTTTCATTTTTTTCTTTAATAAATAATATATGATTTTCATTATAAAACAAAAAAATAAATAAAACCCCATAACTAATTTGCTTCAGTTCTTACACGTTGTGTCTTTCTCTATCGAAAAGAAGATGGCGAGTTCGTGATATGGTGGAAGAAAATCTTCGTCGATTGCTAAACTCGTAGTAGAATGAGTTTTTTTTTTTTTTTTAACCTTACGTAGTAGAATGAGTTATGACGTACAGTACTGTACGTGTCGAAGGCACATTATAATAAGTTCTTTTAGAGTCTAACGACTAGGATTTTTGTTGTTTGTTAAAGACCTAACGACTAGGTTGATCTGATCCGGCCATATAGAATCCCAGACTCGAGACTAAGATAATACTTCCTCCGTTTCACAAAGAGTATCATTTTGACATTTTTCACAGTTATTAAGAAAACTATTAAAAATACTACTTTGTCCTTTATTAATGTATTAAATAACTTCTTTTTCTTTAATTAATACATTAAATTAATAGGGTCAAAACTAAAATATTGTTTAAAATTCTGCATTGAAAATATAAAACGACACTCTTTGTGAAACGGAGGGAGTATATTTTCTTCAAAATTATGCTTCATTGATTAAAAAAAAGGTAATAAACAAAACGGATATGAAAAAGTTGCATAAATTTTGATGAAACTGTATTCTATTTCAAGTATAAAGTTAATTACTATTCGCACAAAAAGTGAATTAGTAACACTAAAATCTTGTATAAAATCGATCATTTGCTTAACATTCTCTCGTCGATGTATTATCATCGGAGTATTAAATATCATATGCAATTTTTTTTTTTAATGCATAATCCCACAAACACTTAGACCATCTCTAATGTATTTCCCCATTTTTGCCTCCAAAATGGAGTTGGATTTTGCTCCAATGTATTCCTCCATTTTCAACTCCAAAAAGAATATTTTAAAAATATTCTTCCTTTTTACTTTATTGTTAATTACTAATAATGCACTTTATTTATAAAAATTATAAATAAACCTTTTTTTTGTTAAAACTTTCATAAATTATAAGATTATTTTATAATTCAACCACTATAATATAAAAATAACATTACACACCATTTAAAATAAGAAAACAAAGTACATTTTAATTTAAATATCACCATTTGAACATTTTTCCCACAAATGATCAATTAAAGCGTTTTGAAGTGTACCGGATACTTTGAGCGTTTAATTTAATTTAATTTAATTTAATTTAATTTAATGAGCGTTTTCATCTTTGATTTCTCTGAATCAAGCAAGAAAATTTTGGAACCGGATACTTTCGTCCTCAGCTCTATGGCTCTGGAAGCAGTTTACCGGATTTTTATTAATCAGTTCTTATATTAAATTTATTTTATGTTATTTCTAATTTCAGTACTTCTTATGTATTTTTAATTTTATGTTATTTTTAGTTTTAGTTAATCTTATTATATTTTCTATTTTCTATATCTAAAAATTTCAAATTTATCTATTTTTATTTTAAATTAAATATACATAATATGAAGGATTGTTATAAATTAAAAATATAGTTTTAAGAATTAATGAAAAATGAAGGACTATTGTGTAAATAAAAAAGTTTACCTGCAAAATTGAGTTAAAAATGGGGTTACTCCATATTTGGAGGAAAAAATGGCATTCCCTCATTTTGGAGGTGAAAATGGAGTAGGGTTGGAAAAGATTTTCCTCCAAAATAACATTTGGAGGAAGAAATGGGGTAGGGTTGGAAATGCTCTTAAGCTATCATATTCCATTAATCTGATTGCGGTTGAATTTACAATAATTAGATTTTGCACATTTTATTGTTCTCATGGTAATAGGTTGGGGGAATTACTTTATATTCTCTAGAATTTGGTATGGTTAAAAGAGGAACTTTGACTTGAATGCATAAAACATGCCACCGGCTTTGTATAGTTCGGTATGCATCATTTAATGCATGAATATTGCTTTCAAGTTTCAACTAAATGTTGTAATTCTTAGTTCACAAATACCTTGTTGTTATCATGCATGATGTTGATGTATATATTTGTTGTTAAAGGTTATAATGTATAAAACCGGTCACATTTCATAAGAGAGATCTTGAAACACCATATGGATATCTTAAGTAGTTAGATTTGTTATGTTCTAATCGTTTATGCAATTATTTAACTTCTGGTTTTTGGTCGTCACATATAGAGAGACATACTTTTTGTTTGTAGCCTTGTAGGTTTTCTCCTGTTTCGGCCGTTGGTCTGCTATAAAAATGAAATGTTCGTAAAACGTGTTAATAGATTCTGAAGATCACTATAAAATTCTTTTACGTACTTTTTCATGCACATATACTATATGGTCGTCCTACTATAAGTGAATCCTTTTTTTTCAGTAAGTAAATCATTTTGTTACTAACATTAATTTAAGTATATATTTTTCTATTATTTAATTTACTTAAAATTTTAAACAAAGTAGAAAGTATATTAAAATTTGCATTATAACATTTTAAAATTGTTTCATCGATGTTTATACATTTTCAATACAACTTTCTACATCATGTATATATTAAGGAAATAATGATTCTCATTAATTCCGTAAGAGTGTGTTACATTAGTTTAAATACATGATTAAGCTAAAGGAGACTTAACCATACAAATAACCAATACAAACCAACTAAGCCGGTCTCTAATAGTATACAATAAATAAATACACAAGCTTTAAATAGAACAAATAGAAAATTGGTTTGTATTAATGTTGTTGATATGTCACATTTACATTCAAATCCGGTATAAACGCATATATCGAAAAAGGAAATTGATAGAGAGTTATTAGGTCTTTTGTAACTTTTTATTAAAATGTGTACACTTAATAGAAAACAGAGGAGGTACAATAGACCTATTTTGTAAAAGAATTAAGTTGATCATATGTGGTTATTATTACACCAAGCGAATTATGTGGTCATTATGACACTGAGCTAATTTATTTGATCATATGTACGCATCCGAATTTTTTTCTCATACGGCCATATGATATAAATACATTTTGCATTGTCCTGTTGCAGCCTTGAGCCTTGCAGGAATTTTTGGAGGTCCACTCGTATTTTATTTTAATTCGTATATCACAAAGATATGATTAATATATCTTAATTGCCTGGCTTATCCAGTAGCTTGGAAAAACTTGAGCGATTAGATTTTCATTTTATATGATTCGTGTACCTAATACAAAATTTGGGAATTTTCTCAAAATATCTGAATTTGGATTGTTTTATTATAACCACCGTGACATTATAATACATTGCATATGTCACCTTATCCAAGTATATTTTGCATATCCCGTTTTATCCAAAAATGACAAAACAAAGTTTTTTTTTTGTTTAAAGTGACAAAATCAGTTTCGGACTTATCAAAACACTACTCCTTTCGAAATGCGAAGGTCCATTCGATTTGTATTTGTATGCTCAAGCTATCAGCTAACAGCTTTCATCGAAATTTATGTAATTATATGTATCATTGAATATTGAATATGTTGTGTTTGTGACCATGTGTCATGAAACAATAGTCAAAGTCGGAAACATGAGTTGCGTATCTGTTCATGCTGTCTTTTTTTTTCTTTTCACTTTTTCTTAATTCTTACGTTAGCCGATGAGTTTTGAGTCTTCTGCCTATAGTTTCTTTGGGCTAAAGAATTGTTGGAGGTGAAAACCGCACCCCCAGTTTTCTTCAGTACAAACCAAAATCAGCATGAAATAAGTTCGGTTTACGAAGGAACTATACCAGAAACATTGAACCGAGTGAGTTTGTGGGTCGAACATAGCCCAATAAGCCGAAGTCGGTCGGAAACTTCTCAAAGAAACCGAGAAGTTCTCTGAGTTCGGAGGAAAATGGAAAGTTTCCGAATAGAATAAAGGAAATTGACGAGAAGAAAGGAAATTGTCGAGAGAAAAGGAAAATGACCGAAAGAAAAGGAAAGTTTTCTCGGTCCCATATCACAGAGAATACCCGTGAAAACCGACTTAAAAGACATATATAAAGTAAGAGGAATCGACACCAGAGGACAAAAAAAATTCAAGAGAAACTGAGAACTCAATACCTTAGTTTCTTAGTTTCATAAGTCTTAGTTTGTTATTCAACCGAACTCAGTTATATTATTGAATCGATCTAATAAAATCCGAGATTATTGATCTAAATTATTGTTTTGTCTCTTGTTCGATATTCATATATCAACAAGAATAAAGCAAAGTAAATTAGTATATTCTCCACTTTCTGTCGTAAAAATTCAAATCTGCAAAGAGCTCTCCAAGATCGACCAGTAGAGTTACCAACATTGGATATATATATATATATAGAAATATGTGTTCGTAGTAGTACTTCGTTGTTACACAAAAAAAGTGTTCGTGGTGTTAGTCCGTAGGTTTGTAGTAGTAATCCTTGACAAATTCAATCAACAATAAAAATGTTATTATTTATATATAATAAAGCTGTAATATGGTATAAATTTGTTTAGCAAACGAAGCGAGATGTCACGCTCTCAATAATGTCACACAGAAAAAAGGAAAACAGAAAAACAAGACTTTGGCGAAGAATTAAAAACTTTAGTAGTTAGATTGTCAATCAATTTACATCACATGCCTTAGAATATCACAATATTCCAATGCGAAACCAAAGAAGCTTCATTAATTATAGCATATCGTATTTGGTTAGCCCTTTAGAAACAAATTATTCAATGTTTTTTTTTTCCGGATTATATCCAGGTTAATCAAAAAAGAAAAAGAAAATCATGGGGTTTTTTAATCATGTAGTATTTTTTTAAGCCTAGCCTAGAAATCTGAGAAATTCTATGTAATGCAATTAGTAGATATAGATACACATACGCCTAAAAAGATGCAAAATTATTTATTAATCGATTGAACTAGCTATTGATTTGTGAAAAAATAAATATATCTTCGAAATCGCTGTCATGACTTTATGATTAAAAATTTGTAAAAAAAATTAGGTAAAAGATTTTTAATTAATGTCTCTACCTTCTCTAACATTTGTATACTGTACTGGTTAATTATACTTTAGTCGGCATATATATCTTCGTCGTCGCCTCGTCGGTATCCGGCGTTTTAAAACTAAGAAGCTTCTAAAAATTCGTACGTACTGTATAACATATGAATAGTTTTTTCTTTTTCTTTCTAATGCATGGTATTGTTTATGTATTCATAAATTGATGTTGACATCAAAAATAAATAAATAATTGATGTTGACATGAATGAGGAGAGCTTGCCACGAAGATGGTAGAAGCCGATAGAAGCTAATTAAAGTCCATAACTTTTTTTTTTCTTGAAAGTTACTAAAGAATAAAGACCACAATGTGACATTTTAACCCAAAATAACCCATAATTTGACATTCATCATTTTTTATAATTACTATACCTTACAATATGTTTAGAATAGCAATAATGAGTTTTTAAGATTTTTTTGGTGCTAAAATCTCATGATCCTTAGGGTTACATGTTTTACATTCATTGTTAAAAAGTTATAAGAGATCAACGGTTGTTCATCTATTTGTGATTCGTCAGTTAATTTGGATATTTATTGGAAAATATAGATATTTTTTCTTTGTGTGGTATTTGAAGAATCTAACAAAGTTGGTAGTCATAAACCTAAAGTTGTGATTGATATTTATGAGACTTTTTCCAAAAGTAATTGATGACTTTAAGGTGTTGACGATGGAATCCACACGGTTTACGGAATCTTCAGTTAGCTGAGACAAACATTCCACTAAAAATGTGATTTTAGAAAATTATTAACATGTTGTATAAATTAACATTTTAGTCTTCTCTGTTCTTGACATTTTCTTTGAAAACAATGACATTAGGATACATAATATTTTGTGTTGTAAGATTCAAGATAAGAACGAAATGCGTATAGTAATATATATATATATATATATATATATCTCTCTTTGTACTACAAGAATTCCGCAACATATAGTTACAATATTTGTGGAAAAATCAGACTCAAATTTTCCAATGGATAGACAGGATAGTCTTAACCTCTTCTTTGCAAAGAACACATTAGATACCATTTAATTACCTACGTAAATGTTATAAGCTAAATTTTGCTACCTATAACTAAATTATTGCTACTGTAATAATGAATTTGGCTAGACCAATTATTGAATTACTTTTGTAATCTTTATACTATCAAAGTGTGTTACCATTTAAATTTTAGTGGAGGATTGTCTTCACTCTTCATATGTATGAAATATCATATCGGAGACTTTAGAATGATCTTTTACACATATCATTCGAAATTTCGAATCCTCTAAGGAGGACATCGTTTTGGTTAGGACAACATCTTTGCCCTTTTTTCATCTTCTTTTGACGCAATTATGTATGTTTAGTCTTATCTCATTTTCTTTTGACTCCTCTATCTTTTTTTTTTTTGTATCACGATTTTTCCTTTCCAGTTTATTACTACTTTTGGAGCTACACTTGACAACCATTTTTTTATAATGTTTTTTTTTCATTTTTTTTATAATTACGCTTGTACTTATTTTCAATTAACCAAATACTTTTTTGGTAAATTATAATTATTTTTTTTCTTTTTCAGTTATATATATATATATATATATATTCTTGATTTCTATAACCTGAACGATCTTTCAATAATAAAAGGAAACACTTACGCAAAACCTAATTTTGTCGCAGAGCCTAACTAAGGAATACAAAATCCAAGCAAAATCCAAGCAATGAAAAATGAAAACTAAGTTTCAAAAGAATAGAGAGAAATGAAAAACACAAGCAAAGGCGATGGCCCCACACAAAAAAAGACAAGGTAATTAACAAAAAAGCGAGTGAGTAGGACCAAAAAATCAAAAATTGAAGAAGAAGAAGAAAGAGATAAAGAAAAAATGTGGCCGAATATAATAGAGATCGAGCACAGAAATGGGAGGGCAAACAGAGCAGCCCAATTGGCTAGTGTCCAACACAGGCGATCACCTACAAAATCTCACCTGTCCTTAGCTTCTACCTCTAACCCACTTCTTAAGTACTGTTATCCATAAATACACATAAGTCACGTACCAAAACCACCATCCACATCACCATATTATATCTTCACGTCTTTATGAAATTAACAAACATTATTAGTATTAACATTTTTTTTAACAAACAAATAAACATTATTTTAGTCACAGTAAGCACAACATAACATTTTCTGTTACAATTATTGGCCTCATTTTTTTTAAATATCAGATGAAGCCCAATATACAAAATAGGCCCAATACGAAGCCGAGAGAGTTTATCCTCAATCTCGACTCGGTCAAATTCAATTTTACCAACTGAGTCGTACCGGACTGGTTTTTTTTATATGACTCGCTCTTGTCGTCTTCCTCTGCAAAATCCCACACACAATGTTTCATAATTCATTTTTCGATGTAAATCTCATCGATATCGCAAGCTCGCAACGATGGTTTCTGTAATCTCAAAATGAAATTTCAGTAGCTGCTTGCCTGCTTCTATGCTTAACGAGGCACCTCTTCTTCTTCTTCTTCTTCTTCTTCCTCTCTCGACAATATGTTCAACACATACACAAACTCAGTTCTATGGCCGATTAGAAGTAGGAATCACCAAGGTTACTGCTCTTTGCTCCCCGAGAGATCTGAAACTTACCGATTTTCTCAATCATCTACATCGTCGAGGTGTTGCTGTGCTAGTTCTCGCTCACGCTGCTGTTGCTATTCAACGCCATCTTCTTCGTTTGTTAAGCCTAAGGTATCGATAAACCCTGGATTTGTGCTTTATGGGCTCAGACAATCCACACTTATTCAGTGGCCTTCGTTTCAAAGGAGGTTGCTGGTTGGTGTGGGTAGGCAATGCTGTGAATCTGAGGTTTACCCTTCTTGTGGTGGCACAAGAAGAAATCGAGGGTTTAGGCTTAGGGCTTCGGAAGAATGTGGTAGAAGTTGTTCTGATGATGTAGAGGCTATGATTTCGTTTTTAAGTGAGGAACTGATAGATGAGGAGAGAAATTGGAACTTAGTTAGTAGAATTGAAGCTAAGAAGAAAGTGAGGTATGGTGGTGAGTTCCGTGATGGAAATGTGAGAAAGGTTAAAGTTGAAGGAAGAGATACTCGAAAAAACAAGAATGATGACGGAAAATTAGAGGAGAAATATAGGCGAAATGGGATTAGGGAAGATGTGAAATTAGAGGAGGAATATGAGTGCCAACATTGTGGTGGGAGGAAGAAAAATTCTCAGCTGGAGAAAAATTCTAAATTGGACTCCATTGGGGAAACTTATAGGAGGAATGAAGAAAGGGTAGTTCGACCAAGAAGGACAAAGAGTTCGAGCTGTTCATCGTATTATTCACTTGGTTCTTCAGGGGATTTCGAAAGCGATACTGAAGATCAGGAAGATGATGTGGAATTTCATTGCGAAAGCCTGAGAAGTTCGGAGAAGAAGGCTGTTGAACAGTCAACCAATGGACTGAAATCTAGAAAGGAAGCCTCGAGGAGAAAGAGAGAAGAGAGCTCTAATGGAGTCGGTTCAAGCTATCGCAAGCAGGTCTTTGAGGAAGGGGAAAATTCAAATCAGGCAGTGAGTTTGGACAAGAGAAGGAGAAGAAGAAATCAGTTTAGTCAGACTAGTAGTAGATTGTCTGAATCGACGGGAAATTACGAAGAAGATATGGAAATTCATGAGATCCATGTCAACGATGAGGAAACCAATTCCCAAAATCAAAAGAACTTTGGTGGAAGGGAGGACAATAGAGTCTCCTCAATTCGTAATGATTTTGGAAGAGAAAACTTTGAGAGTTCTCAGCAGCAAGGCAAGGAAAGATTGGGGGCTCGTTATAGCAGTGAGGAAAGAGTGTCTGAAATGCGCAGAAGTGCCAAATATAGCAGTAGCCAGGAGGAAGGTATAAATGTGCTCCAAAATTTTCCAGAGACGACAAATTATCAGCAACCTCCAGTGGAAGAAAGGATATCTAAGCAAGCTGGTATGAGAATGAGTACTGAACGCTTCTCTGAAAATTCAGAGATTCATGATATGGACATCAGAAATACATATGTCTCCCAAAGCGAAGATCGGATTAGAAACCAAGAAGTACATGTTAGCTCGGTTTCCGGTTTGCAATCAGAAGGGAGGCAGCAAGATTGTCATGTTGAACAAAATCCCTTGCAAAAGATGCAATCTGACAGAACTTCTGTGTCTGTATCTCATACTAGTGATGCAGTAAGGTCTACAGAAATTAAGAGGAAATCTGAGAAGAGGATAATTGGTCAAGGAAGTACTACGATTGTGCGATTGAACAGCGAAGCAGAAAAAAGCGGTGCTTGGAAAGATTCTCGGCTAGATCATGCTAACTCGACAAGAGGAGGTCGGATGGCCTTAGGGTTGCAAAGTTCTCAGGAAAAGCTGTCTGAAGAGCCCCCAAGATCACAATCATCTTTAACTTTGGAATCGGGAAATAGAATGCAGCTGGTAGATCTGGTTTCAGAGGAGATGCAAGGATCTGAAACAACACTAATTCCTCCTCCTTCTCAGCTAGTAAGCAGAGGCTCAGGGCAAAGTTATGGAACTGGTGGAGCTTTTATTCAAGAAATTTCCCAGGGAACTTCAGAAACAGGTTATCCCACTGCCTTTGAACATCCAGGGGCAGGAGCTTTTGTTAATAGTCAATCTGCTGGAGAACTGATGAGATTTACAGCACACGAAGATGCTTTAGGTTCGGCCCATCGGTTTGAACAGTCATCAGAGAAATTTATTGGGGAGTTTGTGAAAAAGGCCAAGCATGAAGTATCAACTCCGGAGAATGAAGAGCGAAGACCTGAAAGCAATCAGTTGAAGAGGCGGGACTCAAGGCGGTCATCTGGTGGTTCAGGAGCAAAGGGACCTTCAGATGAAATGTGGGTCACGGATTCTGCTCAGGGAACTCCTCAACCAGGAGCCACAGAAGGGAATGCAGCAGAGGGAAATGCAAATTTCAAAAGAAGTGGTAGGTCCTTGTGGAGTGTTATCGCCGATATTGCTCGGCTTAGGTGGGGCTCACGAGCTGGAAGCCCTGACTCGAGTGCAAAGCCCACTAGAAAGAGTTCACCCAACGAGTCAGTTAGTAGTGCAACATGGTTTTCTGGACGTGAGCATGACGGAAGCAGTGATGATAACACAAAAGCGGATAAAGTTTTGCCACAAGAAGCTGCTTCCCCACATCAATTGGAGGTTAGTCAAACTTCGTCGAGGAGCCAATTTGTATCTTCTGATGCTACGGAGCTGAAGCAGCAATCTGGGAGGCCTGAAGGTGTAGTATCATCGCCATTTTCCACAATATTAGAAAGTGGCTCTGCATCCTATCGCATGCCTTCCACATCTGGTGATCAAATTGTTGGTGTAGATAAAGAAGAAGGCAGAGACTTTGAGTTTCGTCTTTCTGAAACAGCTTCGACAGAGGTGCCATTGAGACTGCCTAGTCGAAACCTGAAAAGATCTCCTGCTATCAAGGATCCATCAGAATCTAGTCCCACCAAGGTATCTAGCGATCAAAATGTTGCTCTGGGAAAAGTAAGTGGCTACCAGGCTCGTGTTCCTGAAATGGATGCAGTCCAAAAGCCGTTAATATTTCCAGGTCGCAACCTAAGGTCTCCTGTTCTAAAAGAACCTTCACAATCCCGTCCCAGCATATTATCTGGCAGTAGAAGCTTAAGAGAGCAGGTGGAACAACAACAACCTCTAAGTGCGAAATCCCAGGAAGAAACAGATTCCATATCGACAGGCTCCCCGTTGATACAAAGGAAACTTCAGAGGAACAAACAGGTTGTGAGGGACAGTTTTGAGGAGTGGGAAGAAGCATACAGAGTAGAAGCTGAAAGGCGAACAGTTGATGAGATATTCATGAGAGAAGCATTAGTAGAAGCTAAGAAAGCTGCTGATATGTGGGAGGTACCTGTCGGGGCTGTGCTGGTACACGACGGGAAGATTATCGCTCGAGGTTTTAACTTGTAAGTTTAATTTTCTTTGAACTCATTTTTAATCTACGTATATATACTCCTGTCGGGTTCATCTAACCATAGTCTTGTGTTTCAGAGTAGAGGATCTTCGTGATTCGACTGCCCATGCAGAAATGATTTGCATTCGAGAGGGTTCCAAAGTACTTCGTTCATGGAGGCTCGCGGTAATCTTTTCTCTCGTTCTCTTAAAAACCTCCCTCATGGCCATGGTGAAATATATACTTTCGTTACATTGCAATAGCAGGAACAGTATACTATTATAACAAGAAGAGTTTTAGTTTTGGCGTTATGATGCTTGAATTTTTGGGGCAATTATGGTCTCGAGTTTGATAAAGTTGATCGATAGGGAAACGATTTGCAAATAACTTAAGTTATTCTTTCAACAGGATACGACGCTCTATGTAACACTAGAACCGTGCCCAATGTGTGCGGGAGCAATACTTCAAGCAAGGGTCAACACTCTCGTGTGGGGTGCTCCAAATAAGCTTCTCGGAGCAGATGGCAGCTGGATCAGGTAGCAAATAACTTCTGAAACTGAAAAAAAAATGTTTTTGCAGAGTCAAAATCATATGAACAAGATTTACGTTTCAGGTTGTTCCCTGGAGGCGAAGGAAATGGATCAGAAGCTTCAGAAAAGCCAGCGCCTCCGGTTCACCCGTTCCATCCCAAGATGACAATCCGTCGTGGAGTTCTTGAATCAGAATGTGCTCAGACAATGCAGCAGTTTTTCCAGCTAAGGAGGAAGAAGAAAGACAAGAACTCAGATCCACCCGCTCCTACCGATCATCATCATCATCATCCGTCAAAACTCCTCAACAAGATGCATCAAGTCTTGCCATTTTTCTGTCTGTAGAAGCTTACCTCTCCAACCCCTATAGTGTTTGAACGAAGAACAAGTTTTTTGCATCTGGGTCTGTTCACTGTATATTTATGTCCACTGTAATTTGTTAAAATCTAAAGACCAGGTTCTCAGCTTACAAGAGCAAACAGATGTACTCTTCACTGGACCTATGGAATTGAAAAAAAAAGGTACTTAACAATTTTTACTCTGTAATAGGATTTCTTATCTACTCTTGAGAGACTTTAGTTTTCTTCTTTTTTGGACAAATGTAATAATGTTTTTTTCCCTAAATTTACACGTCCTGTGTTGGGAAACTTGACACCACGACGCTGACGCTTCTTCAAGGTTTCCCACCAATGGGATTTCTTGCCATGGCTCTGCAACTTGAGGTTTTTTTTCTTAGAGTGCCTTCTTCTATGTCTCATCATCTGTTCCACTAGCCCATGAAATTGCCCATCTCGTCGCTGCTTATGTTTAGTCAGACCTTTGGATTCAGATTTCATCTGTCTCCTCTCAACTGCCTTTTCTTTCTGCTTGTGGTGAAAGTTCCTCTGCAGATGCTTCCAAGGTAATGACTTATGGCCTTGGTCCTTGTCGTTGCTGCGATGGTGGTGGTGGTGATGGTGGTGAAAAACTTGTCCAACCTTGTGCGTTAGTCTTTTCAACAGATCTCTTGATCTGACTCTCTTTCCCTTTCCGTATGACGGAAAAGAAGAACTGACTTCAGAGTCATCAATACCACTCTGTGGTGGATATGATGAGACCGACTCGGAGTCAGAGTCGGTGACACTCTCTGCCTGAGAATCCCAGTTTGAGGCAGAGCTTGAGGCTGTTTGGTCAAAAGAAACTAGTTCTTCGTCATCATATTCGGAGCTTGTCCCAGTCCGGGTTCTCCAACTTGCTGTTTCACTTTCATGATCCAACAAAGTTGGTTTCATGATCCCACTCTGCAGCATCTTCTGTGAGATTGTGCTACTCTGACTTGGCTTCTTGACACCAATGGGAGGAGGCAGTAATGGTGGTGGTCGGGATTTGATCTGAACAAACTGATCATTATCATTACTCACACTTATTACCTTGTGACTCATTGGCATGTAAGTGCTCCTTATACCAGACAGAGGTGGTTGAAAGCTTTGTCTGCCTTCTTCTGACTTGCAAGACCTTGTTCTATCATCAGATTCCACACGACGACTAGAAGCAAATAAACTTAAAGCTGAAAGCTGAGTATCGATTCGTTCGATTGCGTCACCAATTTCTTGTGTTAAACCATCCTTCTTACTAGGTTTGCTCTTTTCCACATTCGACGGTTGTAGATCAGTTCCAGGCAGAGACAAACCTAACAGTTTCGCAAGTATCTGTAACCAATTAAAATTTCAGGAAGCGGAGAGTAACAAAAGAATCATGAAGATGGATAAGATACTAAACTCAGATAGAAAGTGACCTTAGACTGTGTAACGAAAAGTTCATGGGTGGCAAAATCTAGCAATCTCTTTAGTAGAAACAAGGTGTTGTCATCCAACTGCAAATTCAAGGATTCTTATAATGTTAGATTATTACTCGAAGAAGACAAGAAAAATATTATTCTCAGGTTGAAAATAAGAATTACCGAAGAATTACCGAAGAGCGCACCTTATATGCCTCTGGAACATATTTATCCCTTGCATTTGAATCGACAAGACCGTACAGTCTTCTCAGGGATTGAAGATTACGTTCTACGTTATCAGGCTCCATCAAAAAGTATAATACAGAAAAAAAATAAAAACACGAAGAAAACACGAAGAATAGGAAGAAGAAGAATAGAAGAAGATTTAAGGAGACAGCGAAGAAGAAGAATTAAGAGATGCAAGAAATGGTGTCGAACAAAATAACCAATTGCAACGTTTTTTTATTTTTATTTTTCGATTGCATATTTATATTTGTTTTCGTGTCTGAAAAGCGACGTTGGTTCGTCAAACGGTTTTATGAACAAAATACAAATTGACGTCGTTTAGTAAAAGAAACTAAACGTGTCGTGTTGTGATTAGGCCTGTTAATTATATATGAATTATTTCGAAAATTTGAATTTACGTTTTTAATATTAAATTTTTATTTTAGTTAAAATTATATATGAATTAAATTTTAAGTATTTGTGGTTTACCATCTGGTAATGTATATGCAAAATCAAACGAGCGAATGCAAAATCAATTATTTTTTACTAAACAAATTTGGTTAGACAGATTGGTGGGGGACGGAAACTATTACAATCCGCTATGGGGTGGGGTCGCGGATTGGACTCGCTTGATAGGTCTAATGCTATTTCATCTAAATAATTTGTTAAATTCCATTTCTATATTTAGATAGATGTGTTTTATTTAAACGAAGAACAAGTTTTTGCATCTGGTCTGTTCAAAACTGTATATTTATCATGTCCACTGTCATTTGTTAAAATATGAAACACCAGGCTTGTTCAATGTAATGCCATTGATTGTAACGTTATCTTTCTTGATTTAACCAAATCTCTCTTAATAGTGAGTACGATTTCTTTATTTAACCAATCTCTCTTGATAGTGATCTAGACTCCTTAACTGTATTAGGTTCGAAGGAAGCATCGGTCCCATTTAGTTTGATGATGATTAACAAAAAGCTGATTATAATTGGGGACATTTTATTTGATTAGTACGTAATAATGGCCTGGAAATGATAGCTATTACCAAATAGTTAGAGGCAACGTAGCAATCTGATAAAGACTAAATCTCTTAAAACCACCGACCCCATCGTTACACCAAACTTTGTTTTCCTTCATACTTCAAGAAATCTCAACATCTCTAAAGCTTTCTTTATATGCACAAATACTTCACCAATTGTTTCCTGCAGCTTTCTCATCTCAACACAATGCCTTCACATTCAATCATTTGGTCTCTTCTCTTACTTTCTTGTCTCATCTTTCCCTTTAGTGTCAATGCACAAGCACCTGCCGCTTCGCCGTCAACTTCCACCACCAATGCTCCTCCTCCAACCACCACTGTGTCGCCGCCAATCACCACTGCTCAGCCTCCAACCACCACTGCTCCTCCTCCAGCAACCGTTGTTCCGCCCGTTTCAGCTACTCCGCCACCAGCAGTTACTCCAACTTCATCACCGGCTCCAAAAGTAGCACCAGTAAGCAGCCCCACAACTCCGCCTCCACAACCACCACAAAGCCCGCCCGTTTCAGCTCCACCCGTCTCACCACCACCAGTTTCACCACCACCTGCACCGGCTTCTCCTCCACCTGCACCGGCTTCACCACCACCTGCACCAACTTCTCCACCACCTGCACCAGCTTCACCGCCACCAGCACAAGCACCTACACCAATAACACCAATAACAATGCCACCAGCTCCAGCACCAGCTCCTGCCAAGCACAAGAAAAAGCACAAACACAAAAGGCATCACCATGCTCCAGCTCCAGCACCAACTCCCCCGAGCCCTCCTTCTCCTCCGGTTCAAACAGATTCACAGGACACGGCTCCAGCACCATCCCCATCTCAGAACGCGGTATAAATACTTTCATACTAAAACAAGAATCTTGAAAGAAATACAGAATCACCCATATTGCAAGGCGATATAAAAGGTTGACCACCACTGTTAAATTATAACCTTCTTCTTGAATGTTGTGGTTTACAGAATGGAGGAAATGCCTTAAATCAGCTGCAAGGAATGTGGCTCAATACCGCGCTGGGAATTCTCTTTCTGCTGGCTATTACAGTCTAAAAATTTCTAGCTCTTCTCATTATATCACAGATGTATCGACTTGAGCAGCTACAATTTTTCCACATGTATACCAAACACATTGATTCAACAATAATACATTTTTTTTCATCTATTCTTTGCGGAACACAATCTTACTTATCAAGAAAGAAAAGAACAAAAATTGATTCAGCTCATTCGATGTAACTTATCAAACTTGATCGGTACTCAAATCCTCGGAGGTTTTGCGGAAGTCGTACTCAACAATGAGGCCAAGATTGTCTACCAGTTTGTGATGCCGAAGACATCCTGCACACTGCCAAAGTAAAAAAAAACAAAATCAACCAACCAAAAAGGCTATTCTTTTGAGCCTCTAAACTTCAAGATTCATCATACAAACACTCAAATTTAACTTAGCATCTCTCTTTGACAATGAAGCAAACATGTGGTGTACGCAACATATCCAAGGAAACAGAATTACCTGGACAAAGACGAGGCCGCGTTCATAGGCCAAGCGATTGATAAGCCGCTTTGTTCTTTCTCCGCATGAATTGCAACTGAATTCCACAAGCAAGCTTCTTCTTGGTAGTTTAATATCTATTGAAGCAACCTGTCCCTGAACCACAAATATACCAAACTTTAAGTGAGAAAGACAGAGACACAAAGACCACTAATACCCAATTTCATTGATTTACCTCTGCGGAATCCTTTGATTCTTCTTCTGGGTTTAACCCGGAATCATCAGTGAGAGACCCAAAAACAGTAAACAACAGATTCCTTCGCTTGGGTGCTACCTCAATCACACGAGCAGTTCTCGACCTGAAGGAAAAAGCAAAAAAGGATTCATTTTTACGAGAAGGGAAGAAAAATTGAGAACAGACCCACGAAAGTAGAGAAGACGGAGAAAGAGAATTAAGCTTGGGACCTGTGTAGAGTCGATATAGGGTTTTGCTTGTACGAGAGAAGATGCGGCTTGAAGAAATTAATTGGCTTCCGGTTAACAGTTATCGGAGAATAAAATGGAGCCAAAACCGGAGATAATCCGGCCACCGTATTCGCCATGTTTTGCGTCTTTGTTCTCCGTGTTGCCTCTATTGGAAGAGCGAGTAAAACTGGTAGCTCTAGGACGAAAGATCTTCCACCGTCGATTTCCACCGTCGATTTCCACGGTTTCAACGTCTCAGATCCGGCCACGTCAACTAGACAAAATACAAAGTGATCACTTATTTGCAAACTCGACGTCGTACCCGGTTCTCGGTTCGGTTTTGAATTTTTTGGATATAAGAAGTAAGATTTGTTTTGAATTTGGATACTTTGTCGAGTTCGGTTCCATATCTTTTAATTCGGTTTGGTTCATTGGTTTGGACTCTGGCCTAGATTTGTCAACACATTTTTCTGGCCAAATATATATTTGCATCTGGTTATCTACTAACCCTAAATAAAAAAACTCAACCTTATATGCACATGAAGTTTCATAAGAATTTAACTCGCACTTCTGCAAAGTTTTAGCTCTTTTTGTCTTCTCTTTTTTATTTTTTTTTTTGCAATTATTTTGGGTGATGAACAATGAGGAAAAAAAGGGGAGTAGGATTCTTTAGTTACATCAATTTTCGGACAAGAATAATAATTTAAAGATTCTTGATCAGATCACAAAATATGGTTGATCAAGAAAGAACAAGTCCTTCACCTTTCTTTTTCTTCTCTTGTTCTTTCAAATCTGACAAAACTAATTAATAATGATATGATCGATCATCAGATTAGTCTTCTTCATCGACTTCTCTGAAAGGAAGCGGTACTGTCTTCACAGCTCGAAACTTCCCTGCATTATTTAGATGCTCATTCTCCAATCTGCCACAATGTTTTGGTTTTTTAACTCACAAGCATCAGTACATATATCCTGAATCTGATACCAAGAAAGATCCTTAAAGAGAGATTAGTTTTACCGGTAAAAGTTCCAATGTCCTCTCCTGATAACTTCAAGAGCAGCCAAGAACAATCCAGTGACTCTGTAATCCACATGCTCAAAACTTGAGTGTAAGACTGTTTGTAGCCATGCCAACCTCAGAACAAGATTTAGAACCTACAAATAGAAATCAGAGAGGATCGTTTTATATTTCTTCAGTTAAAGATGGTTGATAGATTTACATTTATGTGTGTATTTGGGTGATGAAAAATTTGGATTTTGTACCATAGAGAAGTAGTAAATAGATTTTTGGCGAAGCATGAGTTGGTTCCTAAGCCAAGGGTTGTTGGAATTGTGTTGAAGTAAACCCCAATCTTTTACAAAATCCCAATACAATTGGTAAATTGTGGCTAAACTTGACATAGCTACCACAAGACAGAGCCAACCAATGCTCCTCTCTTTTTCGTAAGCCACTTTGGTTCCAGCGGCTAACATCGCTGATACGTACTTCCCTAGGTTCACTAGGTGGCTCGTTTCGCCTTCGTCAAACCACCTCCTTGCACACTGTTGCAGGGACATTTTCAGTATTTTCCAAAGTGGAACCCTAACTTGGCAGAGAAGAAATAGAAACTTGGGAAGGTAGGAAATGATTTTTATCGTTTAAGTTACCTGCATTGCTCTCCAGTAGTATGGGAGGAAAGAAACTGCATAGGCGAGATCTCTGTAGTACTTGACTCTCATACAATATCCATAGTCCTGTGTTGCGTAACTACCTGTTATGTAGTAGCAGGCTATGTATTCTAGGTTCCTTAGCATCGGTACCTATCAAAGGTCAGAATTTGATTCAGGGTTAGTGAGAAAGATCAGATTTTTATCTTAGTTTTGGTCTATGGAAATGTAAGTTTTACCTGGCTGCAAAGTTGGTCAGCCATGAAGAAATCGAGCATCACGACTTTGTAAAGAGGTGAAAAAACAATGTTTCTGATGACTGAAATAAGCCGGTAACGGCTAGATTTGTAGAAAATGTTCAAGGGACAAATCAGTATTAACACGAAGACCTGCAAAACCAAGCATATTTAGATTACAAATTTACAGAAACAAAACACATGATGAAGAGTGGCTAGTGTTTGTTAATTACCAGTAAAAGAAGGCCAGGGATCACTTGAACTTGTCGAAAGGAGTAACCTTTTGCGAGAAGTGAGAGATGAAGAAACATAACGCCGGCTATCGCAGACATTGAAGCGGTACATATCAAGAAAACATCTCTGAACTTGAGCTCATTTTTGGACCCAAGTTCGAATATGAAACTATAGTTTATCCTCGCTTTTCGCCACATAAATATGTTGCAACCGTATAGGAACAAGTGCAGAAACAAGAGTCCAAACATGCTGCAGAACACATGAAAGAAGATCAAATTGACATTAGCTTCTATTGGTTTAATTACATAAAGATTAATTTAAGCTTTTAATTAGATCACTCGCCTAAGTACAGGATACGCAGTTTCCATGTAGAAAGTGTTCTCAGAATGGTTTCTATACATTCCAGTCAGATGAGCCACAATGATGTAGCCAGCAAGAAGAGCAACAAAGCAACCAGTGAAAAGACCTGAATAGAGATTAAATGTTAGGACAAGATTAAAACTAAACCCATTTAATCTTATAATCTCAAACAAGAAAGGCTATTATAATCTACAAAGATTCTTCAGCAGACAAGATAATGTTATGCAACAAAGAGTATAACAGAACGTGACGCTCTTAGTTGTCCACCCACAAAACTCAACCAAAAATTAAAGGTTACATTGTGGAATCCTTATGTGTAATGTGAGTGATGGGGTCCAAAGACTTTTTTTTTTTTTGGTTGGTCTGAAAAAGATTTAATGTTTGCAAGTGCAAATAAAAATGTAACAACATCAATCAACAGGTAAATAATTAAAGTAAAAAGTCTCACCAATGAAGAAGGTTACAGAGTGAGACTCTTTACGGTGGTGCGGTTTCAGATATTTCATCGCCTTTCTACGATTTTCTCCTGCGAAGTGCTTGATGAACCATTCCTCAACTTCGTCTGATAGATTTATCACCTGTCATGTCCCAAGATTACAATAATGAAAATCTTTTCTTTTTTTTGGTATTTTTTTCATATTCCAAAAGTATTATAAAGTGATAAGACAAGTGTGTAGGTATCGATTTTCCGCTTGCACAAACTGGAAAAAAAAAGAATGTAAAGTAGATTTTCCAGTTACCTTGTCTGAACTGTTGAAGTAAGAACTTTCCACCACTTTGAGATAAATTGGAAGAATTTGTTTTTCAGTTACCTGAAACATAAAAAAGGTATGGTCTTAAAACCGAATCTAAAAAGAACAAATAAAATCTACAAACTCTGTTTTAATTGCTCTGTTTCAAAGCTTACCTTATCGAATTTCTTGAGAATGTTCATGAAGGCTAACATGTTCAAGTTTCTGTAAGTTTTGAGATAATTTAAACCTTTGTAGAGTTCTGTCAAAGCTCCTTTTATCATCTTCTCGGCGTGACTTAGTTTGTTCTTGCTGATTCGCAGCTTATTTACTCCATCTGGACCACATTTCTTGGACGATGACTGGTTTATCAAATCTTCTTTGATCAAGTAACTTATAGCTGAGAATGTACGAGAAGGATTGGTCAATGGGATCTTTATCTTCAGATTCTTCCCTTGACAGCTGAAAACCCGACCTGAAACCGTCCTCGGCTTCAAGTCTTCCTCGTTGATTTTGATTGCTTCTTCTGATCTCGGAGACTCCAATGCTTCTGTTCCATTGTTCTCCAAATCCTCTAAGCAAGATTCCTGAAGTTGCATTTGCTCTGTTCTGATCCTCACAGAGTCTTCCTCTGTATCCAGAACACGGCAAGCAAGCAAATTAAACCAGTTCTTGAATCCATACATTTGAGAGTGAGTAACAAATTTAAATGCAAGCTCTTGCATGTTTTATCTTGTTATTACCGCATGAGATGGTGCAGGATATGGAATCGTCTTCTTTTGATTCTTGAGTAGACTCTCCATTGGCTTGCTTTTGTGTGAAAGCATCTTTGAGCTCAATGAGTATCTCCATTTGCTTCTTCAAACACTCTCCTCTCTCCAAGAACTCTTTCTCCTTTGTCTTGTAGAACTGATTCACTTTGTTAAGCTGCGTGTCTAGACACACGAAGAACTCTTTCGCAGCATCGGTATCATCAGCAATCTTCTCCAAAAGTTCCGTCTCATACATGTCATTGTTACTTCCAGAAGAGGCAAGCTTCCTATGAACCTGTTCAAAAAAGCATCAAAATCATTAATACAGAAAACCATGAATAGTTTGATAACAATCACAAAAACTGAAGGTCAATTTTATTACTTTGATGACACGAAAGCGTTCCGGCTCTTTGTTACCGAAAAGGGAAAGCTTTCCTAAAGAGGACTTAATGATTTGGATGAGAGAAGTTTCTCTGTGCTTCTTCTCAACTCCATTCGTAAACAAATGGATTTTCTTAAGGTCTTTCTTGAGCTGAGAGTAATCGACGAAGGCATCTTTCCATTCGGGCACAAGCTGCCCCTCAAACTGCTTTGTGAACTTCACCATAGCTTTTCTCTCTCAAGTCCTTAAACTCAAAGCTCAAAAGAAGAAGAAGAAGAGAGTGTGTTTTTGTTTTGTGAGTGTAGGGCAAGAGAGGAAGATGAGATTTGTTTTATAGTGGACAAAGGAAAAGGCAGAGAAAGAGAAAGAATATATTTGACTGGGCTTGCTTACTCCTACTGATGATGCCTCTCAAATATCCTTCCTTGAAACACAATTTCATGTACTAAATTTTTATCCTATGCTTCTTCCACTTGTGCTTTTGGGGGAGTTAAATCCTGTCTCGCGTGGGACCCTCTAATTCTCGCCGGAATATATCCACTGATCTTCCTCCGGCCGCCGGAGCTTCGTACCACCTCTCTCTCACCACCCAAAATGTTTCATCTTGTAACGAACTATATGTAACGGTAAGGGTAATTAGGGTATTGTAATTGGGATAACCCGAAATAGTAAGTAGATAGCAATAATTTTGTAATATTTTGTGTGGAAAAAAGGAGATATCTGAAATGGACCAAAAGAAATTAGGTGCCGAGAGACACAAAAGGTGAACTTGGATTGGACCAGCTCGATTTCCACTACATTTTTTCTCGAATGGTGATGAGATTTTGAAAACATATAAATCTTAAAGAATCAAAAAAGGAAGAAGAACAAGAAGAGCTAACAATTAAATTCTGATTTCATATTATAATTGCAGATACTGCCAAAACATGTTATAGCAGTCAAGTATTATATAACTTTTCGCCAATAAGAACATGGCTAAATGTTCTTTAAAATCCACTTCCAAAAATACAAAATGACAATGCAATTGAAAATCTGCACATAGTATTCATTTTCATATCAAGGTTTTTTCCACTATTGCAAAATTTTGTGTGGCGGCGATATGTCCCAGCATTAATTTGAATTGTAATACCAGATACCGAATTGTATACAAATTGTCCTACCTTGGCTATAAGTGATGTCATTTATCAGAACATCATTACTGTATTTATATCTTATTTTGCTAATTTATACTGTAGTTATTATGATAAATATGTTTTATGTAAATTTAATTTGAAAATATACTTTATTAATAAATATAAAGTAATGCAAGATAATGTAATAAATTAGTAATGAACTAATGATAGAGTGTGCAAATATATAGCTGGGTCTCATGTTCCGAGTACAAGAGTTTAGACATAAAAATTGAAGGAGTTATGGGACTTGAAATGTGTTCTTTAAGGGAACAAACATTTTCATATAATTTTTGTTTCTTTTCATTTTTCATTTTCATTTTTCGACAACAAGGCATTGTAATCTACTCTTTTAATATCATAAGAGATTAAAATTTTTGCAGGCAGATGAAGAAATCATTTGTTATCTACCTAAAACATTTAACTAATAATAATTTTATTTTTGCAGAATATGAATAATCATAAAAAACTATAATTTTTTACTGAAAATTAAAATATCATATAATTTTTTAAATGATCACTTAATATGATAAAGAGTATTAATATTTAAAGTTTGGTTTAGATGCCATAATTGATACTAGTATAATCCCTTCTCTCTTTGTTTTTTTTTTGTCGTCAGTTGGCGTAGTATATATAATCCTATAAATTGTTTTGTGTTTGCTGGTTTCATAAAAACATTCATTAAATTTTTCTATCTAATATTTTAGGGAAGAAATTATGACAAAGCACAGGATGCTCATGAAGCTTTATGCACGCGGTTTCTAAGTACGTTTTGAGCAAGCATTCCAATGGATGGCATTGAAAGTGGATCATAATGCAACCATTCCAATATATATTCTATTCTCTGTTCTACTACTAATAATACTAGTAAATATTTTCGGATAAGAAATAGAATTTAAAGTATTGTATGCTAAAAGATTTTCCGGTAATGAATAATATATTTCACTAACTATTGCCTCTTACCTTCTGCCTAATTGATTATCGATTTATTTCTTTATTTTATTTATTTGTTATATATGAAATACAAAGGGTCAATAAAAGGAAAACTACAATGAAGGCAACATACGGCGGCCTTCCAATTACAGAAAGTCCATATTTCATGGAACATTGCTTTTTATAATGAAAAAGATAACATCCAGTTTAATATTAGCAAAAGATTTATACAGAAAACAATTGAAAATTCCTCCAAAGACTCCAACAAAACCCGACAAAACTCATTAATTTACACTCTGTTTTTAACCAAATTTCATAAATTCCTAACATGTTATCTTATTTTAAGTTTTTTATACATATATTATTATTTAACATGTTACTAATTCAAATCTTAAAATTGGTGAATTAATAATATTTAAATTTTTGATTTTAAATCATATCTTTAAAAATAAAAAAATTAATTATATCTTCTCTTCTATCATATAATTAAAGTCTGATTCGGCAAACAAACTGATAAACCATAATTTAATTAATATCTTATTTTATTTTACGTTAAATATTCACATTTATTTTATCCACTTAAACCTAAAAAATTCCGACCAAAATCTACTATCCAATCAGTTTACAAATTTATCTTTTAATTTTGTTTGAATGTCTATAACTCTACAAAAAAAACTAATTTTTTTCCTTCTATTTGTTTTTGTGACTAATTCAGTTTTTGGTCAATTTTGCTATTTGTTTTAAGGTATATTAATTCGTTTCTTTAAATGAGATGCAGTGAGTTGTAGACTTGTAGTTGTTTATATCAAATTAAGTTTAGAAAACTACGGCTACCATATTTATTATCTAAATATTGTTATTATCTATATCAATCTGTTTTTGTTTTCAATTTTATATTTCATATTTTTTTGAGAAATTGATATATATCAATGTTATTTTAAAGTTAAAATACATTGGATTTAAATAGTTTACATTGTAAGATAAATTTTTTTATAAAAGTGTCACAAATTATTTTATTATTTTAGTTTTAAAAATTATTTTTAAAACTATTTATATTTAATTAATTTGAATTAATCCGGTGATGCAGTGACCCATAAGACTTTCTGGTTCGTCATGTAATCTAATTTTAAAATGTTGCCTAAAAGAGCTGGTTTTTTTTGCTCGCACATGATAGATTAGGACATAGATAACTCTAAAGTAAGATAAAAACACATTTTGATGAGAAAATAAGGAAAAAAAACATGTAAACTCCAAAAGAAAAGAATTTGTAGGCTAATAAAAGTATAAACAAATACTGAGTCGTTTAATCTGATAATTAGATTCTAAAACCAATTAGACAAGAGGATGATGATGGTCTGAATCGGACCGCATTTACTTGTGTCCACCTAGGAGACATCGGTTCGGCATTTTTTGTCCACCTTCACATAATTATTTTAACTCCCTTTTTTGTACTAAATATATTACACGATTAATATATATATATATATATATACACCATTTAACTTAAAAATTTGTTAGACTCAGTCGAATAATATAAAAAGGTATGTTAAAAGGGCAGTTAATATAATCATTTCTTGTTTCCTACTAGGAGATATGCTTTAACTGAAAATTTTGATACTGAATAAATATGAGCATTTATTTAGATAAACTAATTTTTGTTTTTGATATTACGTTTCTCTTTTGAAGAAAAATATTTTTGATATTACGTTTGACTTTAGATATTACAATTTTTTTAAAAATAATACATTTTTTCTGGTAAGATTGTGGTTCCAAAGAGAATGGGGACAGAAACAGATTTAACTATGGGAGCATTGAGTTAGAATAGTCTATGAGTCATGAGACCTCTTAGCCAAAGCTAGGGGTTTACAATTAATTTTGTGGTGCGATTTCAGAAAAATCGGACCAAGCTCTATGTATAGTTTAAAAGAGAGATATGGTATATATAGTGGTGAGTCTGGTGACACGTAACTAAGTGAATCTAGGATTTAGAAATATATAGGTTAATCAGATCAAAAAACTCTAAATATATAATATGAGAAACTTTAGCTAAACCTAAGAAATCCATTTTGTAAGAATAAGATTCCAACCTTCAATAGCACACTCTCTTACATGTCCCTAAGAAAAATATAGGCCCAACTCTAGAGTCTATGGGGAATATCCGTACGTCGAGTCACTCTCTATATACTCCTTGATCTTCATTTTCCTTCTTCTGACGCATTGTACGAGTAAATTTAAGATCATTTTTTTTATTAAAAAATAATTTTATTCTGTTTTTTTTTTAAAACATTATAATTTCATTATGTTGGTGAGATTATAACCATTCGTACAATTAAAAAAGGCGAGCAAGATGTAATTACCATAAACGTTATATAAATTAATATATATACATGTAAATACATATTTTTATTTTTAAAATGTTAACAATATATATATATATATATATGTATATATATACTTTAAAAAATCTGTTTCAAACTATTTTTTGCATAAATTTTAAATCAGAAGTTGATGTTGTAATGGATATATCGAGCCAAGTCATAAGTTGGTCATCGAACTGTAAGATTTATAACTAAACGATTTTACTATGTACTATACGTAGTAGTTGAAAGAGAGAACACAAAAAAAAAAACTAAACGGTATAGTCATTGCAAAAAATCAATGTATATCAAAGATAATATTTGGAATCCAGAATTGCTACATTTAATCCATTTGGTTATTAGAAGTTTTCATATAGTCTTTTTGAACTTTAAAATTAGTCGGTGTTGGAAGAATAATGTACAATCTACAGTCAGGACTAACAATTTGATCTGAATCTACATCACCAACGGTTTTTTAATTCAACCGAATCACCTAAATTATATAAATTTTTTTTTATATATTTGAAATCCAGAATCGAATAAGCTAATATTTTGAAGCCAAAAAGGCGTAGGTATAATATGCTCTATGCCCTTTGCATAGTACTATTGAAGTCTAAATTTCTAAAAAATATATCCTCATTTAGCTACCTACTTTTCGAAAGTAGGTGTATGTTTCAAAGTCTTTTTTGTTTTATTTATCTTTTGCCGACGTGCATTTCTACGCTATATTATATATAATACCCACTTACAGTTCAAAAAGAGTAACAACGATTTATTAACTGAATTAAGTATATGTCTAGCATATGCTTTCAATTTAGGCAGCCATGGATTAATGAA